TACCTCGGGTGAAAAATAGCGCTCGTGCCACGCTTGGAATGTTCAAGCTCTCGTACTGTATTCAAGTTCTAGCTCACCTAACTGATGTCGAATTTTATTAAAAGCACTGAGGACTGAAAAAGATCTTATGCTATAATTAATCTCGGTTTCGAGTAATATGTATACTCTCCTTTTACGTTTGTAAAAATAAAATAAGGCAACGAAATGCCAACTGGTAAACTCCCAATTCTTCGACTCCGTGCATAGCATAACAGATGGGCATATCTCTGGCATTTCAAATATTTCAGGAGTTTTTTCAGGGGAATTTTTCAGGAGATATTTTCTACAATACTGTGTCCTATTCTTTTTGCATTTATGACAACAGCTAAGTTTTTTGCTGTATACCAAGCAGCAAAAAAAGCTGTGAGGACTTTTTCTATTGTTTAGGTGCAGTGGTAGAACATTATGGATATGGGAGATGTGCTATACAATAGTATACAGTAAGTTATACCATTGATTATACAGAGAAACAATTTCTGTGTATAGTCAATGGTTATATTAAACCAAAATTGTCTTAAAATGTGTCTTCTCTCATTGCAAACACAAAGCACGAGTGTAACTGCAATAAGCATTTTTATACCACATGCGCCAACCCCGTACGAAGGACGAGTACTCTGCTAGTATTCTCATAATCATAAAACTAAAGAATCTCGGAAGCAGAACCTGTAGCTCTTAACCTCTGCTCTTTGAATTGTCAAATTAAAGTATTTACAGCCGACTTCAATTAATATATTTGTTTATTTACATTCTTCCAATAGCTCCATAAGCTTATCATACAGACTCTACAAGCCCTAAGTAAATGAAAAACTAAATATGAGTACATGTTAATCGAGTCAACGAATAAAAAATCATTAAAATCGGTTCAGCTATAAATTGGCTCAAATCTGCTGCCTGACAAATCTAAAAACAGGTATGAGTTAGAGTTTTCCCCTGTTATCATCTCATAAAGGCTACGATCACATTGCCCGCACGCTCCACACGCTCGCACGTGCAAGCGACGCGAGCTCGCACAACTTGCTCTCACGAGTTGGGATGCTCACATTACTTGCACGGTTTTTTCGGTTAGTACCTTTACATTTTTTATAGTCGTCTTTAGTTGTTCGTGCCCTTTTGTCGTTTCCGGCGTAAAAGAATGTCATGTTTGGAATCAGCGCTGAATTTAGAATAGAATGGAAATAATTCAAAAAGGTCGGGTGCAGACAAAATGCATATTTAATTTAGGCCCTACCATTTTCTGTTTTATAGATATGTACACAAATCTTGGTACCATTAAATCTAGAAATTAAAAAAAAAATTTTTCCATGGTAGAAAATTATAGACCAACTACTATCACGCATTTTCATATTTTATTTTGAAAGAAACAAAAACCCTAGAATATTATAGATCATCTTCGAAAACTCGGAAATAGAGTGGACAGCCATAGATAAAACAGAATCTGTTTTATTATTGGTACAAGTAGAAATCCCCCGCATCGAGCCCCGCGATCTGATTGGTCGAGAGCTCGATGACGTCACTAAGATGGTGGAAGGAGTAGGGCAAATAGGGTTTGGCGGGAGCTGGGATGGAACCCGGACCGGTGGCATGAGAAGTTGTTTCGCTAACCACTGAGCCATGGCGCTCGATGTTAGACCATGTGTCGAGGTCGTATACGAGGGCCGGCTTCGAGGGCCGGCATCGGGGGTCGGTGTCGTGGATGTTTTTTTTTCTTTGGCACGAGATGATCGAGGTTCTGCTTTTCTCCACCAGAGTGTGTTTATACTGTTGTTGTTTTTTAGCGAATTTCCCTATAGGGAAGTAGCTATTACCGTAGGTGGCACGGTAAGACCTAGACCCGAGACCGATTTACTTTTTCATTTTGATGTCCCCAGAGGCCAAAAACACCATTCGTTCAAATTTTTATATATATATATATATATATATATAGATTTATATATATATATATACGTCCGTGAACGCGATAACTTGAGTAATTTTTGTCCGATTTTGATGAAATTTGGTTTAAAGGTGTAAAGTGGGATAAACTTGAATGAGTTCGCGAACCAGCACGATCGGACCATGGGAACGGGGCTTTACGGGGGGTTTTATGGGGTAAAAATTGGTTTTTCTCACTTTTGACCCTCAAAACACAAAATTTCCCAATTCCTCTTAAGACCTTTTTAAAGAGCTTAAAAAAAACAAATAATTTTGTATATAAAAGTATTTCTGTTCGATTATTAGTTACCGAGAAAATAAAAAAAATTGTAAATTTAAAATTACCATGTTATTCTTATGGAGAATATTGTCAAATGTTGTAATTTGCTTGTTTATGGATATTTTTTTATCAAATTTGGCAAATTTATTTATTTTGTACTAAGCAATCAATATTTTACTCCATAACACACTTTATTAGTTTCCTTGTAGCAGCAAACCTAGGTACTCGTTAAACCTAATGTTATTAAAATATATTTAACTGAAAATCAATTCAGACAAATGGAAATTCGCTTAGTCGGCAGGTTTGCTGCAGCGGGTGTATTTTCTCTGTTGTGCTGGCTATAATATTAACATGGGAACATCGTGGTTCTGTCCTTCTCCACCAGGGTGTGTTGATACCGTGGTTGTGTTTTTCTCCACCGGCACCAGGTTTGACTGGTCTGAATCTAATGGTGTATTTTAATATTGAATTGTATGATATTTTACTCTTACAGTTGGACAAACTGGGTTGTTTTATGGTTGTATCTCTATTTGTGTTAATAATAATATTACGCTTGGTGTTTTGAGATATATAAGATGTTACTGTTGTCACAATGATCACCTTAATCATTCTATTATCATAAGTTGATTAACGAGTGCTAATTACAATCTTGTTTGATTTATTTCTTGTAAACTTTAAATTTTGCATTCTTTGAAAAACTGAAATGACTTGATTCTTATAATGTAATAAAATGACAAAAAGGAGAGTGAAAGTAAAAATATGGTTGAATAAAAAATGGGTTTATTACATTGAAAGATTACATGTTAAATATTGTTTATGGAAAAGTGCCAATAAATGTTTACTAATACTAACATAAAATCAACAATAATTAACAAAAGATATTTTTACATATATACAGTAAAAATAATATTAACATACAGTACATGAATGCATTTGAGGTAAAACATAATAAACAGTATAAAATTGTATCGTCATACATTTGTAAGCAATTTTTCATGTTTTAACTTTCTAGTTTATTGGGTAGTTTAAAATTGATTGCAATATAAACTTAAAATTAAATAGAAGTTGGTCACAAAATACATCAAACAGTGCCAACACACTCTGGTGGAGAAAAGCAGAACCACAATCGATTCAATACAACCATAAACAAAAACAATAGGTTTAGACCAGTCGACCTAGGTATCAACACACTCTAGTGGAGAAGGACAGTACCACGTTTTTCCCATTACAGAGAAAAACAGACGATATCAGCAGACTCTGGTGGAGAAAAGCAGAACCACGATCATCTCGTGCCAAAGAAAAAAAAACATCCACGACACCGACCCCCGATGCCGGCCCTCGAAGCCGGCCCTCGTATACGACCTCGACACAAGGTCTAACTCTAACATCGAGCGCCTTGGCTCAGTGGCTAGCGTTTCGGCTTCTCATGCCACCGGCCCGGGTTCCATCCCACCTCCCGCCAAACACTTTTTGCCCTACTCCTTCCACCATCTTAGTGACGTCATCGAGCTCTCGACCAATCAGATCGCGGGGCTCGATGCGGGGGATTTCTACTGGTACAGCAAAACTGAATATTCATCACATGCTAACTCATATTTTACAACATATTCAGCACGATTTCAATAATTAAGACTTACTATAATTTTAAAGATTTTTTAAAGAGCTGCAGACAAAATCATAAAGCCTGCGTCGTCTGCTAAAAGGAAAATGATCACAATTTTCTTGTGAAAAATCACCTTGTAAACAAATTCCGTGTGGCCACCTATTTCTTTATCCAACTATACAATATTAATTTTTAATCAAACACGATTTTACAGTAAAACAGTAACTTTGTTGGCTTAAAAAGCCTTAGATTGAAACTGGGGGCTAATTGCCACCCTCTGGTTATAAGTTGCTACACATACCCGCGGTGTTATTTCGATAATAAATGTCAATCAATGCCAATGGCCGAATTTGTGTTCTACACAATTCATAACAATTTCCATAACACTCCCTTACTTTAATTAACCTTATTATTACCACTATCAATTAAGTTGGTGATTGGCGACGTCACTTATGTGCATATTTTAACCCATATATGAGTGAGGGGTGAGGGATGAGGGTAGAATGGAATCTGATGCCTGTGTAGCTTTTTTAATTAACTAAAGATGGTCTGTTTCATTAGTCAGGACCATTTATTAAAAGCCTTATGATCAAAGACAGCTGGGTTAAGTTTAGAACCATCAAAAAGCTACACACTAACACACTTTTCTTAGGATCGAACCGGCGACCTTTTGTTTACCAGGCGAGCACTATAAAAATTTAATGAAATGAAATGCTTATTGTCGTTAAAACTGAGTACAAAGTTCATGACAATCGTCAAAAGAAAAACAAAACAATCAAGATGGCAACTAAAATAACTAAAACCAAAGTAGCATATGTAATCTTTGCTAAAACTAAATCTCTAAACCAAAGTACTCTTCATGTTTATACAGGCAAGCCTGGGTTAGAGTAGTTTTTAAAACATGTTTAAATTTCACGCTAATCAGCTTATTAACTTTCAATAAAGCATTATTAAAACATGATATGTGTTATTCTCTTTTAAACAACTTCTTATCATTCTAATTTAACAATTTATATAATCATATATATGTTTTGCATAATAATGGCATAATCTATGATCATTGCTCCTCGGAGTCTCTCCAGAGTCCAGATTTGTTGTAGGTTATGGTTATATAGTGCAGGAATTCGGTGCACATAGACAAAGAGAGCAGATGAGAGAGAAAGAGAATACAGATCTGCAAATGGCAGGAGTCGCCTTGTCAGTTTGTTTATTTTGTCGTAATGAGATGTTTTTGTCATAGGCCTTAATTCGTTGTTCTGTTTTGGCGGAAAAGTTGCTTTAGAAATCCCATTCAACCAAAAATTGCCAATCAGTTTAGTTTGTTGCTGATCCAGCTTCGTAATGGAAGTGTGTTCTTTTTAAAAATTTGCCGCTCTCAAGACCAGACTCCGAAGAGGTTCAGGGTAAGTGATTTTTGTTTTTTGGAAAATTAGCTATACACCATGCAACTTAATGCATTATGACACTCCTAACAGTGATAAAAGCCGTTGAAACAATAGTGCATTAATACAAAGTCTTTTGATGGGTATATTTTGTTTGGAAAACCCAAGGCTATCTAACTAAATGTTGAGTCTAAGTAGGCTTGTAGCCTAGGGCAACATTTTATTGGGGGCTTAAACCACTTAGGATGTATGCATAAGGACTTCGTTCAGTAAGTTAAGGTCTTAGCTTAGCAGTTCAAAGAGTTCTCTGACCGTTTCCATTAATAAATTGGTTTGGCAAGCCTTTTATTATATTTCCATCCAAGTTACGGTATAGGATTACCAGGGTCTATTGTCTATTCTGGTATTTTTAACACTGCCGATAGTTGTAGAACGATTGTTGAAACTGTCCTGAGTTAAAACTGTAAATGTCTTAACTCAGGCTCTTAAGCCTGGTTTACACGGGTAGAGTATGGAAGGTGAGTCAGTGTGCGATTTGCCACTCACTCTCTAACTTGCTTGTTGTAGACATGCAGGCAAGTCGAGTAACGGGCGAGTATAGTGGTTTAGTTTAAAACCGAGTTGCTCGGCCCATTAACTCCCCCGACCACCATGATTTGCACTTGATACATCTGTTTATTACTTTCGAGTGAGTCAGTAATCAGTATTGAGGTTAGTTCAGTAGGTAGGTAAGTTATTGTAAGTTAGGTCTCTCACAGTCAGACACTCAATGGTTCAGTTGGTCCTGTCCTGTGTGGCATTGTTTTGCTGTAGGCCTATGTAAATAACTCTTATAAAATTAAGTTTTAAAAATCTTTGTACCTAAAACTAAATTAAATCTATGTACCGGTAACAGTTTTTAGGGTCAAAAATGGGAAAAACCAATTTTTACCCCATAAACCACCGTTCCCATAGTCCGATCATGCTGGTTTGCGAACTCAATTAAATGTAGTACTTTAGGTTTACACGTTTGTACCAAATTTCATCAAAATTGGATCATTTTACTCAAGTTATCGCGCTAACGGACACATACCTACCTAAATTTATATAATTTATGTACCGATAGGCCTATAAATAGATGTACCGTAGGTATTTACCGTATATAAGTTGACGTATATGAATTCAAACGGATAATATTTTTGGCCTCTTGGAACCTCAAAATAAAAAAGTAAATCGGTTCCGGGTCCAGGTATATGGGAAATTTGCTAAAAGCTAAGCAACTGAGATGCTAAAAACTAAATTTAAGTGGTGATTCAGTTTTAATTAGGCCTATAATAATCTAATTCAGTGATTTGTTCTAAATTCAGCATTAAACACTTGACTTGCCATTTTAATCTCAAATATTTAACACGAAAGCTACGGTATTTGGAATAGGCTACCCTACACCAATCCCACAGAGAAGTAATAAAAATTAAATTACTTCTCTGTTCCTACACTGTCCCCGTCCAAAATAGGAATGCTTGTGGACAGTCTAGTCAAGTATTAAGCTAGGCGCCCACCGGGCAACCCAGCGGGTGACGCGACGCGGCACGGCGCGACGCGGAGAAAAACTTCCGTCCGCTTCTCCAGGGTTCGCACCCACCAAGCAACTCTAGCGGAAGCGCGGGGCAGCGCGGAGAATTATTCTTTTGGAGGGGATGCACAGTGCACTTCGATTCGGACCCGAACACTCCCGAAGGGCTCACGATACTTTCCGAAAACACCCGAATGAGCGGCAGACGAGGGGCAGACGCCGTTTCCGTGCCTCTACCCCACGCCCACCAGGCAACTCAACGGAGGCGCGGCAACACTAGAGGAAGAAATTCTCCACCGAATTCTCACTGCCGGATTCGAGAAGAAGTTTTTTTTCCGCGCCGCGTTGCGCCACCCGCTGGGTTGCTAGGTGGGCGTCAGTCCAGAAGATAACATGGCACGGATACGTGGCAACTTTTTTCCACGGCGTCGCGCCGCGCCCAGGAATTCGAGCCGGATTCGAGAAGAAGTTTTTTTTCCGCGCCGCGTTGCGCCACCCGCTGAGTTGCCCGGTGGGCGCCTAGCTTTAGGCGAGTTGAAGAAATCATCAACTGAGACAAGTAAATGGGCCGAACAACTCGCCTGCCTTACTCGACCTGTGTAAACCAGGCTTTAGGGGACTAACCCTATTAGGAAAATGCTCTCAGAGTACTTAATTATTTTGAGTCTTAACCTCGGTCCACCAACTAGATTTCTTTTTGTTGTTAGTAGGCCTATGTGAGAAAAAATTAAAACAAATAAACGACACTGTTTTACCAGTTTACCTTTGCTGCAGGTGGATTGAGGTTAGGCCCTAAGTATAAAGGTTTATGCTACATGTTTTATATTGGCCACATATTTCACAGTTGAAGGTTTGATTTGTTGATACAGTACACGCTCGATTAGCTGAGCCCAGGTTATCGTAGCCTTAGGTTATCCAAGGTCGTTTTAGGTCTAAATAACTTATATATTTTTTTATATTTCTGATCAGAAAACAATAAATACATTTTTAGGAATGGAGTTGTTTTTGTTGAAAGTAAGGTAAAAAAAAAAAAAAACTATAAAAAATAGCAATTATTTGTGATTTCTTAGAATAAAAACTTTTAATAGGTAGGCCTACCAACTAATGATTATAGGTGTTATATTAACATACAAATGATCCACATTAACCTAGGAAATGAAAATCACGGTTGCCCACTAACCATTGGTAAGCGAGACAAGTCGTCTGTAGAACGTCAACAAAAGCTGTGTGGTATTTCTGTTTGTGCACTGCCGCCTCGTATCACCTCTTGCCAGTGTTTGTCATTACAATGTTTAAATATTGACATGATTGTGTCAAGTATTATAGTTAAAATCTAACTCAAACTAAATTAATTTCATTTTAGAATTTAGCCTCCGGATTACGTTGAATATATTAAAATGGTGTAAATACCTGCTTCGTGGTAATCCTAATGTTGCTAGTGTCGCAACTAGTTTCGACTTTTTACAAAGTCATCTTCAGGCGAAGGCGTCAAGGATGTCAAATGGTGGTCACTTCATATGAAGGTCGTCAATACACATAAATGTACATAAAAACACGAACACGAACACGGACATTAACACGTAAAAACGGTACATTTAACACGATTAAACGAACAACGGTAACTGTAAAGGAATGATGTGACACGACCGGGATGGATGCAAGGTCTAGACTACCGGTCAACGTGGTCGGTCGGTGCGATGACGTCACTCCTTTTGTCTTGTTATCAGTCAGCTGTTGTAGGTCCCATCCCATTCATTCCTGACTCTTTCTCTAGTACTTTGATAGCCGTATCATAAATATAATTTGATTGGAAGGAAAGCTTGTCGTTTAAGATGTTTTGTCTGTCAAGTTTTACAGCTCGGTATATTTCGAATTCTTCTAGTGTGTTTCTATTAAAATGGTTGTTAGATAGATGCAGTACTGTCATGTTGTTGTCGATATTTGTATAATTATGGTTATCTGAGACTAAATGTTCGGCATAAGTTGAGGTTTGAGCGGATGTTGTTTTTCTTGGTAAATGTTCTCTGAATCTTTTTTTGAAGGAACGAGCTGTCTGGCCAATATAGTATTTAGAGCAGTTGTCACAATTTATCTTATAAACGCCAGTCTTATCGAAAATTAGAGTTGTCGTTTGGGGCCGTTCTTTTAATAAAGACCCAAGTTTGTTTACTGTTTTAAACGATACAGTGACGTTGTTTTTGGCCATAATATTTTTGAATTTAGTACTTAGAGATGAGCCGTACTCCGTTGAAACATAGGTTTTTTTATCTTTTGTTTTTGATGTTTTTCTTTTTTGGTGTTTGAGAATTAATTTATCAATAATATTGCTCTGATAACCGTTAGCGACAGCAATGTGTTTGAGAATGTTTATTTCATCGTTGTAGTTCGATGGACTCATTGGCACTGAAAGCAATCTATGTACAAAGCTATTGTAGGCGGCTATTTTTTGTGAATGGGGATGATGAGAGTCTGCGTGGATGGTTTGGTCTGTAATAGTTGGTTTTCGGTAAATTTTGAAGGTAAATGCTGAGTTCTGTTTTGTTATGGTTAGATCTAAAAAATTCAAACTGTTGTTTTCCTCCTCTTCAAGCGTGAATTTCATATTTTTGTGTATGTTACACAGATAGTTGTTCAACAAAGATAGTTGTCTACTATTGCCGTTGAATAGTACGATGGTATCATCGACGTATCTGTGGTAAAAAACTATTTTATCCCTATAACGGTTGTCAGGTGAAAATAGATGTTCATTTTCAAAACTGTTTAAAAATATTTCTGCTAGGATGCTGGAGAGTGGGGAGCCCATGGCTAATCCTTCCTTTTGGTTGTAAAAAATACTATATTGGCCAGACAGCTCGTTCCTTCAAAAAAAGATTCAGAGAACATTTACCAAGAAAAACAACATCCGCTCAAACCTCAACTTATGCCGAACATTTAGTCTCAGATAACCATAATTATACAAATATCGACAACAACATGACAGTACTGCATCTATCTAACAACCATTTTAATAGAAACACACTAGAAGAATTCGAAATATACCGAGCTGTAAAACTTGACAGACAAAACATCTTAAACGACAAGCTTTCCTTCCAATCAAATTATATTTATGATACGGCTATCAAAGTACTAGAGAAAGAGTCAGGAATGAATGGGATGGGACCTACAACAGCTGACTGATAACAAGACAAAAGGAGTGACGTCATCGCACCGACCGACCACGTTGACCGGTAGTCTAGACCTTGCATCCATCCCGGTCGTGTCACATCATTCCTTTACAGTTACCGTTGTTCGTTTAATCGTGTTAAATGTACCGTTTTTACGTGTTAATGTCCGTGTTCGTGTTCGTGTTTTTATGTACATTTATGTGTATTGACGACCTTCATATGAAGTGACCACCATTTGACATCCTTGACGCCTTCGCCTGAAGATGACTTTGTAAAAAGTCGAAACTAGTTGCGACACTAGCAACATTAGGATTACCACGAAGCAGGTATTTACACCATTTTAATAAATTAATTTTATACTTACTTTTAAAACTATAGGGATCCACCTTATTCTGTGTTTATTTAATCCTGTAGAGTGTTGACTTAGCATAATTTAATAAATACTGTATTTAAGAATTTAAGATAGCTAGGCTAGTAATTTTTTATTCAAGAAGGTCTTAAGCATGTTTTATTTATTTTTTTTCCTTAATAACACACCCTTATTTAAACAAACATTTCTCATTAAAATACCTACTATTGATAATGTTGTATTCATTAGGCTATGCATTTTTATTTAAACATAGGTATAAGTAACTTTACAAGTCTTTAACTTCCTAATGTGGAATCGTAACCCCTAACCTCAAAATCTTAGAGTCCTCCGTGTTATCCAAGATTCTCAGTACCTGAGGTAGTCTCGGTCCCAACAACCTCGGTTGATTGGGAGTGTACTGTCTTCATGTTTTTAAATTTTATCTTATGTTAAAAACATTTTTGTTATTGCCAAAATTATGGACTTAAGTTACAGCTTAGTTAAGTTAGGCCATTGTGTTTTTGTTTAACTTATCAGCCTAATTGATGTCCTGTTGTAATATAAATTTTGAAAAGTTGAAAGCGTTAAAATACTGAATGAACCCTGTGTTATTTTCAGAAACTGAAGCCCAATGTGGTGTGTCCGGAAAAAGAGTACGATAGCAACATATCACTCAGCACATGTGAGTTTTCCTAATTTGTTTACTTTCCAAACGTTCCTAAATTTAGTACCTGATCTCATTGTTTGATATTAAATTATGTTTCTGTTTGGTTATAAAATCTCAAGTCAATTAAATAATTTCAGTATGCTAGTTAGGTAGTAGGGATTTATAAGCATCGATAGGTCAACCATCGATGATCAACATCGATTTACTTATAACATCAATGGAAAACATTGATGTCAATGGATTTTTTTTCAGTGTTTTGTCTGCTCTCTGTACTGCCTCAGCTAATAAACCTATTAGTATAGCCCACTCTACTAGCATTGATTAAACACACTCCCTTGCGTTGGTTGATCTATGCTACTAGCTAGACTGGCAGTTTCTCTTTCACATATTTGCAAGACGAAATATCGGTATTATGCTGGAGAGCAGGAGTGTTGCTGCTATAATGTTATTACAAAATGTATAAACTGAGTTTTAGGTAGCATTTAGAACAAGCACCTCACAAATGTTGTTATCTTACTTACAGTGGCGGTTCTAGGACCTTGTCAAGGGGGGGGGCTTCCGGGGGGTTTGAGGGGTGTGGAGCATACAGCACCCACCAATTAGGCAGGGGGGTCTGGGGGTCCCCTTTTTGGAATTTTCAAAGCCGTTTGGTGACTTTCTAAAGCCATTTTTAACACCTTAAACCGTGCCCAATTGTCCAAAAACTCCCGTTTCACCTGTTGTTTGTCAAGAACAAATAGACATTTAAAAAATTAAACTATGACGATTGCATTCATGAATTTCAAAACACACTGTAGACTACGGCCATATACTCCTAAAAGCCGTTGGGTGACTTTCTACAGCCAGTTTTAACTTCTAGATAGTGTGCAAAACCTCCCATTTCCCCCATTTATTTGTCATGAATAAGTAGACATTTTTAAAACTAACTGACGATTGCATTCATATATCTCAAAACATATTGTAGGCTACGGCCATATCCTCCTAAAAGCTGTTTACTGATTTTCTTAAGGCATTATTAATGAGATGTTGTAGCGGTCTTTTAATGACTTGGCAGTTCAGTTTGGTCCCAACCGTAATTATTATAAGTAGGCCTAGATGAACAATAGAAGTAACATGGCATTTAGGGAATAATTCATGCACTGTTACGTGCATCTCTTGGATGTCTCTGTTGTTGCACAGAAGTAGCACAGTATAATGTGATTTGACTTTGTAAAAATGTCTAGTTTGCTTGCATGTAGAATATAACTTAAGGCCTCAAAATATTTTTATGGCTGTGTTTTAGGTATGATTATTGTGAGCTGAAGCCAATGGCCTTACAGTCGACTGGGTCGTGGATTGCCAGGGAGCAGCACAAGAACAGCGACCAACAACTGTTTGTGGCTGAACAGCGGCCACCACCCAAGGTCGCCAACAAGCAACACACCCAGACAGAAAGGTAGGCCTACAGATTAGTACTCTTTGGGTTCAACCAGTGGTTGTACTCTCATGTTGTTTAGTCTCAGCCCACCTGTAATTATTCCACTTAACATTGAGAATCAATGTTTCTTGATTTCGGACATTTTAAAAAATACATGTGCTTTTTGTGCAGATCTTTCAGTCTGGTACTGTACCTTTATTGTTATTTAACATAACTTAAACTCTAAAAGATTTACTACACTATACCTACCTGTTCACATAAAACTTTAAACCAATGGTGATACAGAATTATGTTCCAGAAAATTTATGCATAATTGAGGTTACCTCTCTGTACCACAGTAATCATTAATTTGGACATTGTATAAGTATATAAGTACATTCCAATGTTACCCAGACTGAATATCAAATTAAATAATTTATTAATAACAACCTAGAGAATGTAAGAGGATTTTTTTAATTGACTTAATTTTTTCTCTTATTTATACACTAAATGTTTCTGATTTGCAGGTTCACTCAGACTGAGTACAGAGCTAATTGTGTGGAGGTTATCGGTACAGGGAAAGACACAGTCATGTTCGAGCAATCATTACAACAACAACCACAGGCTGTACCAGTGCAGATGTACTCAACCATAGACAAGAAAGACTTGACTCCAGACAAAGGGAATAACCTAACAGAATTTCCTTTCTGTTACAATGTTTTACAAAAAGTCCATCAGACGCAAGGGGGTAGTCCGACTACTACAGCTGTAGCAAGTATATCAGCAGATGACAAAACTTGCTACAGGTTCGATGTAGCCCAACCTTTCAGTTACAACTACGCATTGGTCAATCAAATGTCTCTAGCTGCCGCAGCTTCTACTGCTACATTCAAGTGTGATGTTTGTGGTCTAGTGTTTGCTCATCTCTCTCTGTTGAATCATCACAAACGTATACATAATAACAACGGTGATGTATCTCCCGAAAGGAATTTTACGAATGAAAATCAAAATGAGGTTATCAAAGTTCAGTTGAAAACCTCCGCATCCAAACCTAGGAATTGTAACAGGTGTGGAGGTGAAGTAGACTGTGATCATTCAAACAACCTTAAAAAGAAAGTTTCAAAATATGTTAAGTGCGAAAATTGTCAATCCGGACCGACCTCCACAACAACTTCAACTACTACTAATGGTTCGTTTCAGTCTGCTTCGTCTTCCCCTGAACCCACCGACAGTCCGCCAGATGTAGTCAATATCCCAAGTAAAAATATGCATTTGGTCAAACACGGTCTGGCCACTGTAACCAAATGTCACAAATGTAACGGTTCAGGTATTATATTTGTTGGAGGGGCGAGGCCTCCTCCTAATGATAAACCTTTCCGTTGCAACGTTTGCGATGGATCTTTTTCGAGGTACTCTTCTTTGTGGAGTCATAAAAGACTTCACTCCGGAGACAAGCCGTTTAAGTGTGACATGTGTGGATTAACCTTTGCGAGGGCAGCTTACCTGAAGAATCATCTCCGTGTGCACAGCGGTGAGAAGCCCTACAAGTGCAACGTTTGTGGGATGCAGTTCTCTCAGAGTCCTCATCTGAAGAACCACGAACGCATCCACAGTGGCGAGAGGCCCTATCAGTGTGAGGTGTGTGAGAAAACATTCGCCCGACATTCTACATTGTGGAACCATAGGCGAATCCACACCGGTGAAAAGCCCTACAGGTGTAATATATGCGGCTCTGCCTTCAACCAAGCCACTCATCTGAAGAACCACGGCAAAGTTCATACCGGTGAGAAACCTCATCGCTGCGATATTTGTGAAGTGGGATTTTCTGACAGGTTTGCCCTAAAAAGACATCGGTTAATACATGAAAAATACGGCCGCACATCTAACAACACACAGACTCCCTCTCAACAAGCTCAGCAAACATCAACCACCCAGCAGTCTACATCACAGATGGGGGAGTTGTACAAATGTGAGGTCGCTTTTCCCGGTCAACAACCCAGTGAAGTAGGTGTTAGCACATCTGTCGGCTTCTCAGGATCCAACCAACCCTCTTCCACCAGCAGAGCGTCGCAACCGCAACAGACGGAAATGTACAAGTGTGACGTGGGAACATCTGTGTCATTTCCACCTACAGCACAACAATCAGCTCAATCTTCAAACTCAACCTCGGTTGATGCTGCCAACAATACACTTCCCTTCCAAGGCCAACAAGCCTCTCAGCAGCAGAATGGCCAACAAACTACTCAAATGAGTGAAATGTACAAATATGACGTCAGTACTTCCGTAGCTTTCCCGGGCCAGACACAACCCCCTCAGACCCAAACTCAGGCCATCACTACAACGCACACACAGTATGATGTTGGCACTTCCACTGTTACTTACTCAGGTCAAAGTCAGCAATCAGTGTCCCAGGAGGGAGCATCACAATCCTCTACATCTGTGTGTGTAGACTCAAATAATTTTAGCGAAACGATCATTGGTTCGTAAAATCTCCCTAAATATTAGTTTTCTAAGGTTAGAACCTTAAGTACATTGTTATAAATCGTAACATTTCTGCTGAAATTGTTTCTTACTAAAGTTTACTTTATATAGATTCTATTTTAACATTTAGTTCTGTTAATTTTGAAGCAAGGACTTTTATTAGTTTTATTGCCCTGTTTGTGTCCAGCTATTCTTTGCCATAACAAGTAGGACAGCAGTCTCATTCTATTTTTTTACATTTTCACTATCATCTACCAATTTATCCACCAAAAGCATTTTGTTACAGGAAAATTACTATAATACTATCATTGCTCCTGCTTAGCTCTGGTTAGTTAAACTAGGTACTTAGATCAAAATTAAGACAATGGTCTTTAGTACTGTTGCAAACCTGTGTTATAGTTCGTCCGCTTAGAAAACGACCTGCGCGCTAATACTAAACCAATGCTGGAGGAGGTTCTAAGCGGCCGAACTATAGTTGTTTCTCCTGTCTCTCTTCACATATTCCCCAACAGTGACACATCAAAGTCATGTGGATTGAAACATTTCAAAGAGAGTAAAACAAACCCCTTCCCACTCAAAGTCCAGCCGCTTTGCCCACTTCATCACCATGTCAATGTCTCCAAAACCATACTGAAGTTACATGTATTTCAATCCTGGTGTTTTCCTCTGGCATTTCTTATCAAGGGTTCTTCCATAGATGGAAAGTTTAAAAATTATAAACCAAGTGTTACGAGTTAGTTTCCTCATACAGAAAATTGTAATTTAAGATAAGACCATGAACTTATGATGTTGTGATTAGGATGTTATTATGTTAAGTTCGCTATAGTTTATATTTTGATCATTGTTAATGACCAAGGCAATACTAAATAAACAGGCCGTAATTCTCCTCAGGCATGACGTCATCATAGGCGACGGCAATGACGTAATGTAATTTTTTTAGTTATATTTTTGTTTACCAAGAAAATATTAAAACAAGCAGCTCATCACAAACGGCAAAAATAACGTCATTGCCGTCGCCTACCATGACGTCATGTCGGAGGAGCATTACGGCCTGTTTATTTAGTGTGGCCTTGTTATGACTCAAGTCACGATAATACTATGAAATTTAAAAAAATAGTTCTATATTTTTGTATTGTTTTTGTAGTCTACCTATACACTTTAGTTCTACTGATCATGTAAATTTAAAAACTTGATTCAATAGTTGCATAATTACAATTTAAATCAATTGTTTTATTTTTTATTAGTTCTACATCAAGTGTAACTTAATTTAATTTTTTTAATATACATCAAGTGTAACAAAAAGTTACATTAAGTAATATATTTTGATATTTACTTTTGATAAGATTATTTCATGTATATAAACATAATATCATAGATGAATTTGCCACTAAAATTTGGAATGAAGGTGTGCTGTAATTTATATTAGACTTTCAATTGTGAAAATGAAGTCCTAAAAGGATCAATAAGTATTACTTTGACATAGCTATTTTTTTATTTTGTAAATAACACAGCTTTGGCTTAGGTGTGAAGTGTAAATATTCGATCTTATACAAATTGTAAGTATTATTAGTGTCAATTGTATGTGCATGTCAAGGACATGATTTGTTTTGATTTTGTATAAACTTTTATAATAAATTGACTAAATGTAGGATTTTAATTTGTGTTTTTAGTACCTATATCTTTCCAAATCGGTTAAAACGAGCCTTGCTGAAAATTCAGTTGATCTAACTTAGAAATAGATATTCATTGTAAGCTCGCTGTTGTATTTAATAAGTGTGAGTGATGTCACCCCAGTATAAAAACCACATTAAGTAGCGGTGTAAGCAAGTTTTGTACATTCTAAGCAAATGTGAGCTGACTGAGCCCGCAAAAATTATTTTTGGTTTGGCTTGGCACATAGGCGTAGAGATTATGTGTCTGCAATACATAAGTTCACATGATCCATTATGCTAGATTATTACAGGTTTGATAAAAATGAACACTTATTCTTGGCTTTAAAGTCTATTTACTTGGTGAACATTTTTTATCTAGTGAGGCCTTATCTCGTCTATCATGGTGATAAGTGGCAAAAGTCTCTCCCACCAACAAAGGGAAGACTAGTGTTGCTTCTGCATATACCTGAAAAAATGTCATTGAAAAATAAGCTGACAACAAAATTGGTTCTACAACTTAAAAGCTCAAAATTTTAGTTATTTTCTGACAATGGTAAGGCAAAACTTTTGATGGAAAAAATTAATACTAGAGAGAAGAATATGAAAAAAATCAGATCACAAACTAGAACATATTGTTAATTCTATCTACAGCTCACAGACCGATGATATAATCTAATTAGCAATTTAGTAAGTTGCAAAAAATCATGAAACTGAACCATTCCGAGAGTAAAGTGTGTTTCATTTAAATTGGAGATTATTATTATAGCTAATTTAATATTTATTTAATGAACACGCTTTTCACAGTCAATATTATTGATGTGTCAAAACCGAATTGCAAATCTCAAAACCATCAAAACTTTGGGAATGTTTCAGTATCAAAATCAAAAGTTTTGAAATTGAATATTTTGACACTTAGATTTTTGAAACTGCTGATAGTTTTTGTGTCATTATTGTTTATAAAACTGTTAACACACAAGCTGGTAGCAATGGAACAAACATATCACCATTAACAGTTAACACTAATGAATAAGTAAATTGTATTCTGAACTGCAAAAGGCATCTGAAATATAGGAACAACGTACAATTCAGTTTCATATCGATATTTATTAATCACAAAGAAATATTGACCACTAAATGTTCTAATAATCATGTTTATGTTGGTGTCAGGAGTTTTATTTTAACGTTATTTGTTTATAAAAAATCATGTTGTTTTGGGTTTGAAGTTTATCAGATACATATTTATATTATTAAGTCTGGATCAGGAGTTGATCTCTTTTTTTTATTGCAAAATGAGCATTGAATCATTCTGTAGTTTTTCTACCTTGACCGGGTAATTATATTTCGTGTTAAGGTTTTGAGATTCGGGTTTTGACCATCACTAGTCAATTATATTTCTAAACAATTAGATAGATTGTACCTGGTACAAAGTGTTTTTGGAAAAAGGTTATTGATAGGAAGAGCTAAGGATGAGTCGATATAAACACATATACACATACAAAATTGAAATAGTTGATGGCCACAGACTACTAAGTACTAATTAATCACAAAGAAAGGAAGATTGCAATGGTGGTGTAGAATGTTAAAGTGGTTATTGGAAGCAAGTATTATTCTTCAGTATCTCTTTATTTTTCCATTTTTCGATATTGTCCCCTGTTATTTTTTTTACCTAAGAAGTATATACTGTAACAAATAATTAAGCACAAGAATCTTCGATGACTTACTTTGACTGGAGTTGCAGTTTTCTTAATCTTGCCCCAAGACACAGCTTCATCAGGTCGAGCACCACTGTCACTGCCATCAAACTCTGAAGCTGTGTTGATGAATACTGCGTAATCCGCTCCATTTCTCTATAATATACAATCTTTATTTGAAATATTTTCACATCATGACAAAAACTTTAAATCTCTGAGGTAGAACGTATCATTCTCTGTCCCAGTAAAACCGTGCTAAGTGAATGGGTCCAGAAACGATCACACCTGGGACATTTCCAGACGAGCACTATTTAACCACTAGACAACCTAGATAAATTTAATTTTTATTGTTTAGTTTTTACCTAAAAATATTAATTAATGAGAAACCAATTTAACTTGTTGTTCCTCAATCAACTCCTTCAATGTTGTTGTAATAACAAAATGCTCACCGAGTGCTTAGGTTTTCTTAGCTTATACAGGCATTTTATCCCAGTAAATCAAACACCCTCCCACTATAAGTATTGGTATTAGTGAAAGTTCACAGTAATAATACATTATTGTTTCAGTTAACCTATATTAAACAGAGTAGTATTGCACTATACCATGAGATTGGCGTTGCAGATATGATGTTTGATCACTCCGCCTCCTAAAATGACGACACCAGAGTTAACGGCTTTCATGGCAATGGTGTTGAGTCTGCGGAGGTCTGAAATGAATATAGAGCTACTTGAGTGAATGAGACTAGTTGGTGTGAGATGGAGCATTTAACAACTATAACGTCAAGGTATGAGGTGTAATTATCAACACAAATAAAAAAATAAAAAATAAAAAAAAAACAATATCAGAAATACTTATACTTATACTTTAATACTTTTCACTGACACATACTTTCTCCTGTTTAGCATGTCAACAACCTTTTATCATGAGTAAGCGGTGGGAGTAACTATATTTAACTGGGGAAAATCACAACAGTCTGCATCAAAGTTTTTATAGCAATGGGGGTTGTACTGTGATTAGATTTACGCTTGACAAGACTATAACATAGGCCTACTAAATTTTTATCAAAATAGGTTCAGGCGGCTTTTGTGAAACTTCAGCTTTTTCTGTTATCTATGGGTATTTTTGGGAAAATCACAAGTGAAAATAAAATTTAAAAAAAAGCAAGGAGAAACTACGGATTAGTACCCAAATGCCAAATTTAATTTTGAATGATAAACCATCAAAGTATCTGTATTTCATACAGAAGTAAGAAAAATAACATCTTAAAGTTAGAATTATAAACATTAAATGATTGATTATCTTAAAAGTTGACTTATATCTATAGGGGAAACAAGTTTAAAATGAAACAAAACATAATAACAAATATTAAATTGTGGTAAATGGGGGATTAAGGGTAATAGGTTTTTGAGCATAGAGTGAAATAACACGTGTATCTTTTTGGGATTTAGAGAATAGCATACATATGGGGATGGATGGGGCACGCACTCACGATTAGTGTCCCATATCACAGTTTGTATGGGGAATTGGGTTACACACTCGCGATTATTGTCTATTTTGCAGGCACGGTTACTGTGTGTCTTCTACCGGTTCTTGTTCTGTGGGATCTTGGTGAGTCGGTTCTATATACATCTATAGGTGTGAAATATGATATGGTCCATAAATTGTTTAGTTCATGTTTTTTTTTAGCTGCAAATTCCTGGTGTTTCAGAGAATATATGTTTATATTGGAGAATCAGGTTACCTAACTCGGCTCGTTGCGTATCAATCAATAATTTGTTATCTTTTAAATATTCTTGAACTTCGGATTCAGTTATGCTGTCCATCAATTGATTATTATTATTTGATTGGTGCTTGTAATGAAAATCTTCTTTATGTATATTTTTATTGTTGTAACTGCCATTAATATCGGGATCTGACCTGTGGCTGTAATTATCGACGATGGAACAAGTGATTCCTTCAGTAGAAACTTGATCAAACTTCATTACAATATCTTGGTTATTTATATTCATTTTTATATTATTATTAACAAAGTTCACCTTCGCCTTCATGCTTTCTAAGCTATCACATCCTAAAATCACTGGTCTATAAAGATATGGTACGAGCATAAACTGTAGATTGATGGTTTGTCCACTGATATTAACTGGAATAGTAGCAATTTAACAATTTATAGTAACAATTTATAGCAATAGTAACAATTTATTCTTATATAAGATATAGGTGATACATTTGGTTTTTGAGCCTGTACGTATTGTGGTGTTAGTTAAAAGTAACTGTTTGAATTTTCCCATTATATGTTGGTTTTCTTTAACAAAATTCTCAAAAAATGCAAGCTATATTAGCACCGCTATCGATTAATGTGTATGTTGAACATATGGATATTTGAATTGGAATTTTGGGACAATTGATGGAATACGTATTTTGTGTATTTTCTGGCTTATTATTTTCCTCTTCGTTGTTTATCAAAAATTCTTGGTCGCAATAAATGTTATTTAAAATTACAATGTTTCCTATTTCTTTGTTTATGTTCTGGTTAGTATTTTTTTCATTGCTTGGCCGTCTGAGGTTTGGATGAGTTTTCGCTGCGAATTCTGCAGAGAGGTGAGATGTGTCCTCCTCGCTGCACCGGCCGTGAATTGCTGTGCTTAGGAGTTTGAAGTCCCTGCAGCCTGGTGATTTGGGGAACTGGGTATTGATGGGTTCTGTCGACTTTTTTTTTGCCGAACATACCGCACACTTGGTTATGTTCTTGTGTGGCATAATTACGAGGTGGCGATCTGTTTGGTTGATTTTGTTGTCCGCGTTGTTGATGGGTGGATGGTATGGAGTTCTGTTCTCTTGACTTTGATATCTGTTCTGGTCATGTTCCTGGTATATGTTATGGTGATATGGTGGATGATGGTTTTGGTGATGGTTGGGACGGTAGGCGTGTGATTGATGTTGCTGTCTCTTCTGCTACAGTAGACTCCCTCTTATCCGAACTCCTCGGGATGAGGCCAGTCCGGATAACGGGTTTTCCTGTTAAACTGACGTCCCCAAAAACTCATTTAAACGAACCGTTTACTGTGATATTCGACTTAAATTTAGGAGACCATTGTATACAAACACGTAATCATTGGTCTCAAATCTTTCCCACGAGAACAGTCGTTTCAGTACCGCACACTTCCTGCCGATCTAGTCTGGTTAAACCAATGTGCTGATACAAATTTTTTGGTTAAAGAGATGTCATTTCCGCCGAGTTTAGTCCGGTTAAAAGGTGTCCGGATAAGAGGGAGTCTACTGTATGTTGATTTATTCTGTCTCGATTGTTGTCTTGTTCTCTAGGAGGCTGAGGATTTGGGTTCCTGGTTCTTCCAGGAAACTAAATTTAAACTAAAATGAATGAATGTAACGCATAGGCTATATTGACGGGTAACATTGCAGTCTTCATACAAATACTACTTATTGCTTAGGAAGTGGCAAACCAAGGTCTGTAAAAGGCTAAATATGACAGACAAATTAAAAGTCATTGTTTGCACCTTATAAATCTAAAATACCCTAACTAAAGATCGAGGATTGATGCTCCGGTTAAAAGTTTAACCAATTAAATATCAATGATCCTACAGTATAAGTTGAATTGACACATAAGATCTAAATCTATTTCTATAGTTCGGCCGCTTAGAAAGCGACCTCCTCCAGCATTGGTTTAGCATTAGCACGCAGGTCGTTTTCTAAGCGGCCGAACTATAGTTTATATTACCTTGAAGAATGTCGACTACTAATCCTGGGTTTTTATATGAGTGGAAAAACATCATATCTCCCAGGCTACCGTCTGTAAGGGCAGGACTGAAAACTGGAATTTGATTTTTTGCTGCCCAATAATATATGGAACTTTGGTCATTGATCTCCAGGCCAAGTCTTTCTATAACTTTAGATGGTGTCCAAAGAGTTCCCTGCGAATCAAAATCATAAGTGAATGAAATTTAAGAATACATTTTAAAATAACTTACTTAGTATTCTATACTTTATTAAAATTAGTAATATAGGTTATTACAAAGCTATTACGCAACAAGGCCGTGAAGTAGGTGTTTACAGAATGAGCATGGTAGTTCCTGTGCTTGTCAAGTGCAGGATTTAAGGTGAATACCGTTAATACCTTCCCAAGTGAGTTGCAAACTTTTTCCCACACCACCAGCAACAAAATATACATACAATTACAACACTGTTAAGAACATGCAGTTTTAGTAGAATAAGGAACAAATTTAAAAGCCTTTTTTATCCTTATTGCGTTCTTTTTATATGTTGTAAAACTTGACATCATGTCTTTGTGCCTTGTTCTGTTAAATAAACCAATATATAAAAAAATAGAAATAGATATTAAATATTGGCAGTAGGTCTTAGTTGTAGATTAACATTTTTTAAATGTGAAGTACAGTAATACTATGATCTACTTATTTACTATTGCCAGTAAAATACGTAGCCTAATCTTAAGTCGGTTAACCCTCCGAGTGTTAAGCGTCGCGTAATCGACGCACAACACACCCGCCGTGGTGTTATGCGTCGCTTTTGCGACCCACAAACATCGTTTACGGCGAAGGCTCTGGGACTGACTGAATCAGATTGAACTGGATCGAGATTGGTATCGTTGTTTTGATTGGTATCGTTGTTTTCGGCATATTCTGAGCTTTCTCCTGATGTCTGTTTCTAGACGCTATTCATTTTAGTTCCGAAAATATTGTAGAAGACAGCTGACGTGCGTATTTCTAAACAACTTGGTTAACCCCGCACAGATGACTGATGTGTTTTATTACGTTTATTAGCGAATTTCCCGATATAGGGAATAAGCTATTACCGTAGTACTCATGGTAAGACCTGGACGCGGGACCGATTTTTTTCCCCAGAGGCCAAAAACACCATCCGTTCAAATTCATATATATATATATATATATACAGAGTGTTTTTTTAAAAACTTGCATCTTTATTTATGTAAAACCGCAATAGATAGAAATATGCAGTTTGCGGGAATCATCTATTGACGTAGGGGGACCAATTGTTTTGAATTCAACGTTACATTCACATTACCCCCCTGCCCCCAACTTAATTTTTTTAAATAGCAAGGTACCCCTTGTGATATCAAATAAAAGAGCATGAAAAAAGAAAATGTTTGATGAAAAAAAATTGAAAATCGGTTCATAAATTTGTGAGATATTTCCCCCCTCACCCCCCCGGAACTTAATTTTTTTTAATAGCAAAGTACCCCTTGTGACATATCAAATGAAAGAGCATGAAAAAAGAAAAATTTTGGCGAAATTTATTTTTCATTTGATATGTCACAAGGGCGGGTACCTTGCTATTAAAAAACAAGTTATGGGTAGGGGAAAAGGGGGGTGATTATCTCACAAATTCATGAGCCGATTTAAAATTTTTTTTCACCAAAAATTTTCTTTTTTCATGCTCTTTCATTTGATATGTCACAAGGGGTACTTTGCTATTAAAAAAAAATTAAGTTCGGGGGGGTGAGGGGGGGAATATCTCACAAATTTATGAACCGATTTTCAATTTTTTTTCATCAAACATTTTCTTTTTTTGTGCTCTTTTATTTGATATGTCACAAGGGGTACCTTGCTATTTAAAAAAAATAAGTTGGTGGCAGGGGGGGAAAGGGGGGGAATGTGAATGTAACGTTGAATTCAAAACAATTGGTCCCCCTACGTCAATAGATGATTCCCGCAAACTGCATATTTCTATCTATTGCGGTTTTTACATAAATAAAGATGCAAGTTTTTAAAAAAACACTGTATATATATATATATATATATATATGTGTCCGTCAGCACGATAACTCGAGCAAAAATGATCCGATTTTGATGAAAATTGGTACAAACGTGTAAAAGTACGTTTATTCGAACGAGTTCGCGATCCAGCATGATCGGACCATGGGAACGGGGGTTTACGGGGGGTTTTATGGGGTAAAAATAGGTTTTTCCCATTTTTGACCCATAAAACATAAAATTTAGCTATTTCTTTCCAAACCATTTTGTAGAGCTTAAAAAAACAAATAATTTAGTATATTGAAGCGCTATTATGCGCTTAATGGTTACGGAGAAAATTCCAAAAAATTGTAAATTTAAAATTCCCATGTTATTCTTATGCAGAATAAGTAAACTGTTGTAGTTTGCTTGTTTGTGAACATATTTTGATCAAATTTGGAAAAGTTTTTATTTCTTACTAACTATCTACACATTTTACAAAAAAAATCAGTTTTACCCTCCCTGATGCAGCAAACCTAAGTACTTGTTAAACTAATTCTATTTAAATCAAGAATAAATGTTTTATTTTTAAGTAGACATTTTAGTGTAAATCCAATCAGTCAAATGGAAATTCGCTTAGTCTGCAGGTTTGCTGCGGCGGGGGTATCATTGTTTTAGTGTTAAAAATCACAAGTAGTGATATACGTGGTGCATTATAAGAAGATTTAAGTGATTTTGAAGGGCTGGTTGATGATCCTGAAGAAGTAGGTACCGTAGTGATATTGATGTAAATTATCAGCCAGATTCCTAGCTATGAATGGCTATGCATTCTATGTACCGAAATATGTTTTTTGCCCATAACTTATTTATTTGCAAACCTACTTCCTTATATTATTATATTTTTGGAATCCTCATAAAATTCTGAACAAAGTGGCAATTTTAAAATATTTGTAGATCTATAAAATTATAACAATTTATTGAGCCCAAACATAAATTTTTTCATTTATTTTATAATTTTTGAGAAATGTTAACCCAAAAAATTGTTGAACATTTTTTATGTAATGTTTTATATGTTACATTGAAGCCCATAATTTTCCAAACAAAATGATATATAAAACAGTATACTTTACATTGTTTTTAAGTTTCTATGATACATTTTAATAAAACCCTGTGATTGTGCAATAAATGGGCGAACATTAAGACCAAAACTATGGACACTTGGAGGGTTAAAGTAGCACACTATTATAATATTGTAATCACATAATAAATATATTCTGTTTCAAACCGTCATTGTTTAATTTATATAAAAAAATCTATTAAATAAAGCTTTACCCAGCCTGGCAGGAGTCGTACAGAACTATAAACAAAAAGCAATAATGTCGGCATTATTTTTTCAATGGCTATTTTTATGGTAAATAACTTTATTTTGAAAATGGGAACAGTTCTAAGAGGATTTGTTTATACTGATGGATAACTAATAACTAACATTCTCCCTCGCTTCCATTTAACAATTACCTTGGTTTTCTGTTCTTCTAACATAGTATCCAGATGTGGCATGACCCAATCTTCAAACAGGCAATAGTTGTCGTTGGGCACAAGAAGATTTCCGATCCGATTGATGCCTTTGTCCCTCAGTACGCTTCCTTTGAGGTGAAAGTCACCGATGTATGTTGGAGCAAGACATTTGATCAGGTCTTCTTCCACACCACCTGCTGTGGTGACGATGCAGTCTACCAGCCGATGCTGAACCAGAAACCGTATTGAGTCTCGAACTCCGGACGATACCATGTTGGAAGTGAATCCCAAGAAGATTGTACAACTTGACCGGCGTCTGATGAAGTCATCATCCTCCAGTGAGTCTTCTTGCTCATCGCTCAACGGAATGTCCCTGCATTTCAACTAAACATGGTAAACAGAATAGCACACAAGTCTGCGTTACTAAAAATAATCAAGTAGAAACTAAAATCTACCTATTCAAAAAACTTTAGGATGCTATAGGCCTACCTAAAAATAAAAAAAAGAACAAGAGGTCAGTTTTAAAACTGTTTTCTTCCAAGCAATACACAGATTTGACACCTAACTTATTGATCCCTATTTTTAAGAAAAAGTTATATTAGGCTATTTGGATTTGTGTATATCAACCATTTTCGGATGGTTTCATTGCTAGACGCCCTGAAGACCTAAAAGAAATATTTCAGACTATTGAAGAGGAGGCTTGTCGTATGGGTCTGGAAATAAATGAGGAAAAGGCACACTACATGAAAATGTCTGAAGCAGAGGCCAGAAGGAGAATCCAAAACTTGGATGTAGGCAATTATTGTTTGTGTGGATAGGTTTGTTTACCTTGGGGCAGATCTGAATAGCAAAAACAGTTGGCCAAGAAATCACAAACTGAATCATGGCTGGTAACAGGGCATATTATGCTAACCTTGGGATCCTCAAATCCAAGCTAATGGACCCGCAAGACAACGATGAAGCTGTATAAGACTCTCATTAGGCCGATTGTTACGTACGGTGCAGAAACCTGGTCCCTTTCTGCAGTGAACACAAACGCACTGAGAGTGTTCTAAAGGAAGAATACATGGAGCGGTGAAGGAAGGGGATAGATATAGGATATTGAAAAATGTATAAATAAATGACATTTTGTAAGGGGAATTGTGCACTTCATCAAAGCGAGAAGGATCAGTTGGTTAGGCCATGTGGAGAGAATGCCTCAAGGAAGACAGCGCCTAGAACTATTGTGCCAGAACATGGAAGGGACTAGGAGAAGGGGTAGGCTGAGAAGCAAGAAGATGGCTTGATGAAGTGGAGGATGACTTGAGAATGTTGAGAGTGAGGAATTGGAAAGAGATGGCGTAAGATCGAGGCGATTGGAGGCAATTTGTAGCAGAAGCCAAAGGTCACCAAGGCCTGTAGAGCTACGGAAGTAAGTAAGTAACCATTTTCGTATGGGCAGTCACTTGACTTAGGGGGGGGGGGGGCAAAATATTTAAAAAAAAAATTTACTTTTATTTTCTATTTTTTTTAAAATTGTAAATTTATACTAGTACTCTAAAAAAATATAGTATAACAAATGACTTCTTAGTAACATTAATAAATTGTTACAACTAAATTAATGGTGCATATTTATTATACATAAATATTCGCTACCCGCCTTTAACAACAGAATAAGTTAACAGCGATAAACGGTATCAGCAATCTGACACACTTTCTCCCATAAGCTTGTCAACAACCTTTATTATGGGTAAGTGGTGGGAGTAACTATGATATTTTTTAGGGAAAATCACAAAATTTGCAATAACCTTTGAACCGTAATTGTTACAGCAATCGGGGGGTTGCACTATTTTGTTTGGATTTTACCATAAAACATTAGTTTTAATCAAAATCGGCTTTTGTATAATTGGCTTTTGCTAGTAGCAATAGATTTGGAACCGTAATTTTGACAGGAATGGGATTTGTAACATTTTAGAGAAAATCTGATTTTTCCGTTTTTATGAGGTGTATGGGTTTTTATAAAAAAAATCACCATTAAAAATAAAAATTTTGAAAAATTAAAAAACCCCTGGAGATACTATAGATTAGCACCTACATACAAAATTTCATCAAAATCAGATTACAGGTGTGGTCTGTAGCTCTGTACACATTCACACACACGGACATCACATCGAAAACCACTTTTCTGGGTTCAGGGGGACCCAAAACCGGTAAATCGATTCAAAACTCAAACTCAAAAATTTTGACAAACACAATACTTTCTCCATATAGCCTACCATGTATAGGGAGAGAAAGTAAAAAAGTGGTAAAGTTATTTAGCCTATATTAAAATATTTAATTTGTAAAAGAACGTTCTATATGCCTAACTTTTTCTGGTACTGAATTCCAGTAGGTCTTACAAAATAACCCAAATAAATAAGAAAAAACACACCTAAAGCCTAGCATACCATATTTTGAATTTCTTCTACAGCCAGACCAAAATTCGTCGCTTGAAACCCACAAAAACGGTAAGTTTCCAAAAGTGCCTTGTAATCAATTCCATTATTCCAGTCATATCCTGTGAAATAAAAGAAAAACATCACTATAAATAACAGTTAGATAATTATGGTCTTCTATAGACTGTATATTGACTTTTACCATCACTAAAATATGCATCCTGATGAACAACATTGAGCATTAGCATAGTAACACATATCAATCTTAAAGAAATGTGGTTGTGTTAATAGCCTAGGGGCTAGCGTTTAGGATTTACCGGTCGAGTTACTGGTTTGATGTCTGGCACAGGTAGGTACCCAGAGGATAGAGATGTTGGACCATTTTCCCTTAGCAGGGTTTATATTTTATACTAAGCTATTAATATTTTAATATAATACACACTATTAGTTTCCCTGTAGCAGCAAACCTAGGTACTCGTTAAACATAAATGTTAATTTAGGCCTAATTGAAAATCAATCCAGGCAAATAGAAATTCGCTTAATTAGCAGGTTTGCTGCAGCGGGGGTATTTTAGTAAAATATAATAGCTTAATATAAAATAAATTAATATGCCAAGTTTGATCAAAATATATACATAAACACAAAAACTACAACATTTTACAATATTCTCTCTCTATAAGAACTAGCTGTTAGTCATTCCATCCCCATGTTAAAGTTGTAGCCAGGTTTTTAATAAAATTTGTCTTAGTTGATGTGAGCCACCTACAGATTGTGCTGATCTAAATTACTGATTTATGCCAATTACACGATGGTTTTTACCAAGTCAAACTGATGGAATGACTTATTATGTGCTATAGCAACTGTTGTGACCCAGCAACTATGTCAGTAACAAAAAATAAGGTACAAAATAGAGTTTTACACACTAGCGTAATCTCTGGCTGGCTCACACAACCACATTCTTTTTTAGTAAACAACTAGCTGTGTGCCCGTTCTACGTACGGGGATCTTATAGTATTCAGTTGAAACCTTCTTATATGAAGAACAGCAGTTGGTTTGCATATTTTCAGATATGCTGGTAAAACTATCTTCTATATATATAAAAGGCAAAGCCCTCACTGACTGACTCACTCACTCATCACTAATTCTCCCACTTCCCACTTACCCAGGAGGCTGAAATTTGGTACACTGATTCAATAGGCATTAAATAGGAAAACTAAGTGGTTTTTATTCTGATCGGACTCTCGGGCTCCGCCCCAGTGGCTCTGGAGTTTCCCATGTTAACCTAATGAGTACTCATATTTAAATGGAATTAATGAATCTTAACAGCTGTTTCAATTAAACAAGTTGGTTCTGTTCTATGATGTTCAATAGCATTTAAGTTACAAGGATTACCAACAGAGTGCAGCACTATTATTTTTTTTAATATTTGACAACAGCTAATTTGAAACCAAAAGGTGAGTGAGCGTAGCGAACGAACTTCAACCCGGAGGCGAGTTAGCGTAGCGAACGAGCTAACTTGAAGGCAAGTGAGCGCAGCGAACGAGCTCCAACCTAAAGGTGAGTGAGCGTAGCAAACGAGCTCACATATGAAGTTAAACAGGGCAAAGCCCGCGGGTACAGCTAGTTATACATAAACCTTCGCAAATACAGTATCTGACAGTTTCAAGCCAAAATAAACGCAATTAAATGTCACCCGGATCGTGTTGGTCCGTATGTTAAATCCAATGATTAAACTAAAATATGCTTTTTATAGATCTACTAGCTGGACCCGGCAGACGTTGTCTTGCCTTTGACTATTTATAATTTAAGTACCGGTACCGTAACGTTTAATTGTCTTATTGTATATGAAGTGCTTATATAACTAAATTAAAATACGTACAACAACTAATGAAACACATATAGTACAATGGATAACCGATTCCTTATTATTGCTCTTATATTAATGCTAGTGGGTAGACAATATTTTTGGTCTTTCTATTCGGCTCAATCACGTCCTGGTTGAAGTTCGTTCGCTACGCTCACTCACCTTTAGGTTGGAGCTCGTTCGCTGCGTTCACTTGCCTTCAGGTTAGCTCATTCGCTACGCTCACTTGCCTTCAGGTTAGCACGTTCACTACGCTAACTCGCCTCCAGGTTGAAGTTCGTTCGCTATGCTCACTCACCTTTTGGTTGCAAATTAGCTGTTGTCATAGATGTAAAAGAAATAATAGTGCTGCACCCTGTTGGTAATCCGTGTAACTTTAATGCTATTGAACATCATAGAAAAGAACCAACTTGTTTAATTGAAACAATTGATTCAATTTCTCATAAGGTTTAAGATTCCATTTCTCATAAGGTTAACATGGGAAAATCCAGAGCCACTGGGGCGGAGCCGATTGGACGGATCACGAAATTGATGGTGTATAAACCTATTCCATGAAATTCTACACGTATGTACCAAGTTTCGTGGCAATCGGTTCAGCGGTGTCTGAGTTTATCACTGCCATATATATATATATACAAACATCCTCTTTTATACTTATAGATGAGGCATATCCCTAAGGTAGGCCTATAATTGAAAGTTACTTTCCACAATGGTTAAAAGTATTTAAAGTAGGCTACTACCTGAACCTCACCATTTAACACTTTATTCCGGTTGACCTTTTTATCATCAAAGGTGCTCTTGTCCTTTCCGTGAAACACTGAGAAATAAGGACATTAATGTGTCACCAACAGACATATACACAAAAATACAGAATTTAATTAGGGAATTTGCTATGATTTAAGCATACCTAACAAAGTACATACCTATAAAATAAGTAGAATAATACAAAATCTTTGTTAATGTCATCAAATTTTATCATAACAATTTATATTTGCTTAGTTCGGAGATGAACCGAAATGCTGTCGAAATGACGGCTTACTATATGAAATGAAGTACTATTATAGACGATTTAGATTGGTAATTTATAATACGTACCCAAGAGATGGGCTATGGGCCTATTAGCTGTAAGGTCCAGCTATTGCATCATACGGTGAGTAGGAACAGAAAGTGACATAGACATTGGAAAAGCGAGTTTATCATCATCCGTAAACCTCTGTTACAATTACCCACTGCAGTTGTGATTTTTTGCTTTACACAACCGCCATCGAAGCGCCGTCAATTAGTGAAACCTTGTTAGTAAGCTATTGGCGACGATCATTAATAAATTCAAGTTTCCCAGCCATATACAACACTGATTCAAGGTCTTCTTTCTGGTTATCAAAACTCAAGAACAATTTTATACACAAAGAATCTCTGGTTCCTGACCTGGATGATGCCTAGTTATTTAATTTCATTTACGGTTACACTATATTTTTCCACTTGCGATTAATTCAATCCGTTATGTAAGAAAAACGTTTTTAATCTCACTTGGATGGGATTTGCCTTCAAAACAAGATCGGAAGTGGTTGCGGTATTTGTAAACAACATTTGTAAACATATCAGTGACATCTAGAAAAAATAATCTTGATCCGAACAGCTGTTCGTTATTTCATAGATCATTATGTGATAAAAATTGGACGAAAACTTGACAAAAATCGCACAAAACTGCATTTTTGACCGTCCGTAATTTTATTTACTAAGTAGGGAATACAATCTGGGGAAATACTGGAGATTGGATAATCCTAGAATCCCTAGATATATGCAATTGGCTAACTAATTACATTCATCAAAGACTGGCTTAAAGGTCTAAATACTTCGACAATGATCATAATTTACCTTTTACTAAAGGAGTTCCTGATGGCAATCCAGAGCACTCAACAAACACTGCCTCTTTGGCTTTGATTGGAATATTTTTGTCAATTTCTTGAATTATTGTTTCATCACATTTATCATCTTCCTTGCAATCCATCGGTGCCTTAAATCATAGACAGACTTTTCTGGCTATATCCTGGGAAATGCTATGCTAAGTATAATTAAATTAAATTAATTCCAATCAATTCCACAATCCACATCCAACAAACATTGAAGTGTGAGTGAAGTGTGTAAAATAGAGTAAGGTGGTACTCATTTGTTTACGACATTTGCAATTACACTTGTCACAAAATATAACTTTTAAGTTGACAGAATCTAATATTGTCTTTACATTAAACTAGAAAAGAAAGTTTCATGTTTCTAAGGTTCAGTCAGATGATAATTCAATATGGCTCAGTGTTCAATACGCCATAACGCAAGATACGTGCGTGTGAGGTTATGTTTACAAGTTACGTATGGTTTGAAATTGGTTTTGCTTTTTTGCAGAATCGAAAAGCAGAAGAACAGCAACCAGCATTGAGCATAATTTTAGCTCAGTGGCACGGCCGCCTTTAACTAGGCCGCGGCCTGGTAGAATTGGCAACGTCGCAAGTGGTGTTGTTCAGTGACAGACGTCCCATAAGATAACATGGCGGACAGGTGACATCAGCTCATTAATTCGCACTTTATTGATTTAAATTTAAATTTATGGACATAAATTTATTAAAATATAGAAAAAAAAAACAATGATAAAACATACAGAATTGAAGACCGAAACAATATGAACTAAAAATCTATATCTGTACATTTTTAGGGGAGTCAATATTGTCAAAGTCCAGTAACCAATCTTTCGTAAATACACAAATACCATTAGCTGCTTCCAAACAAAACAGCTGTTACAACACCAATTGCAACGTTGCCAGTTCGAAGGCCGCGGCCTGGAGTTAAAGGCGGCCGTGTCAGTGGCAACCAGCAATACTCATGGTGGAAGGAAAAAGCATAGGCGTTCTATTCCCGTCATATGCTGACGTCACCCAGATTGAAAACACCATTTTACCCTCTAAATCATGGATACAACCATAGACTAAGGAGAATAAATAATAATAATAAGGAGGATAAATAATAAGGAGAATTCTCCTTAGTCTATGATACTCATCACTTAGTCATACTCAAGGGAGTATGTTTTAACATAGATAAAAAATACTCCTCAAGGAGGAGTATGTTTTATAGACTTCTCATCCCATTGTAAATTTTGAAGCTCGTTTTTCATGTCTAGTTCATGTACGCCACACTGGGCGCTAGTGTCGACGAAATTTTGTTTCTATTATTTTAGGGTTAATTTCTTGATTTGTGCTTTACTGTTTGGTTAAATAACTAGGGGACAATTAATTGTTTATAATTACGTCGTATTATTTGGTTAAACGAGGTTTTAAATGACTGTATTAACGGGAAACAAATTGTAAACAAAACACGACCTCTACATAAACCGTACAGAACTAACAATAAAATTGTCTTCAGCTGTTCCATTAGGATGATAAATCTACTAAGGGAGTATGTTTTATGGTTTTATCTATGGTTGAATGTTGATCTAGGCGGCCGTGATGTTGATACTCAGCATGCTTCTTTACTCTATGTCATAAACCTCTGTTTTTGACCTTGTTTCACTCCACTTCCTTTTCCTTGTTTGTTTTTGGTTGTTTGATTGATTGACTAACATAAATAAAAACAGAACTAAGTTATTGCTCCAATAAATTAATAACTCGATAAAAACCAACATTTATATTCAACTTCCATCTTCATTCTTCAAACAGTGCAAACTTGGTTTTAAAGTTTTTTTTTATTATTTTTGTGGCAATAATAATCGATCATTTTTATTTTCAACCCGTTAGGTTCGGTCTAACCTCAAGAAAGTTCCAAGAAATGGAAAACAATTCGTCAGAAATTCTGCTACATTGTAATAATTTATACTGATGGTAAGCTATATAGGCCTAGGTTAGGCTTCTTGAGAAATAGCAATTGACCTATTTCTTTTAGATTTGATCTCGTTTTAATATCATGTTAAGTTAAGTTTGAGGTAGGATCCTAGGCTAAGTAAAGTTAGTACCAGAGTGCTAACTTAAAAACTAGGCCTAACTAAGTTAAGTAGTTATGCTTAATCATTTGTTCTAACTTACTGAACAACTTGAGAAGTAAAACATCAAAATAGGCCTATACCTACTATCTAGCCTAATCAAATTAATCATGCAGGCTTATCTAATCTAAATTAGTCAGTCAGCTAATTGAGGAACATTTTATTTTCACTTATAAGTCCTAATTTAGTAGGCCTAACCTACACATTTTTACAAGATAGCAAGTCCACGTAAGTTATCTGAAGGTTAATGGTTCACATTGACCGGTTAAACACTTCAAAATTGCATCCTTTTTTTCTCTACACCAGTTGATCATTCCGACCACTACTTAAATTAATTGATTATATCTCAAGGTTGTTTTAAAAACAGCTGTCCAACTAAGATAGGTTAAATCTTGACTTAGGCTAACTTATCTAACTTTAGGCTTCTACTTATCTTCGAATAGCCTAGCTTTATGGCGATATCTTAACGTGTCTATTAAGCCCATAAGTTAGGCTACTGGGACTGTTTTAGGATGCCCTGGTGAATACCCTTAGGTTACCTCCAGGTCAAAGGGGAGGCCGGGGCTTCGTAGCCACTATTCAATGACTTTTACACTTATATTGCAAGTACCGGTACTCTCAGAATAAATAGCAAATGCTGGAGTTGGAATCACCGTATGCCAGACTGATAAATTGCATAGGCCTATCTCATGGGTGAAATTAAACATCGGTGGTTACTGGCTAAAAATAGAAAACACCCATGGAAGAGGAGACAGTCACAACCACAATCCTTACCGCGTCCCACCACACAGACATAGACGGCTGCTATACTGGCATTGGACGTTACTCAAGGACATCAGGCTACTGTATTTCAGAACTCACTAAGGGGGGGGGGAGGTAGATCTTTGGTTTTAACATTGAAATTGAATTGTAAGTTTTGAGACAATATGTTCCCTATCCTATATTACATATTTCTGCCCAACCTTTAAGTCAATTTCTATGAATTTGAACATTTTTTATTAAGAATGGTCAATTTTATACCCCTCCAAATTGCTCGAGTGTGCGGATGCATAACTCGCACACCCCTCAGGCCTGCCCTGAACCTAAGTACCTGCAGCTTTGACAGATATTTATAACTTAGTCTTCTTCAAGTTCAAGCAGCCATTGTTGAGATTAAGTTATGGGTTTGAATTTTGATGCTGGTGAGCTAGTGGTTTTTATATGTCTTTGGAAGATGTAGAAAAGTTATCTTTGCGAGGTGCCAATGGATGTAGTTTACGGAATAAGACAGTAACTTATTGTTAGCAACCTGAATGATAACTTACTGCTTAAATCAGTCAGGCCATTGAGAATTAATTAGATTTGAGACCACAGAAAGTACAAGAAGTCTGGCTTGTGACACAACCTTCAGGAACACCTAACTTGGACCTATTTTAGAAGGTGGGATTTTAGGAGACCATGGAGCTGGATCTGAGTGGTGCGGCAGTTAGGAGAAAGGACATTGTTTCAACTGTCTACGGAAGCATGGTTTCTGGATAAATCCAATAGCCGCAGGAGCTGATTTTACATGTTCTTTTGAGGCGGAAATCAGCTTGGGTGATATTAAATATCTCTTTAACTAACCCTGGATTTAAGTTACTGACCGCCCCAACAAAAATAATTTGGTAATTTTATCTTACCTAAATTTTAAAACTTTTTTGCATTCACGCCAGTAGGCAGACACAATTTTTTCAGTAAAGTCAATTCAAACTGCATTTTAAAAGAAAACATTGCAGCGATAAGCATTGATACAAGCAGTTAAGTTTTTCATTCATATGATTAAAAAACCACACTGTATTTTATAGGCTACATATACACATGGTCGTTGTCCGTTTTAACCAAGCACTTAGGTTATCCGGCCTAGGCCCAGTCCTGCAAGGTTAAGAGAAGAGTGAGAACGAATAGATACCGTACTGACGCAGAACACTTTGACCTTGTCTTGGCTACCAAACACTATGATTCTAAAGGGAGTTGTAGAGGTGGAGGATTGTTGTAATTTTGAACAAAAGGTAAACGCTTTATAGGCGGCTGTCATGGATGTTGTAGGCTATTTTTGGTCTTTTCACAGACCTGCTAAGGTTTGTGTGCTAAGCTTTCTTGCATATTTCATTAATTTCAGTTACCGTAATTAAACTCTGACACCATGATAGTTTTAAGTTTTAATCACAAAATTTGTACAAAATGATTCACTTCACAAACTAGATCAAATTGACCCAAAATGTATTTTAACTTTGACAACGACCAAGACACCTGATCTAAAATCATAACTTTATTTTGTTTCTAGATATCATCAGGGACTGAGTGAATAGATCCCGACATGGTTGACTATAGGAAACAATGGATAAAAAATAGAGTACTGACATTTTTGGATGAAGAGGATGAAAATCTTTTTGACCAAATGTGTGCCAGGCATGGTAATAAAATAGGAAGGTCGTTAACAGATTATTTGGAGGACAATATTGTCGGCACACATGATCTGGAAAGAAGGTTATTTGTTGTGTACAAAACTTACTATGATAAAGTTATCCATGAAGAGGTTCTTGTGCCAGAGCAAGGTAATTTTAGGCCTATATTTGATGTACAGTAGTTTGTTGACCCAATAGGCCTATAGATTTTTGATCAACAGGAACCTTATCTTGCAACAAGCTTGGTGGAGGTGCTTGGACCCCGAGTCCACCCCTCCATCAATACATACATATGTACAAATACCGTACTAGCAATAAGACTCCTAATGAAAATGATAAATGTATACCTACTTATTATTGAAAGTAGGCTCATGATTGATATTTTAGCTATCGATTAATTTCAAGTACCGGTACTCTATATTCAATGGTGAAATAAAAGATGGTTATGGCCAGTAGTTTTCTTATAAGAAACCTCTGCTGTCAGAGATTCTGATTTAAGGTTCTTTATAACTCTTGTGAATAGGCTACCCTAATACTGTTTTTTTTTTTTTTTTTTTTTTTTTTTTTTTTGTAAACGGGGTGAGTTTCTACTAAGTGCGTTTAATTTTTACCAGTTAGGCTATTCTACTCACTAAAAGGAACAGAAAATGCCAAACAAAAATTTTCCAACCCCACCCGCTAGGCTGTAATGGCCAATTATATAAATTTTTACAATTACCTGTAGTAGCTTCACTAAAACGAGCATAGAAATTAAGCAAATAGCCTACACGTTCAGCATAATAACTTATAGCAGTGAAAAGAGCGTTAAATTTCATACAAAACCATTGCAACATCTTTAACATACAACCATATTTTTACCATCGTTTGTTTATAGATGGTACTTTCCAAACTGATGATTAGTATTTCATAAATGATGTATGTGGTAAATATTGGGAGAAAAATTGACAAAAATCGCACAATTTGGGTTTTTGAACGACTGTTATTTTATTTACAAAGTAGTGAGGCCATATTTTAATGGCTAAAGATACTCTCACCAATCCAGTGAATACAGTAAAATTGTTTGAATCTTGATAGGTACCTACTCTAGTTGTCTCGGAGTAGGCCGCGTAAATTGGCAATTTGGCATTACAGACACAATGACAGATATAGACAGACCAGACAGAAATTGAGATTAGACTCGTTTCGCCTTTGGCTATGAGACGTAAAAATAACCAAAAACTACACGATTCTAGGCAATGTGCAGACAAAACTGTAATTTTATTTATATAGATTTGTAATATTGTGGGAATTTTTGGTAATTTACTTTGTTCTTTGTTTAGGTGCAGTGGTAGAACAATATTATAGCTATATGGTAGACGTGTGCATACCGTAAACTAAAATAACCAAAGTCCTCCCCCATTGCAAACACAAAGCACGAATATAACTGTAATAAGCATTTTATACTGCTTATACGCCAACCCCGTACAAAGGACGGGTACTCTGCTAGTATTTTATAGTGCTAAATTATTTTTTGAATACAGGAGATAGGCATCGTTACTTATCTAATTACACGCAGAAGGCATGTACAGTAGCGATCTCCAATTATCCGAACTCTAATTAACTTAATCGCCGATTATCTGAATCGCTTACTCCAACAGTTTTAAAAATGTAAGGCTGCAGTAATAAGTTTTGCAAAATATCAAAGAATTGTCATTTTAAACACATTTAGCCAGTGTGTAATTTTAGACTTTGATGGAACTCTATTAACTTAACCCTCGAGCGGGCGCTTGCAGAGTTTTCCTCCGCACTTGTAGTTTTTGTTAATATAAATATGCATAATGGGTGTCGGCAGTCGTGTCCGGCTCTACACTTCACGCACCTCATCCTGGGAATGCCCAAAAGTTATTTTTACCCCCGAATTCCTCCTCATTTTGTTGTCAGTTGCAATTCAGTGACGTGATGTCAGTTTTCGGAGGTTTACTCCGCGTGCGCCCTATCGCGTAAGTCCTTAGCGCAGAGTTTATTCCCTCATGCGCTATTGTCAAACTGTGTGTATATTTTATACATACAAAATTATAAACATGTTCAAATGTATTATTTAATTTATAATTATTATCAAATATATTTTGTTTGCATGTATATGTATAATTGCATTATTGCGGAACAAAACTCCGCACGCGCCCTCTCTCGTAACATACCTTTAAACTAGAAAATTGTTCAATATTATTATTTGAAATGTTACTCATATAAAGTTAAACAAATAATGTTAATAACAAATAAATTAGGTTTCTGATTAGGTTATTAAACATTTTATTTATATATAATATTTCGTTATAACAACAAGTAAAATGGGTAAAATTTATGCTATTTAGTGTTGCGGAATAAAAGTCTGCATGCGCCCTCTCCTGTTTTACTGGTGAAGCGCCTCCTTGAGGGTTAATAAGAATAACATGTATAGAACACTTGTACTATGAGCATTGTAAACTGTAAAAATGTTCTGATTTCATTTATTATTAATTAAAAGTTCATTTAGTACTGATAATGAGGATTTTTCTTTAAAATTCCCGGAATTCCATTAAAACTCCAACTATCCAAATTTTTTATTATCTGAATGGGGTCTGGTCCCTATTGAATCGGAGTTCTAGTGTATGTATACAGTACTACAGTATACCATTAATGCCCATAACTTTGAAATTGTCAACTTTTTATTCAGGGAAAGGTTTTGAACAAATGGCCTGGGTAAGAGATGTTAATGAACTAAAAATGAAACAGAAACAATTTTTAACTAATACTCTGGGAAAATGTAATAGATTGTAGGTTAGATTAGTTTGTAAATATACCATTCAGTGTATAAATTATGATCGAACATGTTTAGAATAAAGCCAAGTTCATTCTTAAATGATTTTTATTCATTCTTAGCTTGTCTGTAATAATAATAATAATAATATGCTTGCATATTATTACTGCTTGTCTGTGCTTGCAGTGTTGCGAGTCCCACCTCCACCTGTGGAGACAGAACCCGAGCCAGAAACTTCACCTCCGCCGTCTCCCTCGGGGAAGAAGAGAAAAGGGAAGAAAGGGAAGTCAGGGTCTGCCAATAAAGGGAGGAAGAGGAAATCTTCCAAAGATTCACAATCAGTAGTGGAAGAAGAAGAGAGTAAGTTGAATGCTGATGAAGGGGAAACAAAAGCGGAAGAAACAGCAGATGAAGAACCGGTAACCGAGGGAGAAGAAAATCAGGAGAAAGAGGAGGGTCAGGACAAGACTGTGACCATTGTTGAGGATAAGTCTGATGGCGATGAGAGAAAATCTGCCAAAAAAGGAAAGAAGGATAAGAAGAAGAAAGGGAGAAAGAGTCCTCCGACAGGTAAGTAAAATTATTATGCTTTTTTCCATCACACTTTCTTACAAACTGCTGGGTCGTTTTGGATAATTCCTCTTGTTTCCTTGATATTGTTGTATTTAGAAAGGGATGGTAGAGGACTTGTGTCAAACACAGTCTATAAGGCGGTTTCACACTGGCATCCGCGGACGAAGAAATCGTCCGCAGACGGATGGGAAAATAAATCGCTGCCCATGTTATCAGATGGGACCGTTCACACCACCCATTGAAACGTAGCATCCATCCGCGGACGCAGAAATTCGTCCGTGGACGATTTGGCGGAATCGCTCTGGGAGCGATTTTTCTAAAACGTCCGCGGACGATCACGCCCTCGCGCATGCGCAGACAGAGCAGTAGCTCTCAGCGAGGCATGTGTCACTCGCATCACAGTGTTCAGTAGTTTGTGTTTACAGTCATAGTGTTCATCTAGTTGTTGTTTTGTGTCCTCCCTTGTTGTTTGTTGTCCTCCCTTGTTGTTTGTTATGGCTTAATTAATTGAGGCTGTCCGTGCCTACCCAGTTATCTGGGATACAACTATAGAAATTTATAGAGATCCGACAAGGTAACGGTAGCACCAGCATTAATTTTGTTTTGTTCAAACCGCCGTATGGCTTTCCGCTAAAGACCGTACACTATGACTATTTGCATTATTACAATGATTCACCAAATCGCTGCCGCTTACTGTTAATCGGATGAACCCACTTTCTCCTTTATGAAAACTAGCTGTTACCCACGGGCTTCCCCCCGTTTGACATCATAAGTATTAATAAAACTATTGATTGGTTAAGTTAACCTGAAATAAACAAAATACAGTAAAAGAAACAAATAATCACACCTGATTTCAATAAGGTAATAAATTGAAAGAATAACAAACAAATAAGTACAGCTGAGGTATTTTTAACATTAGGTATACAAAAAGTTCCCTTTAGAAAGGAATTACGACCTTAAAGGGAAATTTATGACATAATGGATAATTTTGCGCAAGGTTTCTTGTCATGACGAACATTTTAAGTTTATGTTTTATGGGGGTGTGACTTGTAGTTTTCTCAAAAGTTCATGGGTACTTTTGGCTTTATATATAGATGAGTACAAAAGTACAACCTCGTCGTCACTATCATCACTACTTGAATCAAGCCACAGAACAGAAAATCCGGGTTGACACCATGGGACAGAAGGCTCAGACATTTTGCACACCTCCACTGAGTTGTAAGAGGAAGTATGATTAATCTATGATTGTAGTAGGAATGGCCAACTTCCCTATGCACATGCGCGAATGAGTGGACGTTTGAAACGTAGCTCGCAATGTGAAGGGGGCGCGTAGCATCCATCCGAATCATTTCATCCGTCCGCGGACGAAATTATCGTCCGCGGATGCCAGTGTGAAACCGCCTATAGTACAGCCAATCAGTTTTGTAGATCATCCTTGAAGCTATTTTTCCTTTAGATTGATGGACATTAAAACTAAGTAAATAGGATCTACACATATATAATTGGATATTAAGATAGAGTTAGTCAAAATTATCTTACAAATAGCATAGGCATATTAGTTTTAGGATTGCAGCACAGTCATTAAAAATAACTCTAAACCATGAGTATGTCTTAAAGTAAAGTTTTAGCCTAAATTACTTTTTTACTACCGATTTCATTTGTTCGGTTAACAAATAAAAGTGTTTATGATAATTTACTTTCTGATTCAGTAGAGCATAAGCTCATCATGCAAGATAACTAAATAATTGTGTATAAATTATTCTTCTTTATTGTGTCTAGGCCTATCTCATGTGAATTGTTTTCAGTCATGGAAACTCTGCCACCAACAGAAGAAGAAATAGCTCCTCCAGAACCAGAAATTATCTACGTTAAGGTGAGAATCTTTGAATATGTATAGGAGCAACATTTGTAATTGAACTGTTCATTCTTTTTACTTTCAACTACTTAATATTTTGCATAGAAATTACATGTGTGTGACCCTCTGTAATCCGGCATTGTAGCACTCCAGTAATCTGGCGTCTTTTGACAGGTGTGGTCTTCGCGGTCTTCATTAAAATTTGTCAACCACATAGACATTACCATCATCTTCCGCAATCGCAGCAACATTCTTTCTTTTTTGTACAGAGGGCCAGGCTTACAAGTTACAATGGGATTGCATCGCAGCTGGAACAGCTTATTGTGCACCCTCATTCAGGTCCTCATTCTCCGTCAAATCCCAGATCCTTTGGTGAACCATAAGATCCTTTTGACTATGGTAGCCTGTTCTTTCCTTTGATCTCCAGCCGATAGGCCAAGGGATACCATATACAGACCCTGTAGGGCTGGGCGCATAAATATCACGTGGAAGGCTGTCTCCTCCTCCTCACCACATTTCCTCTCTAAGAGGCTTTCAACTTGAATTCTCATTTTGTGTCTTCCTTTTCAGCCCAAGGACATCTGCCGCTATCGTACCGGTAGGTGTCTACAGCATTCTCTTTGACTGTATGTTGCCTTCTATTCTTTCACAGCTCCTTTGATGTTCTATGCCCATCCACTGGCAAACAGTTCTCCGTGCTGTGTTGTAAGCAATACCACACATCAGCTCTGAACCCATGAGTGGGCTTTCAGCTCCTTTGTTTGCCCACTTGTCAGCTCCCTCATTGCCAGCAATACCTTTGTATCCTGGAACCTAACTAAGGACCTTGTTGTTCTCTCCCAGGGCTTTCATGGCCTGATGACAGTCCCATACTGCCTTAGAGGTCAAGTCAAAACTGTCAACAGCCATTAGCACTGCTTTGCTGTCCGAGTTCATGTATATGGTGTGGCATGTCAGGCCTCGCTTCAAAAAACACTTTTAAAACACTTCGCACACTCGACAGGGCAACAACTTTTTCCTGGAATACAGTGGCCAGTTTCCCCAGGCTTACGCAAAACTGCGCTTTGGGTCTAACTCTAAGGATCCCCGCCCCAGTGCACATTGGCTTTTTCGAGCCATCCGTATACCAAGTGATCCCCTTTTCATGTATTCAGGTTAACCTTTATCCCAGACAGCCCTGTCAACAATGTTGACATTTTTAGCCTCTGGATCACGTAATCTAATATATAAAATTCTCGTGTCACAGTGTTTGTCTGCAAACTCCTCCGGAACGACTTCACCGATCGTTATGAAATTTGGTGTGTAAATTCTGTAGGTATGCGAATCGGACGTAAACTATTTCCCGTTTCGAAATTCTTAAAAGGGCTCCGCCCCAGTGGCTCTGGAGTTTCCCATGTTAACCTTATGAGAATTGGAATCAATGAATCTTAACAGCTGTTTCAATTAAACAAGTTGGTTCTGTTCTATGATGTTCAATAGCATTAAAGTTACAAGGATTACCAACAGGGTGCAGCACTATTATTTCTTTTACATTTATGACAACAGCTAATTTGCAACCAAAAGGTGAGTGAGCGTAGCGAACGAACTTCAACCTGGAGGCGAGTTAGCGTAGCGAACGAGCTAACCTGAAGGCAAGTGAGCGCAGCGAACGAGCTCCAACCTAAAGGTGAGTGAGCGTAGCGAACGAGCTCCAACCCAAAGGTGAGTGAGCGTAGAGAACGAACTTCAACCTGGAGGCGAGTTAGCGTAGCGAACGAGCTAACCTGAAGGCAAGTGAGCGCAGCGAACGAGCTCCAACCTAAAGGTGAGTGAGCGTAGCGAACGAGCTCCAACCCAAAGGTGAGTGAGCGTAGCGAACGAACTTCAACCAGGACGTGATTGAGCGATGCGAACGAGATCATCTTGAAAATTAAACGTAACGGTACTTTCTTTCCATCGGTCTGTCTTTGGGGAAACCTATAACTTAGGCGATACGAAGTTCGCCGGGTCAGCTAGTTTACTAATAAAAAGGTTAAATACCTGTAGTACTGTCAGTGATCCAGGAATTTAGGTCAGCGACCCAGGTTTCGAACCTAAAGGTTCATTTTCAAGCAGGTGCCATAGTTAAAACACATAATCCTCTTCATAACTGTGGAGAGTCGTTATAACACATAAGACACAAACACGAAAACACTAAACATTAAACAAAATTGGCCAATTATAATACTGGTACGGTAAGCGTGCGTGGTGTAGCCGGCAAAAGATGACTCATTGCTTGAAAAGATGCTCACTATTGCTTTGATTAATCATTTTATAGCCCCAAACACATGCTACATGTGTACATCATGTACTCAAGCTGCAGCATGAACAGATTATAATTAATTTTGGTTTGTTGTAGAAAATTATAGAAAAAGTAGTGAAAACACCGCAGTTGCATGGACATTTTGGAACCATGACCAATTATGATGTAGGCAAGAAACACCGATTTGTGTATTTCATCAGGAAAACAGCCGAAGGGATCCCTTGTCCGGACATGTTACAAGAAGCCTTCTCAGAGATGCCTGGCCACTTCCAAGTGGGCGCTACTACGAGTGATATGCTGTCCACTCTTACACTCATGATTGTCGGGGTAAGCCTGTAAAGTAACCAGATAAAAAACAAGGTTTGTTATTGTATTGAACCTAATGCATGATTAGAACGGTGTTTGATGGTTTTATGTGGGTAGTTAACAAATCAAGGCCGATTCATAAAAAAATTGTATTCCCTTAGTCTTGCTAGCCACACTTCCAATTAAGTTTAAAATTTCTTTGTTCACAAATAATGCAGAGTAAGGTAAATATTAGTACAGTGCCACTATTAAAATACCCCCGCCGCAGCAAACCTGCAGACTAAACGTTAATATATTATTTCAAAACCTAAAGCTTAAACTAGTGGCTGCATGAAAAGTTAAACAGCCTAACCTTTAAGTCTTCTTAACTTGGCCTGCGCGGCGACTGCAGTTGCAGTTTCCCGCCGTCAGATACAGCAGTAAGCAGTAAGTCAGTGTTACCATTGATTATACAGAGCTGATATACAGGGTGTCTGGTGTCTTGCAACCACATATGCGTTATATTACTTTTATAACGTTATAAAAGTAATACAACATGTGTCATATCTCATTCCGTTTTCGGTCTATCTGTATGTATGTGATTTTAACTAAAACATTCATAACTCATTAACTGCTTGAGCTACAGCGTTGAAATTCTGTAAATATGTTTATCTTATTGACCACTTTTTTGTGCTAAATACGAATAAAAGCTTTTGAACCGTTTTAAAATGGCGGATTAAAATAAATAGTTTATGCCAAATTCCATGAAAACCGTTAATTTTACAAACTATTTGCACATCATGTAAAATTTAGTAAATTTCATTTAAATTACAACGATATCTTATAAGTTTAGTTTGGACAAAGAATAACTGAAAAATTATTATTTTTTGTACTTACCTACTGTTTTCTCAATTTAAACAATGTTAAAAAGTAGTTTTATCAATTTAACATTTTGTATATTTTTAAGCCTGTACCACCCTCTGACTGGTTTCCATACCCCGCAGACCCCCTGGAAGGTTGCCTCCCCAAACTTTGTCTCTGGATCCGCCTCTGGAAAGAAGTAGACATTTAATGTATTTCACAGTTGTAGCCAGTTTCAGAATCAAAATGAAAGTAATTGTCAAGTGCATTGCAGAGTGATTTCTATCAAATATTTTTAAAGTTGTTATGCAGGCCAAACTGATAGGCCAAACTTGTTGTAAACTATATCTTTTATGTCAGATCATCCATCACAGTGACAAAACTTAAAAGTTCATATGTAATTTTAGACGGTACTCTGTGACATGCTCTATTTAGATAAAAAATAAAATAGCTACTTTTTGGTCCATATCGATTAGATGTCTACTTCAGTATTCTAAAGTCAATGGTAGAACGTTTGCCTATCTGGTTCCCTGTGGTCTGGTAGGTGTTTCAACCCCTTGTGAAGCGCCAGTTCCTAGAGCCCCACATGGAGGAGGCTGCTGAAGTAGACTTGCAGGACACAGAGCGCAAAGGTCCTCCGGTGCAAACGGTATTCAACACTCCATCAGACTACCGACAGATGGCGCTGGATATCAGGCGAGAATTGGAGCGTGAAGAAGGGTCAGCTGTGGACGACGACGATGACGGTGTCGGGGTGAGTGCAAACTATATTTGATTAGGGTGGTGATGTTGATGTTATACGTTTCTTTTGTGAGCACTGGTTAAGTTAAGGTAGCCTATATGTGTTTAGAATAAATTCCATTCCTGCTATAATAGGCACCCTATAATAGAGCTTTGCACAAGTGCTGTTTTCATTCAAACTCCACTTTTTTATACTGCCAATTATTTGCTGTCCTTCTAGACGTGATCCTTGCTGATTTGGTGATCAAGACAGTGGAGTACGTGTTTACAATCACGATAGCTTAATCTGGTCTCGAGTTCAATTTTCTGACTTGGTGTTAGATTTCTTGAGTTAGTAGGCTAGGCTCAGCTTGGCTGAAAATTGGAGCCACTAACATACCCATATAATAGTTTAATAACTCCTTATTGATTTAACAAACAAGTTTCAATGAATGAGCCTTAATAGCTTAGTGCCTTGGATTTAGATTTGTAAGAAGGTCTCCCATAGTCCCATGTGATTTGTTCTAAGACAAATCAGCACAATCACATCATACTGAAGTTTTCTTTTACTACTTTAATAATAATCTGTGGTGTTGTCTGAAGAAGTCATAATATACAGGGTGAAAATAAAGTCCGGGGATGGTTAAATATTTCAAAAATTAATAGAGATAGAGCTTTAAAACTTGCTTAACAGTTACTGGGCATTAAGATAATTTAAACACATTATTCAAAGATACGCTACCTCCTCAAGGGGACGGCCTGCATGGAGTCAGAAGAAAATTTTAAATGCAAGCATAGGTTGATATACACATCAAATTAAAGGTTTTTTTTTTCATTCAAATGCAATACCGCAAACCCGAACTCAAATTGACAACTATGTCAAAAACTACAGCTTTTCAAAGATGCATTGAATTTGCATTGCTATTATACACTACCTCCTGAGGGCGCCCACTAGAAGTTTGAAGAAACGTTGTTTTATGAAACGTAGCTTTATGTGCATATTGACCTATTCATTCGTTTGATAAACGTATGAATAGGTCGATATGCACATAAAGCTAAAGGTCTCTAATAGTAGAATTCAATGCCATAAATTTGAGCTCAAAGAACAACTGAGTAAAAAATGGCAGCCGTTCAAAGAATTCAAGAAATCTTTAAACTGCTGCCATTTTTGACTTGGTTGTCCGTTTGAGAACAGATTTTCGGCACCATATTCTACTAGTGAAGACCTTTAATTTTATGTGCATATCAACCTATGCTTACATTTAACATTTTCTTCTGACTCCTAGCGGGCCATCCCCCTGAGGAGGCAGTGTATCAGCGAATCATGTGTTAAAATGATTTTAATGTCCAGTAATTCTGCACAAAATTTTGAAGCTCTATCTTTATTACTTTTTGAAATATTTAACTGTCCCGGGACTTTTTTCCACCCTGTATATTGGTCATCTTATTTAGACTCTGTGTATGTTCAGATTGACCTGGATATGCTGCTGAGACAGAGAGAACACATGCGTGACTCGTATGTAGCTGTGATGGTGTATCCGATGACTACACTACCAGTTGGTCAGACAGTGTCTGATGCCACCATCACCACCCTGTATACTTGGTCATCTTATTTTGACACTGTGTATGTTCAGATTGACCTCGACATGCTGCTGAGACAGAGAGAACACATGCGTGACTCGTCTGTAGGTGTGATGGTGTATCCGATGACTACACTACCAGTTGGTCAGACAGTGTCTGATGCCACCATCCCCACCCTGTATGGTCATCTTATTTAGACACTGTGTATGTTCAGATTGACCTGGACATGCTGCTGAGACAGAGAGAACACATGCGTGACTCGTCTGTAGGTGTGATGGTGTATCCGATGACTACACTACCAGTTGGTCATCTTATTTTGACACTGTGTATGTTCAGATTGACCTGGACATGCTGCTGAGACAGAGAGAACACATGCGTGACTCGTCTGTAGGTGTGATGGTGTATCCGATGACTACACTACCAGTTGGTCATCTTATTTTGACACTGTGTATGTTCAGATTGACCTGGACATGCTGCTGAGACAGAGAGAACACATGCGTGACTTGTCTGTAGGTGTGATGGTGTATCCGATGACTACACTACCAGTTGGTCATCTTATTTTGACACTGTGTATGTTCAGATTTACCTGGACATGCTGCTGAGACAGAGAGAACACATGCGTGACTCGTCTGTAGGTGTGATGGTGTATCCGATGACTACACTACCAGTTGGTCATCTTATTTTGACACTGTGTATGTTCAGATTGACCTGGACATGCTGCTGAGACAGAGAGAACACATGCGTGACTCGTCTGTAGGTGTGATGGTGTATCCGATGACTACACTACCAGTTGGTCATCTTATTTTGACACTGTGTATGTTCAGATTGACCTGGACATGCTGCTGAGACAGAGAGAACACATGCGTGACTCGTCTGTAGGTGTGATGGTGTATCCGATGACTACACTACCAGTTGGTCATCTTATTTTGACACTGTGTATGTTCAGATTGACCTGGACATGCTGCTGAGACAGAGAGAACACATGCGTGACTCGTCTGTAGCTGTGATGGTGTATCCGATGACTACACTACCAGTTGGTCAGAAAGTGTCCGATGCCACCATCACCACCGTCGTCAGTGACGCAGAGGTCATCAAACAGGGACTGATGGCTGGGCTGCAGAAACTACTGGACACATGCTACTGGTAAATATTAACATGGGTAATTAGCTATGGATAGCTACTCATAAAAACAGTACAATTGAGTATTCCGTCTAGAAGTGTGATTGTGTCAATTTTGTGCTGTCTGAACATTGCGGGAGATTGTAAAACATTTCTGATAAAACTGTTAAATCTACTTAACAGTTTTATCATAAATGTTTTACAATCTCCAACAATTTTCAGGAAAGCGTTTCTGTGACTCTATTCATGTATGTATATATTTGATTTGATTTGATTTTTGGTAGAATTGGATCTTGTGTGATGAGAGAATGATAGTCTTCTTAATTCTAAAATTGTCCTTGAACATCTCACTAGAGAGTTTGTATACATCAGTCTAAATTATTCTACAAATAACAGTAGTCCAGTAAATATAGCTCCTAACAACTTGATAACCCAGATTTCTTAGTGAACCTGCAAGGAATTATCCATAAGGTATGGAACCCATTGCTGTTCTTTTGAGTTTCCCAGCAACCTTGGTGACAAACTATAAAACACACGGTCTAGTGGTAGAACGCGGTACTCCAGTCACAGGGGTCCCGGGTTCAAATTCCGCCAAATCACCGATAGATTTTATCTAGGTGATAATGCCGCAACCCCTAGATCTAGCTTAAAGTAATGTGAAAAACAACCCCAAGCTTATGCCTAGTTTCCTAAAAAAAAAGTTCAAACAAAGAACATTGGCTTTGCCTGTTGTACTACTCACGAAAACTTGCACAGAACCGGTATGGATCATAAACATTTAAACGAATGACGTTGCTGGCCCATATCATATACTGATAGCATTAACATATGATTTAGACAATTTCATTAAAGCAATGTTAAATAATGTTTATTTTCGAGCCAACAACGTCATTTGTTTATGTTTATGATCCATACCGGTTCTGTTCAAGTAATCGTGCGACTGCTACTTATGGACAAGGACATTTGAATCACGCTTACCTGTCAACTGAAGTGCTAGCTCCTGAACTGTAGATTCAGTATGTGTGTCAGTCAGCACCAAGTAATCTGTTGAACCTTTGACAGGACCATGGAGCACATAATTGGCAGTAACATGTTGACCATACCTCAGCTGCCAGAGCTGGGACCAGGCTACTCTAGTCAACAGCTGGCCGAGGATACTGACATTGTACAGACATATGAGAAGCTGGTCTCTGAGTGGGAGCAGCAGCTCATGGACTCCCTTAGAATATTTACTGCTAAGGTTAGAGGGTCCTCTTGTTATTTATAATTAACAAAGTTTTCCTCACAAAATAACATGTCTCAGTTTTTGTAAGTAATTTGCTTTTACAACAGCTTTTCTTGATTGTTTTGCCTCTGTATGACATGAGATTTTCCCTGCATTCAGTCTGTCTGTACTCCTAGAGATTGGTAGCTCCTTCAAACTTACCACTCAGAGCTTGGCCTGGGAGTATAGCCTGTGGGCAGGATCAGTTTAGTGTAATACTCTCCTTGTTTTATAACTGGATCCTAGAGGTTAAAACAGGTATATTCTTGCCATCGGGTAAAACATTTCAGAAATGAAAAAAGTAGGGATGGACGAATTTGGATTTTTTTTTAGTTTGAGACATGACGGGATTTTTTATTTCTCATAAAATGTTGAGACAGATCGAGACGGGATTTCCTTCTCGTACATAAAGGGAAATGCATGTTTGACATTTTAACCTGATTTCAAAACATATTGTTAAATACCTACTGATTTATGACAGATGACTGGTTAAATACAATAATAATAATAATAATAGGCTAGAATATTTAAAACCTTTTATTAACAAACATCAGTACAGAAATAAATAAATATTAATTAGGCCTACCTTATTAAAAATAGGAAAGATGGTGATATTAGTCAGGATATAGTTCAACTTAAAAAATATGTACCAAATTTATCAGTCTAAAACACCAGTCTTACTAGTAGTATCAAGTAACAATTTTTCAGTCTTGTGTTATTTTTAGAATGATTTAGGAGTAACTTGTTTTGGCTATGTTTACAGTAGTAAAACATGTCTCACACTGTTTTTACACTTAACAAAACTTCTCATCTGATATCAAAACCAAATATTATAAAACAATTAAAGATATTGTTATGTAAAGTTTTGTAAAGTATTGTTTACGTGTTATGTAAACATGTAAAGAATTAATTAAATAAGAACGCATTTGCAAAGGAAAAGCAACAACAACGCGATCCTGTATTGTGGGTATTGCATTGACTTGCAGGCGTTTTAAATGTTTTTTTTTATCTTGTCTTGAAAAAGTCTTGATGAAAATAAAATCTCGTCTCGTAGAACAAGATTTAAACTTCCCGAAAATTTTGAAATTATGAGACCTGTCCAACCCTAAAAAGAAGTGATTAGCGAGCTGGATTAAACCATACTTCTTGTTGTTAATCCATATTATGATAGCTTTGATGATGATGATAGGCAAGGTGAGTGGATGGATTTTTACTTGAGGACAATGACTTCTTCAGTGAAACAGTAATTTTAGTTGACTATGCAGTTGACTTCAACTGGCTTACTTAACAATTTCTAAAACCTTACAGTTTCTGTAGGAATAAAAGAAGCAATGTGTATTGTTTAGTCATCCTCAGCACCTATCTAAATAGAATATGATGTATTATTTCACAAACAGACGATCTTATATGGAATTTTTTCTTTACTGTGATACAGCACATCTTGATTTTCTGCATTATTGTGTTTCTGGATTTTCAAGACCCTCAGGAAAAGATTTCATTCTAGAAAACAAACACTAATTTGTTCCTTATCTCAATTATCACCTTAAAATGCTACCCTCAAGTCCCATTGTGTGTTACGTTGTATAGAAAACCATTGTAATATTTGTGATTATGATTTTCAAAGGTTTTTAAATCTAACTAATCCTCAACTCTGACTACCTAAACTTTTCTTCTTTATCTACTTGCCTTATCATCACAATCATAATCATCTTCATCAACATAATATTTCTCTCTCGATTTTACTATCACATTGACTTTGACTCTTGATTGGGTGAATCAATAAGAAGGAAATTGGTTTAAAAAATGATAAATACACAGAGGAAATACAGTTGGAGGTTAATGGTAATTTGTTAGATGATCCGTATATTATAGCATGTCATTTTAACCGCCATTTTATTGATACAGTTGATAATTTAGGAATATCAAAACCTCCTGTGACTGATTGTGAAAATAATCAGACTGTACCCCAAACACTTTTACTGGACCTTCATCCAACACAGACCACAGAAGTTTGTGAAATAATACGTAGTTTAAGCAATTCGAGCTCTGTTGGCTGGGATGAGGTCCCAACAAAACTTATAAAAATGTCAGAACCATTAATAGCCCCAGTTCTTAGTATAATAGTCAATCAGTGCTTCAGTACAGGTCAGTTCCCAGATAAGCTTAAATTATCTGAGGTAAAACCAATATTCAAGAAAGGAATTAAAACAGATACAACAAATTACAGACCTATTTCTATTTTAAGTAATTTTTCCAAAATATTTGAAAAAGCAATAAATTCACGCATTACCAATTTCTTAGAAAGTAATAATCTTTTTTCAAAATCACAATTCGGTTTTAGGAAAAATCAATCTACTACATCTGCATTGACTGGGTTGGTTAACATGGTCACAGAAGCATTGGAAGGGAAACAAAGTACTGCAGGAATTTTCTGTGACCTATCAAGTGCGTTCGACTGTGTTAATCACAAGATTTTAGCAAATAAACTAAAGAAAGTAGGTATTGGAGGTAAAGTCATGGAACTACTCTCAAACTACTTAAATAATAGAAAACAACGGACAGTCATTTTAAAAAGTAAGAGAAAATTTGTATCAAGATGGGAAAAGGTCATCCATGGAGTTCCCCAGGGTTCAATACTGGGACCTTTATTATTCCTGATATTTATCAATGACATTGATTCTCACATATCTGGTGATATTTTCTTATATGCTGATGACACCAACGTTATAGTTCAAAATTCAAATATTCAACAATTGGAAATCTCCATTAAACAGACTATAGAAGAACTGCAAGATTGGTTCACAAAAAACTGTTTACTAATGAATAATTCAAAAACACGTATAATGCATTTTAAAGTAAAAAATTGTAAAAATTCTGACTTTTTATCTGATAATATATTAAACTTAGCGGATACTCATAAAGTTTTAGGCATTCATGTTGATTCAAAATTAAAATGGGACGACCATATACAATTCTTAACAAAAAAGCTCAACTCTTTTCGTTTTGCATTAAGTGTAGTTAATGATACAACATCTACTGATATTGGTAAACTAGTATATTACGCCTACATGGAATCTAGACTCAGATATGGTATTGTTCTTTGGGGATCCAATTCCAAAACGAAAAAACTTCTCAATGCACAGAAATCAGTGGTGAGGACAATGGCAAAAGTTTCCAAAAGAAAAAGCTGTAGATCATTATTTAAAGAATTTGGAATTTTAACAGTAACAGGTTTATATATATTAGAAATTGTCAAGTTACTCTACAATAATCAGGACAGCTTTGATAAGTATAAATTTAACCATAACTATTTCACACGTCACTCAAACTTATTTCAATATCCACACCATAGACTTTCTCTGTATGAAAATAGTCCAAATTACATGGCAATCAAAATTTTTAACAAACTATCAAAAATCATAAGCAAAAATTCATCAAAAAATGTCTTCAAAACCTTACATAAATTATTATTGGAAAAGTCTTACTATAGCATTGAAGAATTTTTTCTTGATAGTTTTGAAGGGTAGGTTGGCCACGGTTTATGAAAGATTGCTGTAGTAGAATTAAATACAGGACAAAAGCCTATATCCTGTTCTGATACAGACCAGACTGGTATTTAGTCTTGTAATTTGAGCTTAGTTTTAGGAATTTACAGATAAATTTTTTCTTTTTGTTCAGTATTACTATTATATTTTTAAAGTGTTAATAATTGTAATTAGTTTTATCAAAAATATAACAGTTTAGTATTAGTTTTATAAATATTGACAAAACTCCTATCTATGTACATTGTACTCCAAAAGATGTTATGAGTTAATAAAGAATTTGAATTTGAATTTAATCATACAGTTCCAACTACAATTAAAAAAATCGAATGAAAAACTTGTTGTGTTGGCTGTTGTTCTAAAAAGTTGCACACAGTTAGTTTTTACACAACTCAGTACATACGCAGAAGCTTCTGCACTTTTCGTTTATATTTTATATTGGTATTTTCCCTCTCCCGTAACAAGTAAATTATGTCATATTTTGTCAAATTAAAATAATTCACTGTTTTTAAATATTTTTTGTACTATGTCATTTGTTAGTAGCTTATGCTTATGAACAATAAAAACGTTTCAATTTTTCTCCAGAAACCAGAAGACGAAGGACCGATAGCTGAGTACACATACTGGCATGAGCGAGAGATAGGTCTGGGTGTGTTGGTGGAACAGTTGAAGAACACCAAGGTAGTGGCTGTGGTGAACGTCCTCAACGCTGCCAAGTCTGACAAAGGTGCCGAGTTTGGGGAGATCAGAGGCGATGTGCTGCGGTCTTACATTGAGGCTAGGGACAACGATAAGTTCCTCTATACAGTGCTGCGTTACTTCAAGGTAGATATTTCCTACAAGTATGATAAATAAGTTTGGCTGTTGGGAACTCATGTACAGAACACAGTTGGTGCTGTCTTTGTAGTAGTCATCTATAACGTGCTTGCTGTTATTAGATCTAGACAGTGATCTACAGTACAGCTTTATTATGGGTGTACAAGTGAAGAAAAATAGTAACACGAGTCACGTTATTAAAACTACGAAATGACGAGGTTGACATAAAATTCTGCCGGGCATGCGTTTAGGAGGAGCAATGGTAAACTGGGAGAAGGTATCAGCGTGTTTTTTCTGGGTTTCTGAAAGAGTGAAAGGGTGATGGAATGATCTTGGCAACCAATAAGATTTTTTTAAATATTATTTGATATAACATCACATATCAGGTGATGTGTCTCAGAAGGCTCAAACAAAAACAAAAATTTGATTTTACGATCAATTTTTCACATACCTACACATTCTACGTACTACAATATAGAAAAAATAACTTATTAATAAAAATAAACACGCCTGCCTTAAAAATAAGGTTGCCAATGACACAGAAAAATATACACTTAAAATATTTAAGGATTATAACAGCTATAAGACTGTTTAAAATTGTGTTTTATAGTTCTTTAGTGAAAGGTAAAACACCAGACAGATGCCATCAAGAATTTAAAGAGAAAAAAACAAGAATGTCCTATCTCCTGTATTTATTTTAAAACTCTTACATCGCCTACTAATTAAGTTGTGTTGCCCATCAGATCCTGACAGAGTCTGATGACTTTGAGGAGATGGCCGAGTGTCTTCCTGGCCTGTTTGAAGGCCTCCAGATGATATGGATACTATCAAGGTACTACAGCAATGACAACGCCATGGTCCCGCTGCTTCAGAGAATCAAGTTTGTGCTCTGTCAACAAGTCACCGATACCCTGGATGTTGGGACGCTCTTCAAGTATGTCCGTAGATTAAAATACTATTCAGCCGGTCATGTAATTTAAATTCTTGACCACTTCTAGGTGTCTCAATTGTTATCCTAGAACACTAGGAACTAGCTCACAACTGTTTTTAGACATTACGTCAGGCTATGGCCAGAGGGTCACAACATTATCATGCAGCTAATGTATGTTATCGGCGATTGGCGGGATCAGGGACTGAAGGCTTGCTCTCCACCAACTTGGAACAGCTCGTTCCCCAATGTACCGGTGTCAAAACTGTAATACTTTACTTTGAAATGGTGACCATACGACAGTATGTATTCTAAACCAAGTATGAATGGATATGAGTGTAGAATGAGTGATGATCTTATTGATCTTGTAGTCTTGTTAGTGACTAAGACCGGCATTATCTCTTGGTTTAATTCCAAAACATGAAATTTTCTGATATTTACTGCTACAAATTACAAAATTCCCTCCCCTATGATATTTTTGTGAAGAATAACGCTGTAAGTATACTGGCTTTGGTATGCAGACTTAAATCCCATCATAGTGTACATTTCATAATCACTTCACAGTTTTGGTAAATAAGGGGATAGTTAATAAAGTAATATCATCTGATAAATAAAGTACACAATTTATTTCCAGAACAGCTAGTATAGGTACCTATGCCTTTAAAAAACTATATTAAACTTATTCTTTCAAACATGATTTATAAAGACTTCTCCCTTCTACGAGTAGTTTAAAATTCCCCAACTCATTCAGCAATGGGCTTTTTAGCTTCTCCTGTATACCTTCGGATCACCAAAATCCTGCAGCAGCATAATAAAGATGTTTATCAATAGCGAAGAAAGCTAAAAAAGATGCAGGATAACAGTTAAAATTATATTGCTATATGTTTTCCCAATTTTTTTTTATCTGTTGCAATAAATGAATTTTCAAAATCATCAAAAAATTTACTATTTAAGTTCATTACATTTAAGTATGGATGATTGGGTACACAATTTGGAAACGTATTGATAAAATGATTTAAATACAGCACACACATTATATGTTAAAAAATTTACAGGATTTTTTAAAAGAAATTATTAAAGGGATAGAACAGGGGTCTTCAAACTTTTTTACTCAAGGGCCCCATTGACAGTTTTTGGTGGAAAGGCCGGACCGTTAACATTTCAGTGTAGAAAATAGCCCCACTCCAAATAATCCACAGAGTGGTAGTTTTCTAATTAGGAGCTCAGCAAAGAAGTTTGAATATTTCTTGCTGATTTTTTGTTCCTTTGACTAACTAAAATTCTTTACGTTTTTGTACAAATGACGCTGTGACCAAACAAAATTTGACCTACCTCACATAGTTTTTTATTGATATATAAATAGTGTGTGTCATAATTTAACTTTATTATAACATAATTAATTAGGCTTCAAATAGAGAAAAAGTTCATATAAATTAATTTAACATTATATTTACCATGATATTAGTATTTGTTTTATAATGGAAGTTTTTAAGTAGGAAAAATGAAAACACAGGATGACATAACACCAAATATTTTCAATGTACTTTACTTGATTGAACATTCAATTGTAATAACGATAAGAATAATTGACAATGTGTTTGTAGGAGTGTTCAGCTAAAATTAACAGTAACAGTAGAATAATTTTTGGGGATAATTTTGTAATTGGCACTTTAATGTCAGCTAAATCATGATTAAAGTTTTTTCTTTTAGTCCTGTTTTCAATTCTAGGGTTCACTTAGCTCAGAAGATCTGTATGCCTATAAGATAGCTCGATAACTAGGTACAAGTTTACAGCTAATTTTCTCTTATTAAAAAAAAACCTAGGTGTACTATACACATATTTAAACAGGGTATCTTTTGTCTATATCCTCAATGATTGGGTTCTTTTGATAGTGTTTTTGAAAGTATGTTTTATGACTTGATCTTGATGTACTGTGTTAACTTACTGTTAACAGTAATCCAGGATTTATTTTAAAAAACCCCGTGCTGTTAAAGTCGTTCTTACTGCTGTGTAGATGTATCAGCATAGCACGAAGCTGAAAAATATCAATTCAATTATATAAAAGTGTTTTACTGTAAAAATACAAAATATCTAATAAATTATTTTCTTCAGTTATACAATTTAACTAGCATGTTTGAGTAATTGTGGACAAATTCAATTCTCTTCATACACTTTTGGCTCTTATCCATTTTGAGCAACTTTGAAAGAACAATTTCATTAAAGGAACTTACATTGTATTTGGTCTTCTTTTGCATGCATGATACAGGTTTGCATACATTCTCGAAAGCAATATTCTCAAGCTAGAAACAAACATAGAAAATTCAATTACTGTATGTTGTTGATGTTAACTATATAACATAATTTGTAAGATATAAATTGTAGAGAGACTTACTTTTTACTTTTTTTCATAACCATATCAAACACGACAAACACATTTCAAAGATATTAGTTCTGGTATTTTCGTTTTGTGTAGCCTCAATAACAACAAAAATCTGGAGGTACTGCTGACTGCATACAATGGGCTCATTTATCCCCATTTAGCAAACACCGTTCCTATTTGGGGACATGAGTGTCAGCAAACTATAAAGTTTTGTTCAAACTAAAAAAAAGAATAGCTGTGAGAATTATTTTTTCTCTGCAAAAGTGTAAATCCTGCTGTGAATATTTTGCCAATTCAAAATTTTTGACCTTTCCATCATCACCTTTAAGAATATGTTAGGGAAATTCTTAAATCCCTAACATTTATAAAACAAGGATTTTCTCAATTTGACTTTACAGTAAAAAACACCACTGCGAAACCTGCACACACTACCAATCCCTAAACATTATACAGTTTTTTTTTTTTTTTTTTTTTTTTTTTTTTTTAAGACTTAGACACTTACAGTACAATGGCATTAAACTTTTCAACTCACTTCCACTTTCTCTTATGCTAGAATCAAACCTTTTAAAATTTAAAAACTTATAAAATCTTCACATCAGCTCTAGGAATGCTATTGTAAATATTAATTTATAAGATTCTACTATTATTTATAAGTACCATGTAAGCCATTTTGTAAATCTCTGTTGAAATTTGTAAGTCTCATGTAAGGCATGTTTTATAATAAAGTTATGACTTGGCTAATGCAACCCGTTTTATTAGTTCTGACAGAAAAAAATGGATTTGATTTGTATCTGGATGCCTAAAAATCCTTTTTTTTTAATAAAACACACTCTTTTACTCAATAAAAAACCATTAAAAATGTAATTTAATGTGTAACTTCTAGAAAAAAGTGTATTTAATGTGTTAACTTCTATAAAAAAGTGAATAATAAAAAAAAAAACTTAATACTTGATTAATACTTGGTTTACTTGATATGCGATAGAATGCTAACATGGGAAATACAAATTACATAAAAATACCTTCTTTCCTTGAACTGGAATATACCATTTATACTTTGTAAAAGTTTTAATATCGATTATTCATAGTAATGAGTGTAGCTGATGAGTCGTAGATGAATAAAATTGTGGATGATGCAAACTTCACCTAATATGCCTGGGACCTAACCAACATTGACTTTAAACTTAAAATATATAGCGAAGCTTTAGTACAGTTTTATGTGATAATAAAACCTTTAAATGAAGTTTAAAAACCTTTTAACTTTGTTTCACACATTTCTATTTACCAAACAAATAATATGTGAAAGAGTATGATTAGGCCTACTAAATAAAACAAATAAAAAAAACACTGATAAACTCATTGGTTGTAATTGTAATCACTGACTCATCGGTGGTCAGTGAAGTAAACATCGGCGGCTACTCTACAGTCTGCCCGCGAGATGAAGGGCCGCCTCGCACCTAACATCTTGGTGTTCGTTAATCCTTTTGTAGAAGCGAGAGTCTATTGTACATGTTTTATTAATACTGTAATTACAGGATTTTTAAGGTTATTGATTTGATATTTACTTGTTGAACACTCTCAAAATTGTGGATGATCTGTGAAGGGGGTAAGGGGGTATTTTCCTTGGTGATGAGATTGTTATATCAACATATAGAAAGAAAGATAGCACTAAACTCATCGAGAGTGGAAATGTATATACGCAATATAAAAACTAATCTTAAAATAAAGTGTACATACCTCTAAAGTTATAGAATGAGCAGTGAAGATTAAAAACGCTATACAAACTAAGTTATCAATGTTTAAGCTTAGAAATGTATATCCAAATGCGTCTGAAAATGTTTCACTGTAGTAATTGACATAATATCTAAAAACCACCAGGAAGCATCCCATAAAAAGGGGAAATGTCAGTTTAGATGATATGCAACGCAGTAATCGACTAACGTGCAAATATGCGCTGTAGATTATTGTAACATCAATGTCAAAAGTCTCAGACCTAACGGCCTCTCTGAAGGTACCAAATGTAAAACTAATGCTGTAATATATTGTACTAAATATCAATATTGGTCTGTAAGAAACACACTCTAACTGTATCATGGACACATAGGTAACCATTTTAGACGAATGTTCAAACAGATATGTTATTAAGATTGAATGTAAATGTAGTCCAACAAAGATAGTACTAAGTATCATGTAGAATTGCTTTGACTTTGTTTTGTTGAAATTTAAATTAACTATATTCAATATTTCATCCACTTCACTGTAGTTTCTGTTGACAATTTTGAGAATTCTAGACAGTGTGAAACTAACTACTAATTGAATAGAGAATGTTAAAAACCATGTGAGTATTATTCCGATCACAATATCCGAGTGATCGGAGCAATATAAGCCGTAGTCTATCATTGTGATGGACACCCATGTAAATACTAACATTGAGGCAACTCCTTTTGTAGCCGTGAGTACTTTAGAGGGAATTTCCAAAACCTGTATAGTCTCGAAATTGCCTAGCAAAATGTTTAAAATTAAATAAAGTTTGAAGTTTTTGTAAAATTCTGCCATCACTGGACAAACGCTTGTTTCCACTACTTTAACTTCCAGAGATAATTGTTTTCCTGATGGAGTATTTAGGTGTTTGTTTAATACAATTGGTGTAGCTCAACCATAGCTACTTAAGTAAATAACACCCATTTTGTTATTATGCAGCATTTTCTTTCAAGCATAATTTCCTTTGATAACTAATAGTATTAGGTGAAATTATGTAAGACGTAAGTGGGACTGTTTTCAATTAGAACCATTTACAAAACCGATGATAATGTAAGTAGGTAAAGGTATTGTCCTCCTGTTTCTTTTGTATATCTGTTTTTCTCTTGGCCTTAATAACAAATAAAATAAAAATCATCTTTATTTCATAATATGATGATACAGTAGAACCTCTTTATCCGAACTAATTGGGACCAGGGGTAGTTCGGACTATTGAACAGTTCGGATTACATAACATATTGTTGCTTTTACATAACAATAGCTAAAACATGGCTAAAATTGATCAACATTATTTTGGGGAATGTGAAAAAATGTTTTATAAAGTAAAATACAGTGTTTATTTAATACAGTAGTAAACATGGTGAATAAACAGTACTGTAAATTAAATACAGTATACAATAAAGAACTGCAGTACTGTGTATAGAGTACAGCAATGAGGGGTTCGGATTAGTGGACGTTCGGATTACGGGGGTTCGGATTAAAGAGGTTCTACTGTAATACTATTTGTAATATGAAACATAATATGAAACAATCTGATAACTCAATGACTAAGGATTTACAAGTCGTGTATTTTACAGACAGCCTCTAGGTCTGGTGATGACCAGGACTAACGGAGCAGTTCAACTGTTGCACCAGTGGAAGTCTTCGTACTTGGAGACTAGGATGAAGATTGAGGCTTCTGCCAAGAGCCACAGATGGGAGTTTGACAAACGCAAGCTCTTCTCAGAGACCGACTACATGGCTTTGGTGGCTAAGGACTTGAACACTGCGGCAAACGTAATCAAACTTAACATTTACTATTTGTATAGAAGTAACAATTTTTTTAATGTACTGTATAAGATTAACTTTATTATTTCTTGAACAATTGTGTTGCTTCACTTTAGTGTGTGAGAAAGAGAAATTAGATCTTTAGCACACACACAAAAATATGAAGGGTTAGGACTATTTTTCTTTAAAAGCGTAGATTCTTACATTTAAATTGCCTCTGGTGTAGAAACTAGGAAAATAATTGAATTTAATTTAGGAGCCAGTGCAATGCCTAAAGAGTGTTACTTTAAAAAAATGTCAAAAGCTTGTTTGTGTTTATTCTCTCTTTTTTAATTATTCAAATTAAACATAGAGTATACATTATGAGCTCCATTTGTTTGAAATGATCCTGAAAGCACAAGATGTTTTTCCAAAGAAATTGAAATTTAGTAACGACGCATAGCATAATGTCTTTAGAGGCTTATAGTACCGAAACAGATTTTGTTGTTACATAATAAATTGTTTTTTCAACTCTCTCAAGTATTGTTAACATATTTTTGTGCATACCATTTGATCCTGATTCTTGTGTTAAAAAATAATACTTGTGTGACGTCGTAACTTGACAGGAGACGGGACTAGTGAAAATAAAATTAAAAACTACATAATTAGTTAATACCACGGGCTGCACGGACCGGGATAGAGGTGTAACGGTTGCTGGACCAGAACAGACTGAAGTAGTGGTTAGATACACGGGTATAGCGTGGTCGCGGCAGCCAATGGGAATTTATTAAAAATCACCTGATATGACGTCACAGACGTGGCGTGATATGGTGTGATGTACACACACACTAACACACATTTACGTTTTATACAAATCTGGTTTCCTACAAGAAACGCTGTTTTACAAATATTGAATACATAAAATCATCAAATATACTACAACTTATTTTGGTGAATTTTTTAAACAACCAATGACTGTTTCACACAATGTACATTGGTGTGAAACTATATTTATCTTATTTCACATACAGTTTTAGTTTTGTTTATTTGAATGGTTGGTTTTCCGCAGGTGATCCAAGAGTTCTACAACATCTTTGGGCCAGAGCTCAAGTCCATCATCAGTGACCCTGGCCAGATAGATGCTGTGGTCAAGCGGGTCGAGGCTCTCACACTACCCATAGAGGAGGCAGATTTCAACATCTTCTCTCCAGAGTTCAAGGAACATTGGGACGCCATCATGAATGGTTTTAACCAAGAAGTAGTTTCATTGGAAAACGAAGCCAAGTATTTCATCAACGATTCGTTCACTTTGCTAAGGTCTGTTTAATGTGTTCTGAGTGTCTCTTTGCATATTTGTGTAATTTGGAATATTAATGGTGATTTCTCAATAGTATGTCTTGAGACGCTTCAGTATTGGTATTGGATTGTCACATTGTGCAAACAATTCATTCAACACTTTCAGTGTTCTCGTGTTGTAATAAATATTTGTTGATGTTTTAATAATCATGCTATTGGTAATATGTGCTACCTGCTTTTCGTTTTGATGGCAAGTGTATAAACTTACATGTTCTAGTTTTAAAACTTAGAACAGGTGCTAATTTTAGGTTCTTTCCTCCCCAAGCTCTGAAATAAAGGTTGGTAGATGAAAAGAAATGTGTCAGACAAGACACCTGAATATTTTGAATTGCAGATCATCTGAAGAAGCGCTCGACATACTACTGAAATTCAAACATATCAAGACCAGACAAGCAATCCAAAAGCAGCTCATGAAGAAATTTGATCCAATTTTAGAACAGTTTACCAAGGAAGTGGCTACAGTTGAAAGAGTATTTACTGTAAGTAGAAAGTTGAGATAGTAGATATTGTAAATTTTGCTCCTGAAAGAATTCCAGTTTTGCAAAAAATAATAAAAAGAAATCAGGTTTTCAGATTTTGTATTGTTTATTTCCTTGATACTTAGCCGTCTTCTACTGGAAGCAGTGATGTGTCTTGGTCTTCATATTTTCTTGACGATCTATTCATTATAAAATTTGTCTAGAGAGTAAAAAGGTCTCTTGATTAGGATCTATTAAATTTGTTCTTAAGTATACTTTTGATCCTCCTTTTTTATTTGTGTTTGTATTGGTAATTATTGTAGAGAAACCTTGAAACACTTTTTTCAAGGATGGTTTCAAATTATCAATGATGACTCAAAGATGAGTAGAGCCGGCTTGTTTATCCACAATGACTAACCTAAATGTTTTAATAATCCTTCCTTTTCATATTAATTTATAGTATCCCTTTAAACTTGATTTTAAAATATTTTTGTAATTTTTACTGTGATTGGCAGAAAGGAAAAAGACACCCACCACTTTTAAGAGATTACCCGCCCGTGGCAGGCGCCATTACTTGGGAGAGACAACTGTACCATCGACTCAAGAAACCTGTGCTAATCTTTCAAAATGTCAAGGAGTTTGAAAACTCAGATCTGAAGAAACATGTAAGTAATGATTGTACAGTAATGTTATGTTGACAACGTACAGAAATATATTTTACCATAAGTAAATTTAGTAAGAACTCTTGACTTCTTATTTATGCTAAAATAAAAATTGTTAAAAAAATTAATAATTAAATAAAAATTATGCTATAAAAATTTTTCTTTAAAAACGCATCGCTATTATACTTTTTTACTAAACTGAAATGACAACACAGTTATTTGTATTTTAAACAAGAATCAATTAAAGGAATTTAGAAAGAATAAACAATTTGTGTAGCTTAACAACAAATTGTTCTTATGCTAGGATCACAAAAAAAGCAAGATAATCACTCAGCTAAATCCCACTATAACCCTCAAAAAGTGGAACTGAACCAGAAACCTTTGGGTTATAAAGGGAACAACTTACTACTAACATACCCAGCTATATTAATTTAAACATAAATAAATATATTCTTAGACAAAAAAAAGAACAAATTGGTTACCTAACTAGTTCAAACAAAAGTCTTAAAAGAAATACAGATTGTCGTATCAATTAGAAAATTACTGAATTGTCAGTATCTTTAAACGGGTCTGACTTAGGGGAGGTACGATTGAGGCATTAGTTCAAAATTCCTCCGTGAACAGCGCTGTAGTAGAGAGCATTTTGGCAATGAAGGTTTACTAATCGCAAAAATAGTTCTGTTCATAAAATAAAATTATAAATGCCTCAAATTCAATTTTATAATTTTTTAATTACAAAATTACTATCATAACCTAACCGAACAAACCAAACTTGCTGATAATGAAATAATATAAAAAAGTTTATAAATAGAAAAAATAATTCTGATTCTGTTCATTAAATAAAACTAGAAACTGCTCAATTAAAATTTTATATAGACTTAATAATAAATTAAACTGTCATAACTGAACCAAACCAACCGAACTTGCTGATAATGAAAAAATCTTGGTCAAAAAGTTAGTGACACAAGCGGGAATCGAACCCGGGACTCTCAGCATATCAGTCCGGCACGCTAACCACTAGACAATCGAGGCCGATGGCTGCAAACCATATTGTTACGGTAATGGTGTTCCCTCAGCTAATGAGAAGCCCACAGCTGTCGTAAGCTCGTCTATACCTCCCCTGAGTAAATACCATCTTTAAACTATGACTTAAACTAGCTTATAAGATCTTTTTGGTGTAGAATCGCTTGAGAAATAAGTAAATTATATTGGACAAACCCAATAAGGAGTAAACAGTGGCAGGAATATTGAAAAACTTATATAAGCTTATATTTGTATCAAACATCAAGAAAGTTACAAATGAATAGATAAATAAATAAATCAATCAATCAATATTAAACTCATCAAGGCGATCTTTCATGTATGGAAAGTGAATTGGAAAAGTAAAATAAGTTGTTGATTGAACAATAATTCACAGAGGTTTATGAAATTAATACCCATCACTGCAGCAAACCTGCAGACTAAGCAAAATACTACTTACCTAGCTGGATTCCTACTAAAATACTCCTTTAAAAATTTGTCAGATTTATTTCCTATTTAAATAACATTAATTTTAATGAGTACTTAGGTTTGCTGATACAGGGAAGGTAATGAGGTGTGTTTTTAAATTGAAATGTTGATAGCGTAGTATGAAATAAACAAAAAAACATTGTAGCGTTAAATTATTTAATTCTATTAGGTTTGATATATCCAGAGTGTTTTTTTCAAAACGTTACCCAAATAACACACTACAACTACCATGAGACACTTTTTAACAACAAAACAAGCTAATATGGTGGTATCCCTGTTTTCTTTACTTCATTGCCAATTAGCTAATATGCAACATTACAGCTATCTATGAGGTTTAGTGGTGACTGGTGATGATAATTTATTGTAAATAAGACGTAATATTGTTTTTTGCATGCTCAGAGTTTGCGAAAACACCATTTTGAGACTTATTCACAATAAATTCCAATAACGGTAAAATGTAAAACTCATAGAACATAGAACTATGTAACATTGAATATCAGCTGATTGGCAATGATATATTGAATACAGGGATACCAAAATGTGGTCTTGTTTTTTTTTATTAAACAGAGACTTATGGTACTAGTAATTAGGGTTTTGTTGAAAAAAAGAAGAAAAAAACACCCTGTATATAAAAGGTTGCAAATAAACCAAAGAATATAATTTAAAATTTACACACCAGGCCTTTGACGAATATTTGACACTGGCCAAACAAATGCGAGCCTATGAAAACCTCAAGTACAATCAATGGATTGACAGATCAGTCCCTCTGGTTGCCAACACTTTGAAGGAAAATGTCATTGTACTCGTTCCTCTCGAGAAGGAGATGGGTAAGAAGGGATAAAATAATCATCATCATCACGTAGCAACTATTGAAAAGACCTTGTGCACAATTTGTTTAAACTCCACTAGACTGTTGTTTTATCTTGTATTTTGTAGAGTTGTATTTTGTTTTGAGTTTTATTAAGTCATTCAGTATCATGTGTAAGGAGCAATAGTAGTTCAAATTTTAATTTCCCTTGTTTATATTTAGTGTATAATGGCTTATAGTTTTGTAAAAGTTATGATATTCAAAAGCATATTTTGATTTTCACTACCTATGTATAAACATTTATTATTCCAAAATTCCTAAGAGAAAATCAGTGTTTCCTAAATTAAGTTAATCAAGTACCCCCAAGAAAACAAATGGGATCAACTAAATTTGTACATACACCTCTCAATTGTTTATTGTTACACCTGTTCTTGTCAAGTTATCTTGTTAAAGTTTTATTTTTATCAGTCAATTACACCCGTGATAACCCCTGGTTACACCCCTGTGTGTGGCATCTGAGGCCTTTTCAAATCAAACAGTACAACTGTTGTTTGACATTCTGTAATGAAGGTAGCACCACCTCCAAAAGTCTCTCTGTGGTTTTTATTTTGCTATTTTCCAGTTTAGGATGGGTTTGTGTAAATCTTATTATATTTTAGGTAGGCCCTACTTCCACCCCTGAGGACAAGATAAGATACCAAATTGTCGTGAAAACCACTTTTTTACAGATCGTATTTGAAAGTGTCAGCAATAATCCCGCAATTAGCATAAACCTAATCTCACCAAAATTATTGTAATTTAAGAAAAGTAGTTTTAACTGGTTGCATTTAAATTTTAGATATTGAAAAAACTGGGCAGAAGGCACCAAAACAAAGTGTGGTTCCCAAAAAATCACTTGGAAGTAAACTGAAGTTATTGGGAAGTCAGAAAGAGGTGGGCCAAAAAGAAACTTTGTCGAAGTCTTCAATGTTGACTCTTGCCAAGAGAGGAGATGTGTCGTCCTCTCCGACAACTACAAGTCAGTACAGCGCCAGCGAGTTGTCAGCCAAGGAGGGGCTGGGGCTGGGGGCGTTGTGTATGACCATGAAGTGGGTCGGCAAACACAGACAGAAGTCACTCCCACCATGTGAGTACAGACTAAGTACTAGACAAATATTGCATGAAATAAAAATTTGCTAAAATTGTTTTATTTTAATTATTGAATGAATTTGTTTGTGGAATTATTTTTCTGAAGTTACTGACTCCCGCAGGATTTTTGTTAGGATGGTAGGTTTGCCTGAATTTGAAATAGCCCACTCTGGAACAAGAAATACAACTTGCACTACATGTGTTACATATAAAAGTTTTAGGCAAGATAAATATTTCCTGATACATTTTCAAATAAAAAGGTATCACTTACTTGTATCATTTTACATTTTATAAATTTTTTCCTATTCAAATAAATTCCCTTATAATTCTTTATAATTGATGTTGATCATCAAACATATTACTATTAGTTAACATATTAGTATTAAGTTTTATGGCAATCCAATTTTATCTTGTTTATTGTTCTTAAATGAAATATTTTATGTGAGTTATTATTGGCATATGTATTTGTATTCCTTAGTCTATTACAATACTACTCTCGAAAAACGTTGCCTTGAAAGAAGATGAAATAAGGTGAAATTTATTTCACAACACTAATCTTGGAAGATATCAATACAAAATTGTAAATTTTCCTCATGTTTTGCTGTTTTTATCCTTTTGAAACTGTGATTATTTTGACACTATTTATTGTACAATGTACATAAAAATGAATAAAGATATTTGAATTGAATTAATTGTGAATATTCAAATTAACATTACAAGTGATACTAAGTGTTATTAGAGTGTATGAATTTAACAAACAAAATGTTTACGACTTCTTATAGAAAATGTTATAAATTATCAATGGCAATATGTAAAATAAAATCCCACCCCCACAAAAAGTTTCAGTGGCACAGGTGCACCGCTGTCCCTCCCTATTATGAATCCCTTCCCGTTGTGGTGTAATCACTAATCATGCTTGTGTCTTCTTAAATTTATATTCAACGCCAGAGCATAGGTTGAAAATAAAATGCTGATTGAAAAGAAGAACAGTATGACAAATATACTTACTATATGAAATTACAACACATCTTTATAAAAAATTTGGATTGATAAAAAATTTAAAAACAAATGATACATTTAAAAATTCTTTTCATTCCAACATCAGTGGACGCCTCGCTGCTTAAACACAACCCAATCAACGATGTCTACACTAAGCCCTGGTCTGAGTTTGTGGGAAATGCTATGCTGGCTGAGAAGAAACTGGGTATTAAGGTTGGTGAATGTCACTGTCAGTTGAACTGAGAATAACTAGTTTGAGGTTTTATGTAGCCTATAAATTTTCTTTTTTTTATTCATCTAGAACAAAATTGAAAAACACAGTGTGTATTTTTAACTATTCTATAAACCTGCATATTATTGTTCCATTTTTGATCAAATGTAGGTAGGTTTACCTGTATTAAGAGCTAAGACTATTGTTGATTAGATTGGTACAGTTAAGATGTAAAATACTCTGTAATGCTGTTAATACCCTTTTATCATTTTTTGTCTGTTAATTGGTACTCTGATAATATTATTATAATTTCCTTTTATAAGCCTAAGTTCTTCAGGGAGCTGTTCTTCAAACTTATATGCATATTTTGCTATGGGTGTAACATATTCAGGGATCTTTTGGCACAGTTCTATCATAAAACGATAACTATACCGATAATTGGTTCCCTGCTGCTTGAGAAACATGGAAACCATGCTTTGTAATAACACAGTTCAGGGCCAAGTAGTTCACCATGCAAAAAAGATGAATTGAAAATGCATCTGTATATAAAAAAGGTAGTATTCATACAATAACTCTTGTATGATCTCTCTAAGTTGTTTGTCACCCCAGGTAAACTTTGACCCGGAGATGTTGGAGATAGTAGCAGAAGCAGAGCTACTGGAGACACTGGGGTTTGGTCTGCCCAACACCATCCTTACAGTCACTACACAGAAGGAGCGAATACATGCCAAACTGGACGCTCTGCATAAGATGGTCAAGGAGTACACTAACCTCATAGACAGACTGGACACTCCTCAGGTACAGTCAAGTCTAACAATTACCGTAGTGTATATTAGTGCTTCACTTGTCATTTTAATACTTTATTACGTGACTGATGTAATTTGTGGAGCAGAAGCAGTATCAATTCTGTATCATTTGGTCCTGGTAGTGATGTTTTTATATTAAAACTGAAATATCTAAACCAATGAAAATTTGAAAAAGTTAGGATTTGAAAATTAAAACTTAAATTAACAATATATTTTATTTTAATAATTTTTTCAGGATAAATCACTCCTGTGTGCCTTTTTAATGTTAAGACCAAGCAAGCCTTCAAGCCTCTTGTTACCGGTTGTCTATCTTCAATATTGAAATTTGAGATATAATCTGAATTAGAAACCAGAATTATAAATATTTTACTGTTTACTTTGTTATAGACGAATTGTACAGTGATTGAAAATCATTAATTTCTTTTCCTTTACCTCTCCCTTAGATTTCTTTTATAATAATTTATCAAGGCTTAAGAACTTTGACACCATGCATCACTACTGCATCACCTTTACAGGGCATCAAAGATACGTGTTTAATCTCTATCACTACTTCTGTAACTAATCAACTTAACATTTTGCTTCAGTTGTTGTTCATGAAAGAACACTTGAGAGAGGTGGAGAAGCATATACAGCCGGGCCTGACTCGCTACACTTGGCTCTCCCTGGGAATTGAGGAGTACGCAAAAGACGCACTCAACAAGCTGCGCAATGTGACGTCCCGCGTCAACCAGATGGAGGACGTGTCACTCAATGTTGACAAGAAGATACTAAGCCTCGGACAGTTTGATATGTTCTCATTCCCTCCAATTACAGACAACAACAACAGATTGCCTTGCAAGGTTAGTGCAATTCGTCTAAAGTTATTATCTTTCAAGTAAGAGTTTTTTTTTAAGATTCATTAAAATACCTTTCATAATTTTGTTTAGATTTTAAGGTTTGGAAACACTAAAATCAAGTATTAAACTATTGATACCTGTATCGCAAAGAGTTACTGTTCAAAGAGTTTTTCCAACTAATATCCACTCTTCAAGCTATTGTTTGGGTAATGTGTTAGGTTATGTTGTTTGAAAACAACAAAACTCCAAAATTTTGAATGGGTATTTAATGAAAGAAAAAAAATTGTGTATACAATAAACAATACCAGAGGTTTTTCTCTCTCATCTCTTACTGACTCTCATCACTGCAACCGACACTTTCTCAGACTGATTGGAATGTAACTATAAAACAGTTTAGTATAAAATTTTAAGGGATATTATTTTTCAAAATTATAGTGTAGTGTTGCAAGTATCCTTATATATAATACGTGAAGGCGATTTCTACGAAACACTACTCCTCCGTTAATAATGGATGGATTTTTACAAACGATGTGTCAAATCAAAATAAAGTATCTTTTGTGTAGACGCCCCCTTTCACCAATTCCTGTAATAAAAGTCTTTGGGCTTTGCCCCACAGGTCATCAAAATCCCAATGTATTTCTTATGAAGAAAAGATTTTGTTTAGGGTCTACTTAAACAGACGAGTAATTTGTATTAATTGCATACTATAACATCTGTTATAGTAAACACATGATATATTTACAAGAGCGTTCGTTTTCAGTTTTTAAGTCATCAGAAATTATGACTGTTATTCGTTTTGAAATAATGCCTGTTGTACTTAGCAATTGCTCGAATTCAAGCAACAGGTGCATTCGTACTTACTAATAGCTGAACATTCATACGATTCTTACAGGTGAAAACCCCTTATGCTAAACTACTTTATAATGCATTTCATTTTCTGACAAAATTTTTCAAAAAGAACTCACTTTGCAAAGAAATTAAATTTTATTCTCTCCTTTACTTGTTCAAGGTGTAGATAAATTGTTCACAAAAAAAACAAATTTTTTCTGTCGCAGGACTTCTTCTCACACGTTGAACAGCAGCGGACTGAGAGCATGTCCAAGCTGTTGACAACGTACAACATGGTGGGACCCATCCTGCGGAAACTGGAGGGGCTCGTGCTGCAAACTAGCTCGGGAAGATCTCCTCTCATGGCATTCTTCTACAACAGCTGTGAGAAGAAAACATTCAACACACTCATCAAGTGAGCCGAGCTTATTGTTGGGAAAATAATATTGAACTTGTGTGCTTAAAAATGGAGACTGCCTGTGTCTTCATAGTTAGTAATTTCTGTGTAGAATCCTCTTCAGTCAGAGAATTGTGGTTGAAATAAATTACAAGAGTTACAGTTAAAAAGAGGTTAAGTTGAATAAGGTGCTAGTTTTTCTAATGAATAAAATTAATGTAATTTAAATGGTAATTTCAACAGCTTGGAGAGCCACTTAGGGTTGTCAGAGTGTCACAACCATTATTACCATTTAGTCTAATTTCAAACTATTCCTCCTCTAACTTTCGAAAGATTTTTTTAAAGTGAATTAACATTGTTTTGAAATTTCATCCAGCTATCAGATATATACACGGTATAACGCAGTAAATAGATTTTTTAAGCTGACACTGTAGTGTCGTGGTTTGTTGTTGAGGTAGAGTGGCTGTGTTGTATAGGTAACAATGGGACGTTTGTATTTATTTGATTTTCCGTTGCAATAATGCAGTCTCAGGAGCTCTTCCTACAGGTGACATATTTCCTGTTGTTCAGAATTAATTTTTTTCACCCAATTTGAATTTATAGTTAAATGGCATAAAAGAAAATTTCTATGTGGGGAAATAAAAGTCCTAAACCCATAGCAAACGGATCAGCAATAATAGATTAAGTGAACTAAAACTTTGTCACTTCAAATGAGCGATCCTCATAAAAACTTCTGTTACTATTTATAAAACCACAGACCCTTTCTCTTCAACCATCAATGTCACTACAGGGTTGTGTGTGTTTAAATAAAGAAATTCACAGCGCTCCAACCTGAATAGCAAATTAAGAGTTGCATTTTTTTCTCATCTAAAAGGTAGTCAGAGAATGTAATAGCTCTGATGTGTTGCTAGGCTGATGATCAACAACCTGGAGAAATTCAACAAGCAGCTCAACTCGAGGTCTGCGCTGTTCTCTATAGAGTGTCTGTTGGCTCCACCAGACGTGGTCACAAGACCAACAGCCTACCAGGTGTACAACATGATGGTCGGCTGCTCCAAGGACTTCATGGAAAGGTGACAAACTTGACAAGGATATCTTTTTGCAACATTTTTATAGATTAGAATTATTTCACCTTTTCCTTCAATTTCTATTCTTTAATTTAGTATTTTTCTCAATAGAAATTCACCTTACATACCTTTTACCTTTTACCTTTTACCTTCGATGTCTTCACCACAATCCGTAGATCGGGGAATCGTCATAGTTCTTCCGTCTGGACGGGATTTTTCTGTATATTCACGAAGTGAGCTGGCGTATGTGTGTGTAAGAATGTTCCTCTATGTACTCGTTTATGTTGTAATATGGTCTATTGGTGAGGTATTTTTTTAAGTGTTGGACAAATGTTTTATTGTTGTGTAGATGTTTAAATTGTTGTGGTAGCAAGTTGTAGAATTTTGAGCCAGTGTATTGTGGTGTATTGCTGAATTTAGAGAGTCTATGTTGGGGTAGATCTATGTTTGCTTTGTGTCTTGTATTATGTGTATGGAGTTCTTGTCTGCGGACAGGTGTTAAGTTTATGGAATAAATGATGGTTTCAAGGATATACAGTGATGTGATGGTAAGGATGTTGAGTCGGATGAAGTGTGGTTTGCAGTGTTCATTTGGGTCCAACCTCAAGATTGTTCTTACGGTTTTTTCTGTAGAATTAATATTCTTTCGAGGTTTTTGGCAGATGTAGAACCCCATGCGGCAATGCCATATCTCAAGTGTGGAGCGAAGATGGAGTGGTAGGCTATCATTGTAGTGTCCAGATCGGTGGTGTTGCAGATTCTACGGAGTACAAAGAGTGCAGTAGACAGTTTTTTACTAAGGTAATCTATATGGATCTGCCAGCTTAGGTTTTCGTCAATGTAGATACCCAGGAATTTAGTTGAGACAACCGTGGGAATGCTCAGTCCGGACCAATCGTCTGTTCTTTTATTGTTATTGTTTATTCGGAAGTTGATGTGTACTGTTTTTGTTTTGTTCTTGTTGATAATGAGGTTTATATCTTCACAGGCTGTTGTTGCTTGATCCATTGTTGATTTTATTAAGTTAATGTTGGATGCTTGACGATTTGTTGGAACAACAATAGTGGTGTCATCGGCAAAAAGTATGCATTTTTGGTCGTTGTCAAAACTGGAGGGGAGGCTATTGATGTAAATGATGAAGAGGAGGGGACCCAATATGGAACCTTGGGGAATTCCTCTTGATGTATTTCTAAGTGATGATTTGGTGGTGTAAATGGTGTTATGGTGTTGACTTTCAATTTCTACATATTGGTATCTATCTGTCAGATAACTGTCGATCCATTCCAGTGCTTTGCCTTGGATATTCATGCTGATTAATTTGGTTCTGAGGATATCCCAATCAAGAGTGTCGAAGGCTTTCTGTAGATCAAGGAAGATTCCAGAGGCATTTTTTCTTTCTTCCCAAATATCGGTGATATGAGTGACTAGTTTTGAGATTGCGGTAGTGGTGCTGAGGTTCTTCCTGAAGCCATGTTGGCATACGGAGAGGAGGTTGTTGGAGTCCAGGTGTGTGATAATTTGATTATATATTGCTCTCTCTAGGAGTTTGGAGATAACGGGCAGGTTAGAAATGGGCCTGTAATTGTTTGGGTCTCTAGCTTCACCTTTCTTATATATCGGATGAATTTTAGCAATTTTGAGTTTTTTGGGAATTTTAGCCTGTAATATTGACTCATTTATTATGTATCTAATTGGATTCCTTAATTCTTCCTGGCAAAATTTCAACATTTTCCCTGTTATTGTGTCAAAGCCTGATGAGTTGTTTGCCTTTAGGCTCTTGAAGAGATTGTCTAGTTCTTTTTCAGTAATGGGTTGAAAGGAATGCAATGCTGGTATCTCGTTAGTTTGGTCCGGTATTTGAGTTATATCCGAGGTTCTATGCAGGTTTGGAGTGGAGAGTCACATAATACAAAAACTACATATTTATCCATTCAAAACTCACAACAACATAACAAGGACATTGTTTTATAGCTCATACAATACTTTTAGACCAGAGATATTCTGTAGTTGACCATTCATAGGCTAGGTGCTAGGTTTAACAGAAATATTAACATAACACAATATTTTTAGATCCTACTAATGTATATTTACTATTCATTCAGTTATATAGTTGAGTACCTGACATGGAGCTTACCTGACAATCAAAAGGCTGCAGGTTTGATCCTAAGATAAGTGAGGAACTTATTCAGGGCCCCAAACTGGACCTTATTGTATTTTATTTTTATAAAATGAAAAGGGTTCTGAGTTCTGAGTTTGAAAAATGCTGGGTAATTTAAAGAAAAGAATCAAACAAAACTGAAACGTGCAGATAATGTTCTCTTACACACTCTTAATAACAAGCACCTTCACAGCCTTGAAATACCTAAATTTTATTTGTTGGAGAAATTACACCACTTATAATTTTTTTTTAAATTATAGTTATTGTTATTACATTAGTTGTGTTGCTCACTGACAGATTGACTGGCTAGACAGCTTACTGGTTAGTGCTCGGATGGGCAGATAGATATGCATGACTTAAACACACGCACATACTGCGGACGGCGCCGAATCGGTGGATGACACATCGGTACGGCACATTGGGATGTCCTAAAAATCTTTTTCTGAACTTTCTTTCAGACGGTGGAAGGTGCGGATGGTCCTGACCCGACCGTGACGTCCTAGTATGTGCACTAGGTTTAGCAAATCAATGCTAAACATTTTTGAAAAATCCCGTACATACCGTCCGTCCGTGTCATCCCAGTGTGTTCTTGTTGTTTTAGGTGTCTTAATTTTTGAAGCGCTGGACCCAATGGCTATAACCTGTCTAACTTATTGAAGGTATACCTACCTATGATGATTCAAGTTTAGGATTCTGTTTAGTTCAAATTACGTACAAACTCTTAATGGATTCTTCAAAAAATTCAGACTACTGGTTTATCTGAGTTCAAGGGGGTCTGAGTTTTTGGAACTTAACTGTAAAAAACAAAAACAAAAGATATATATGTGGCTGTACTGTACAATGAGTGCATACGAGTGTGATTTTCTAAAGCAATTGTATTGTCATTGTTAGGTTCAAGAAGATACCTCGGTGGATGGATGGAACTTGTGTCAAATGTCCTTCTGTCCGTACTCCTGCAGGAGAACACCTCTACTCCTTCCACGATGACTTGGTCAGAGTTCAGAAGGTCAACGAACTTGTCACGCAGACCGTAGACTTTGCCCACACTATTGGGGCGGAAATAAAGAAATTCCTCAATAGGTATGTTCATATATCTGTTTTTTTTTTTTTTTTTTTTTTTTTTTTTATAGAAAATTAGACTAGGATCTCAAGTGACGTTTTGGACACAAGCTATTTAGTTAATTTTGTTCAATTAGAATTGGAAAAATGAGCAAGAGTGGAAAGGATATTTTCGGCCTCCTTGATGAACTACGTAGTGAAAAATGTACATTATTTTTCCTTTGAGCTTTTTTCTTGGAATACTTTTCAAACAGCTGACCTTTAAATAATTTCATAATGCTATGACAACTTTTAACAGAGTTACAAGACTACAGAATAATATTTTATTATTTAAAACCAAGAAGCTTTGTGTAATTTTTTGCGTAGTATTGAAAAGTATCGTTCACTACTTGTGTTGAAAGATCCATTGATCTTCTGTTTTCTTTTTATCTTAGGTGGCGAAAATATAAATATATCTGGTTGACTGATAAATCATCAAAGATTGACAAATTTGCTGCCAAGAATCCTACTCTTCTGCAGTACGATGACAATTTTACTGTATATTCAAATGTAGTGGAAGAAATGGAATCAATGCGACCGTACAAGGATATCTATTGTGTCAGGTAATGTTCTCTTTAAAACAGTCTTTAGTCAGAAATATCCCCTCAGTAGAAAAAGTTACACATGTTCTTTTCTGTAACATGCAATCAGTGGCTTTTGTATCTGATTTGTCGTAACGATTCATGTAAACTGCGTGATTACTTGAAAGTAAATACCGGTAATGTATGTTCTAATGGTTGAAATTACTGTCCAGTAACTATTACACTATAGTCCGTTCACAAAATTTAGGCGGTTTAAGGGGAATGTTTCCTGAGTTACCCCCCACTATTTTTAACTTAATCTATAGATCAGTTGATCAACTGTTGGCTGTTGTTTCAAAGTTTGGTTGAGATGGAGGGGATGGAATCGCTTCCTTCAAACGGCCTAGATTTTGTGAACATAGTATATTACAGTTATTATTGCTGTTTGTAGGTACTAGATAACAGTTGCTCAAGATGTCTTTACAAAACATATCAGTATTGAGAACAAAACTGAGTGTGGTACATTATTGCAGGTTGAATCTTGCTCCACTGTTGGAAGACGTGAAAAAACACGCAAAAGAGTGGAAAACTGAGCTTGGAGCTCGTTTGGCTGCTGGCACAAGAGACATCATGGTTGCATTCCAGAACAGGATGATTGTAAGAGCAGCTAAACAGTAAATAATTAAATAGTACTGTATTTGCAAAAAACAATATTAATATTGTAAGTTGTACAGAGAAGTAAGAAATAGAGGAAACATTCAATGGTACACTTAAGTGGTGTCTAGCACCAGTTCATGGTGACTAAATCAAATCCCATTCGTTGTCCCCTTCCGCTCTCCTTCCCCCCCCCTGGCCATCACAAACTACAGCGCTCACACTTTAGGAAGACCCTGTGCAACAACTGCATTTTCAACTGCTGTACAAATATGCTATGTGGCCATCGTTCAGGCTCTCCCTTGCTTGATACTATAACATTTCTGTCCCAACATACTGGCGAAAAGTGTACAGTTGTCCCATAAGCTTGTATCCCCTGTATCTTACTTCTCTGTGTAAATTGATATTTTATATAAAAATTTAAAATTTGTCCAATGTTATACCCCAAAAATATTTACTCAATTCTTACTATTGTCTTTTTTTAATGTATGCCTAATATTTACCTTGAACCTTAGCATTGTGTTACTTTTAGAAGTAATTTTTGAAAACAATAATGGTTTTGTTGTTGAGAATTAACTCTCATCGTTCACTCATCATTTCCAAAATACAAACCCTGGAGTGTTAGTGTCTTTAATGATATAATCTTTACATTTAACTCACTTGTAGGAGTTAAAAGAGGAGTTGGAGCTAGGAGTGAACGAGTTGGACGCATTCAAGCGTGTTCTACAGGCTATCACAGACATCGGCAACACTCTGGTGGACGCAGAGTTGACCTTCCGAGATGTAGAGGAGAGACATCACACACTGCGGCTGCAGAGTATTGAGGTGACTGTTATGTGAGAGTTTTATAGTTTATGGAAATAAAACATACACTGTATCTGGTATATGTTAGGCCTATTCTGTAGTATAAGAGCTCAATTGATAATGTGAGAGAAAAGCACTATGTAATAATTAATTCTGTGTGATGTACATTTTGTCATTGTGACATCATGACTATAATCAGTTATCGCTGCAGCATCACGCTCACCTCTTGCATTTGCTTAAAAATATTCAAATTAAATGTACCTACATGTTTTCTTTTGAGCCTTTTCATCGGTAAATCGTGGTTGTAATTCATTTCTAGTCTAATAACCTTCCCTAATAAATAACAATTTCCAGAAACAGAAAAACGTTCTTTGGGGGGGGGGGGGGGTTAAAATTTATTGGATTTATTTGAAATAAGAATCTTGCCAACAAGTGTCATTATGGGAGATGGTCGTCATCATTCAATGCAATGCAATAGATTAGCAAATGTCAGCTGCCGCTCATAACTATATTTGTCTTTTAATGAGTGCAGAATGAAGATAAAAATTGACACAGAAGACCGAATGATTGCATTATTTAGGGAACATGATCCTCAAAGGAATTAGTTATAGAATTTTTATTTTTGTTTTCTAATCTGTCTTCAGATCCCAACAGAAGACTTAGAGTTGCTGGAACAGTTGAAGTCCGAGTGGCAGGCTCTGTACGATGCTTCTCTGTACCGCAAACTCAAGATGGAGCCAGCCAAGGTGGTGTTTGCTAAGACCACGGAGGCCCTCATACAAGACTTTGTCAATGTTTGTGAACTGTTTGCCCAGCGGTTCAACCAAGAGGGACCGGGTGCTGAACATCGCAACCTCCAGCAAGGGTTCAGCCTCATGACGGTAATGGTTCAATAGTTTGAAACATACTAACAGATGAGTAACATGATTGTTTGCAGGGCAATTTTTCAGTGAAGGTAAACCTGTAGGTTGTTCTACAGGTTGAGGAGAACTCCCTCTCCTGCAAACATTTGTACCACAGTGGTTTATATTACAGTAGAACCTCGATAGTTCGGACTAAGGGGGTGTCAAACTATAGGGAGTATATTGGACATTTACACACAAGTAGTATTTAAAACACAATATAAAGCAAACAAATTTAATGGATAGTATACAACTTGATAACAATAAACAAACTTAACAACTTACATAATAACTTACATATTATATTTGGCTTTTTTTCATATAATATATTTTGTAATATTCAACTACTTTTCACTTTCCATGTAAGAAAAAAAATAAGGAAATAGGATCATTTTAGTATTGAGTTTTTAAGAATGATATATGGACCAATACAAGAAAATGGAGAATGGAGAAGAAGGCATAATAGGGAGATAAGGAATATGTACAATGATTATGATGTAGTAGCACACGTGAAAGCAAGGAGAATAAGGTGGGCAGGACACGCACTACGGAGAGAAAGAGGTTCACTACTAAAAGAAGCAAGTATAGGAAAGCCAGAAGGGAAACGACCATTAGGAAGGCCCAAGAAGAGATGGTGGGATAGTGTTTCCAAGGACGTCAGAGAAGTGGGGGCAGAAGTGGAAGAGGCAGAAGATCGAGAGAGATGGAAAGCAGTTGTTGGTGCGGCCAAATCCCGCCTTGGGCATAAATGGCCATGGGAGTGAGTGAGTGTTTTTACATGCACGAAAACAATAAGAAGAATGTAGTTTTTGACCTCGGTGAACCCATCATCGGCCTATGCCGACATGTGTTTTGTCATCCCAGCCATTGTCTAACTATAGGGAGTGTCGAACTATCGAGGTTCTACTGTACATTGGTACTGTCCAAAACGATCCTAGTTAAATAGAACCTAAGTTGGCCTAAGTCCTGTAAACCACTGTAGTTAATTACAGACAATCCAGAGGCCATTCCATCATAAAAACATGTAATATAAACAACTTTAAAACTTTTTAGGGCTGCTTGAATTTTTTGTTACGTTTCCATTAAAGTTCTCTGTCTCTACAGTTTTTATGCAGATTTCTAACTAATAAAAAAACCGTATAATATTTTCACTGGAGGTAAAAGAAATAGGACACTTTTTTCATCCACAAGTTATGATATGGGATCGGCTTAAAAAAAACAAAACTACCGGTAACAATTTTTGTCAAGTAAAGAAGTGTAATCCAAGCATGGTTGGATGGTAATTTATTGCAGCTTTCTAAATCACTCATAGGCGTATTTTATTTTTTAGTTAGTTTTAATAAAACTGGTTTACTTCTGTTTCTTTCATCAACAGGAGTACGGAGAAGAGTTTGCTGAAATGAATGAGAAGAAGAAGGAAATGCTGCAAGCTGAGAAGTTGTTTGATATTCCCATGTCAGACTACACTCTTTATGATTCTGCTTACAAAGACTTTGAAGGGATGCAGCAAATTTTTCAGATCTATCAGAACCAACAGGTGTGTTAGTTAGATATTTTCTGTTTCTGTTACTAGCTTAGGATTATGTGATAGGTTAAAAGGGCTAAAGTTAGTATGTTTCAATGTTTCTGCAAATTTACACCACAAATACTGAGGTAGTTATTTAGAGAAAAACATGTTATTGATTTTTAGAAGTTAATTTAAGAGGTTCTATGGTGGAAATCAGCACTCTCAACTACCCCAGTTTTTTTAACAAGTTTAATATAGGGACAAAATAACTAGTTCTATCCATAGTCGAAGCATGTTACATAAATGGTTCTGATGATTTAATAAGTTTACCCCCCCCCCCCTCCCCACATACAAAGTCAAACATTTCCACTTACATTATCTCTCCACATTATATACTCCAAAAAAACCTGCCACTGTAATAAAAGCTGCCACCATGAAAATTCCCTGTAAATAGTAAAAAGTTTATCGCTCCTGAATGTGAAATTTACTATTTCTGATACAAACAACATTTGCAGGCAGCAAGAGACCAGTGGGGTAAAACGCTTTGGGCAAATCTCAATCCTCAAGTTTTACTAGAGGGCATGGAGGCATTCATAAGAGAATTCAAAAGATTACCAAAACAAGTCCGTCAACTGCGACCAGGTGTTTTATTGGACATTAGAATGAAAGAATTCAAGAATTCAATCCCACTGTTTATTGAATTGAAAAACGAAGCTCTTAGAGAGAGGCATTGGAATGAGCTGATGGAAAAGACAGGTAACTTTGTATTACATAACAATTAAATCAACCAACTATCAACACAATCCTTTTTGTATGTTTAATCTGCAGGTAGCAACCTGTCAAGTATAGTATAACCAATTATAAGTATTGCTATGGTAGCTTAACCTGTAAGAAGCATAGCTGTCAAAAAGACTCCACAGTTTTTAGATGGTATATATATATATATATATATTGTTAATGACAGTGCTTGATCACTTCTTTAATGATCTAAGAAAATGGCACACCATTTAAAGTGTACATATTTTAAGAATTGAGATATTAATGCAGGGCAAGAGTGGGATGGGAATGGATGATGGATGATGTGTAGCTTTGTTACTGACTAAGATAAGCTGTTTCTTAAGGCTGGGCCATTTATTAAAAGTCTGAATATCAAGGACAGAATAATCCAGTTTTGAATAACTAAAACAGCTACTGACTTTTCAAGATTGGACTGGCTGTTGTAGAATCCAATTTGATGTTATATTTTATGTATGAACTACCGATCCAATTTGCGATTTGATAGAAACCAATATATCACATAATAGTTGTGAACTGCTGTGTTTTTTTCACACAAAGCAACTAATTTTTATGGTTAACTAGTTAAGTAATCAATCACATTGTCAAATGTTTTTGGTGTCCTATGATTGAATGCTCAATTTATTCTAGGTCAGCACTTTGACATGTCGGCTGACTGTTTTACTTTGGATGCAATGTTTGCTATGGAGCTTCATCGCTACCAAGACATTTGCGAAGAGATCATTGCCAATGCTGTCAAAGAACTGAGCATTGAGAGAGGAGTGAAAGAGATATCTCATGTAAGTTTTGTTTAATTAGTCCTTTTTATTGCGGTAATTACATACGTTGATTCATGTGAATAAAGTACATAAATTACATGTTTTGTTTATCTAGTGTTTTTGTAATATGTTTTTAAACAACTTGTTTAACCTTAGTTTTATAATATTTAAATGTTCAGGTTTGGACGACCATGGCTTTATGTGTTGTCCACCATTCCAAAGGATTCGAAGATCGAGGATACATCCTTGGTGAGATTGGAGAAATAATGCTTGCCCTCGATGACAACTGTATGAATTTACAGAGTATGGCTGCTTCCCAGTAAGTGACATAAATTCCGTGATACTATTGTAAATGTAACAATAATTTCTAGTAATTAATTTAAATCTAGTGGGTAAGCTATGTTTCAGGACAGGAACAGGATTGGATTTTCTCCCTGGGCAAACAGGTTTTAATGGCTATAACTACAAACAAAATCAATTTGTAGTTGTTATGGCATTGTTCTATAAAAACCAATAATGGGTACAACATATACTTATGTAACAAAAACCATTTGAATAAAAAATTACATATTTAGTCCAGTAGGCCTACAATTTAACTGTGGAACATCAGTCAATCACCAAAACCTATTAAAACTGCCAAGCACTGTATTTTTCAAAACTATGTTGTGTTTTAAGGCATGATATGGTTACTAGTAGCAGTATTAGCTTTAGTAATCATAAACTTTTGTAATGCGTACCTATCACACAGTGCCATCATGACCATAATCCGTGTAAATGTCATCTCATACCATAGCAACAAAACAATAGACATCCCTCCCAACCATAAAAGTTTTATGAATATTGTCGGGTGCATTTATGTGTCATTAACTATGCACCACACACACAGGTTTGTTGGCCCATTCCTGCCTGTGGTACAGAAGTGGGAGAAGAACCTGTCCACAGTCAGTGAGGTGCTGGATGAGTGGCTGGGAGTGCAGAGACGGTGGCTCTATCTGGAGGGTATCTTTGTGGGAGGAGACATCCGAACACAGCTGCCTGAGGAGGCGAGGAAGTTTGACGATATTGACCGCATCTTTAGAAAGGTCAGAAAATATTTGCAATACTTTTGGTTGTGGCACCTCTTAAACATGTAAGTTTCTAAAACTAGTACCATATTACTGAATATTTATTGCGAACTCATTTTTACATCAAAGTCAATCAATTTTAGAATGAAAGGTTGACCACCAATGTGTTTTTTTCAAATCAAATCAAATCATTCTTTATTTTGTAGTTTCATTAAGAATAATACAATGGTGTCAATAAAAATACAATAATATAACTTAAAACTAGTCAGCTACAAGAGTTTTTTTTTTGTTTTTTGTTAACAATATCATGAAAAATTTATTGCAAGTTAATGGTTCAGATCGGATTCAAGGAATTCCTTAGAGGAGTAGGCAGGTCTGTCTGTCAGCCACTTGTGAAGTTGTGTTTTCAGCGGTTTTCCCTTCAGTGACTTCAGTGATGATGGTAGGCTATTGTGGACTTTGCGGCCAGTGTAGGATGGTTTTCTGGCGTACTGCGTGGTATGATACTGGCAGAATGAAGTCGTTTCCTCGCCTGGTGTTGTAAGCGTGAAAATTAGCACTTGTTGGCAGATCAGACTCACTCACCAAAAGGACTACTGCTTTTTATTCTTTGATAATGACACCTGTCTTGTTATAGCTATGCTATGCTATGAAACGTGTTTGTGACAATTAAGTTTGATTTGAATTGATTTACCTATCTGTAGGTCTATTATTTTTTTGGACACTGACAACAATACTGAAAATATTACGTTAAATTGCTTATTATAAATAATTTATACATTATTAGTTGAAGCCTTTGGTGCAACACCATGGTGAAACAAAACAGAAATAATGTTGTAGTAAAGTTTAAATAGGTCATAGTTTAATTTTGAGTACTAAATCAATGGTGCAACTTTTTCATATTTTGAAGAAGCAAATCTTTCTCTTCCACCTCCTCCTTTGTTGCATATGCAAAGCAAGAGTTATTGCAATAAACACGTTATAAATACACACCGACCTTTTTTGAAGGACACACTCTGGTAATTATAAATGATAATGACAAATGACACTATATAATGTAACTCATTACAGGAATTTTACAATTAAATGTGTTTTCAGATAATGATAGAGACAGCTAAGAAACCATTGGTTCTGGAGCAGTGTTTAGTCCCAGGCAGACTACAGGACCTGCAGGCTCTAACTCTAGGACTGGACAACTGTCAGAAGTCACTGAATGACTATCTGGACACCAAGCGCAATGCTTTCCCTCGTTTCTTCTTCATCTCTGACGATGAACTACTGTCCATCCTCGGCAGTAGTAATCCCGAGTGTGTCCAGGAACATATTGTGAAGGTGGGTCGATTGATTTATGGTTTGCTTCATGTCTATTTATTTATTGTTGTCTAGGTTTATCTAGAAAGCAAAACTACTTGCCTTGGTCAATTTTATTTCATTATCTACTATTCCATACAAATCCCGTCTCTGAATCATGTAATGAAACTAAAATATTTTCCAATAAAAAAATAATATGGGGTATTTCTGGATAGTTAATTCGTTCTTTGCCTTCTTAAGTTTTAAGTCTTGTGTTAACTAAAGTTTAATCAATCCTCAAAGTGGAATTCAGAATGAGTTTTGGAATTCAGCTTGTACTAAAACTTTAAAGTTGATAATATCTACGCTTATCACCAAAACTACCCAAACAAAACTCCACTACAGTAAAATCTTATCTTTTAAACTGTCACTGCTCTTCACCACTGATGCACACTGCTTAGTCACATTACAAAATTAAATGGTGTTAGCTATGACGGGTTGCAACAAGTATACTTTATAAAAAGAAGAAAAGCAGGTTGAAATTAAGCTGTTACATTTTATCAATTTTGACCCACTACAATTCCACTCTCTTGTTTGTACTCTAATTCTGAACATAATCCTTCTCAGATGTTTGACAACGTGGCCAGTCTCCGTATGCACCCGGATGCCCAAAGTCACTGGGTGGTCTCAGCCATGGTGTCGTGTGAGAAGGAGGTGATGGAGTTCCGCAACGTCCAGTATGCTGGTGGCAAGGTGGAGAACTGGATGTCTCTCGTCCTGACCGAGATGAGAGTCACCAACCGCTACATCACCAAGAAAGCCATCTACGACTACGGCAAAGTGAGAAGGCCGAGGTATTATCAATGTGTGGGGTGACAAACAACAAAAAGATGTTGTAGTAGCGTTATGATCAGTATGTATATTACTTGTGTTGTAGGGTTGCGCTTTTGACGTTCAACAACTTTCAAGTAAGATATATATTTTATTTTTGTCATTTTTGTTTTCTTTTTCTTTGATCATATGATCCATTTTAATGAATTATGATTACATTATAAACTATTTCTTTAGTTATTCGATGGATTACTCCAACTTGTATGTTGCTTAAATTTAATGTCATTTGAATGTATATCTAATCTAGTCTGTTTATCATAATCTTTGACATTACGCTTAAATTCTCAATGGGACAAAAATGATTTTTTCTTTCTTAAAATTGTTGCAAGATAACATGAAATGGTTCACATTTAACATGTCTAGCTAAAACTAGCTGTCGATTTGTTTATCACATTTCACAAGGTATAAAAATTGAATACGTCGAATGTAACCAAATTTAAGTTTACAGTAGGCTTTGTTGCTTAAGTAATATTTTTTGTGCTGTGTACATTTTTTGTGTGCACAGGTTGCATTTTAGCATGGTGATTAGTTATGTTAATTTATTACGAATAATCAATACACTTTAGTGTTTAATAAACGTAACAAAAATTTAACTTGTTAAAATAAAAGTAACAACAATAATAACTAATTTAATATATGTTATGTAAATATTTTTTTATTACGAATAATCAATACACTTTAGTGTTGAGTTTTGAAAGGAATTTTTTAAGTTAAAAGGGTTGATAATTTTGTATATTAATTGACAATTTTGTATATTAATTGTGTTGCTTGAGTTGCGCTTTTGACGTTCAACAACTTTCAAGTAAGATATTTTATTTTTGTTTTCTTTTTCTTTGATCATATGATCCATTTTAATGAATAAAACTCGTTTTATGATTACATTATAAACTATTTCTTTAGTTATTCGATGGATTACTCCAACTTTTATGTTGCTTAAATTTAATGTCATTTGATGAATGTATATCTAATCTAGTCGGTTTATCATAATCTTTGACGTTGCGCTTAAATTCTCTATGGGACAAAAATGATTTTTTCTTTCTTAAAATTGATGCAAGATAACATGAAATGGTTCACATTTAACATGTCTAGCTAAAACTAGCTGTTGATCTGTTTCTCACATTTCACAAGGTATAAAAATTGAATACGTTGAATGTAACCAAATTTAAGTTTACAGTAGGCTTTGTTGCTTAAGTAATATTTTTTGTGCTGTGTACATTTTTTGTGTGCACAGGTTGCATTTTAGCATGGTGATTAGTTATTGTACGTGTTATTAAATTTACAGAAAGTAAATTAAAGACACGTCTTATAACCCTCAAAAGATATACTCCAATCAAAAGCGATCACCGCTTACCATTCTCAATGTATATTTACCGTCTTGTGAGTAACAGTATAAGCGTAAATATATATTTTAAGTGTTATAGACGTTCCTTTTATTTACTTTCCGTATTCCTTTTTGAGTATAAAAATTCATATTGAGGTACAGAGTTGAGAATTTATTTTTTCAAGATTCAAAAGTCTTGGATTTGTCCATCAGTAGATTTTATATACCTGCCTTGTGTGTGAACTAGTCTGAGATTGCTTCTTTGTAGTTATACTTTGGTTCTCACTATGTTGTAGGACAGAATGGATGCTAGACTACCAAGGAATGGTAATTCTAGCAGCTAACCAAGTGTGGTGGACTGCCGAGGCGGAAAATGTCTTCCTTAAAATTAAACAGGTAAGATTTTAATTAACTGATAAAGAATGCTATTTTTGTAATTATGTTGGTAACAAAGATGCTAAAATGCTTAGCTTAGCAGTGAAACATACATCCAATTTAATCTCCCAAAGAAATACATTGTTGCTTGGAAATGCAACTGCCCATTTATGGATATACAGGTGTCCCACGAAGAGGTTTAAACATTTGATTTGATATTTCTTGCCCATTTATATACCAAAAATTTTGAAACTTTACACAATTTATGAAGTAGGTTTTAAAACTATTCTGGGAAATGTTAAAAATTTTACCAATTTGCTTCCTATAAAAATAATTTTCTTGACTAATTATGTGATTTGTTTGCTACGTTGTATTTGTGACGCTCATTATTGAAGATGAAGAATATCGCTCAATAAATAAAACCATAACCTAACTTTCTCCGGTATAGTTTTACTGAAACTTAAGTTGAGAAATGGCTTTTTGCGTCGAACAAAAATTGAAGTGTTGTGCGTGGGCTATTGCTTTTGACAATGTCAAAGAAGCAATTAGACAGTTTCAGGTTGCCTGCCTAGGAGTTGTACAACCTAGTAATCCAACAATAACCAAGTGGAAAATCTTTTGTTAGTAACTGGTAGTGTTGTCGAAAAACACTCTAGAGGATCTAATGACGAACAAGCAGAACTGGTATGCATCAATGCTCCGCTCTCCAGGTATCGAAGTCACTAAGGAAGGTTTTTAAATCATACTTTATAATTGTGTTTCAAAATCAAAATGCTCGGTGCATAGATGGGCAAGTAATATAAAATCAAACAAACCTTTTCGTGGAACATTCTGTACATTGAATTGTTGTACCTTTATCAATTTAGCAAATCTCTGTTCTTTCTTTGTAGGCTTCAACAATTCAATTTAAACAATTGTTTTGCATCTATTTTTTTTTTTTTTTTTAGTCAAAGTTATTTATATTAGATGAGTGAACGAAGTGAACGAATCTATGTATCGTGTATAGCGGAGTCGGAGAAAAGTTGTCCGCTGGAGTGTGTGTGTGTGTGTTCGCACCTAAAACTCAAGAACCGTTGCACTTATAGCGTTCAAATTTTGCACAAATAGTTATGACACCAGTATAAAGACACCATTAAAATTCTAGACGATTCCGCTCAGTAGTAATTATAAAATACTTAAAAAACATTTTTAAATTTGTCCCATAAGAATAACATTAGGAGCTACCTTCTTCTTCTTTTTATTTGTTTACGTTTTGCGACCAACAATTTTGTTGTCTACTTAAGACAGAGAGAACGACTTTTACTCTAAGCTCTTTCATTCATGGAGGGTAAACAGTTTGGCGTCTATGAATATATATCATTATAATTTCACAGCTTTCAGAATAATGTTATTTAAGCTAATTAAATCTCACAACTTTCATAATAATAAATTGAACTTAACAATATTAGTCGGCAGTTATATACCGTTTATGTTCAGTATTAAAATTTCGCCTTTTAATTAAAAGTATATAGGTATGTACGTATTTAGAACAAAGCAGCTTTTTACATTATTCAATTTAATGTTGGCATTGAATATTAAATATTCAAAAATGTTGGTATATTTTTATACTAAAATGCTATGCGAAGGGGGGGGGGGGACAGGTCCCCGACGTAGAGAGTAGTAAAGAAAGCGGAAAGGTGAACAGTGAAAAGAAAGGAGTACGGAAACCCTTTATGACTGTTAAATTAACGTATCTGTAATACTTAAATGCTATGGAAAGATAGGGAAACAGGTCTACGATGTAGGAAGTAGTGAAGGAAATAGTGAAGGAAGTAGTCAAGGCGAGCGCTGCGGAGTGTGGGGGGCCTTTATGACAGTTAGAATAATGTATCTGCAGTTCTAAAAATGCTATGGGAAGGGAGAGAAACAGGTCCACGATGTAGGAAGTGGTGAAGGAAGTAGTCAAAGTGAGCAGTCCGGAGTGTGGGAAGCCTTTGTGACAATTAGAATAATGTATCTGCAATTCTAAAAATGCTATGGGAAGGGAGGGAAACAGGTTCACGAAACTTAGGAAGTGGTGAAGGAAGTAGTCAAGGCGAGAATTCCGGAGTGTGGGAACCCTTTGTGGCAGTTACATTAATGTATCTGCCATAATAAAATGCTATAGGAAGGGAGGGAAACAGGTCCACGACGTAAGAAGCGGTAAAGGAAGTAGTCAAGGCGAGCAGTCCGGACTGTAGAAACCCTTTGTGACAGTTAGATTAATATACCTGCAATACTAAAATGCTATAGGAAGGGAGGGAAACAGGTCCACGACGTAGGAAGTGGTAATGGAAGTAGTCGAGGCGAGCATTCTGGAGTGTAGAAACCCTTTGTGAAAGTTAGATTAGTGTAACTGCAATTCTAAAATGCTATGGGAAGGGAGGGAAACAGGTCCACGACGTAGGAAGCGGTGAAGGATGGAGTCAAGGTGAGCAGTCCGGAGTGTGGAAACCCTTTGCAAAAGTTAAATTAATCTATTTGAAATTCTAAAATGCTCTAGGAAGGGAGGGAAACAGGTCCACGACGTAGGAAGTGGTAATGGAAGTTGTCGAGGCGAGCATTCTGAAGTGTAGAAACCCTTTGTGAAAGTTAGATTAGTGTAACTGCAATTCTAAAATGCTATCGGAAGGGAGGGAAACAAGTCCACGATGTAGGAAGTGGTAATGGAAGTAGTCGAGGCGAGCAGTCCGGAGTGTAGAAACCCTTTTGACAGTTAGATTAATATACCTGCAATACTAAAATGCTATAGGAAGGGAGGGAAACAGGTCCACGACATAGGAAGTGGTAATGGAAGTAGTCGAGGCGAGCATTCTGGAGTATAAAAACCCTTTGTGATAGTTAGATTAATGTAACTGCAATTCTAAAATGCTATGGGAAGGGAGGGAAACAGGTCTACGACGTAGGAAGCGGTGAAGGATGGAGTCAAGGTGAGCAGTCCGGAGTGTGGAAACCCTTTGCAAAAGTTAAATTAATCTATTTGAAATTCTAAAATGCTCTAGGAAGGGAGGGAAACAGGTCCACGACGTAGGAAGTGGTGAAGGATGTAGTCAAGGTGAACAGTCCGGAGTGTGGAAACCCTTTGTGAAAGTTAAATTAATCTATTTGAAATTCAAAAATGCTATAGGAAGGGAGGGAAACAGGTCTACGACGTAGGAAGTTGTGAAGGAAATAGTCGAGGCGAGCATTCCGGAGTGTAGAAACCCTTTGTGATAATTAGAATAATGTACAGTATCTGCAATTCTTAAAATGCTATGGGAAGGGAGGGAAACAGGTCCACGACGTAGGAAGTGGTGAAGGAAGTAGTCAAGGTGAACAGTCCAGAGTGTGGGAACTCTTTGTGACAGTTAGATTAACGTATCTGCAATAATAAAATGCTATGAGAAGAGAGGGAAACAGGAAATACATTACGTATATTACTAATGACTTTGGTTAATTAATGGACGAGAAGTTAGGATTGTTGTTGACTGAGATTTGGTTTTTTTTAAGAGGTTGGTCCAGCCTCTTTTAACCTCGCCCGTGCGTGGATCGTTTACAGCAAAGCAATTGGTGAACCGGTACAGTACAAAGGTGAACTGTACTGATAAAATTTAGTGGCAGTGACCAGGATCCGAACTCACGACATCGCTGCCTTGGGCCCGAAGTTCGCGTGACGCTACCGACTTGAGTCACCGACTCACCATTATTTGCCCCGACTCATGGGTTGATATGCCCATACAAATAACATTATTGTGTACACCAGTGACACCGGTAAGTGTGCTAGGTGTGGGTAAACTCTTTCATTATTGCGCTCATGTTCACTCATCCTGTTACGCGCAGAATAAGCGTACTACTAGTATACTGAGTGTAAATAACCTTTATTAAGAGCTGATAAGAATGAAAATTCCGTAGATTAACTGGAAAATTGATTAAAAAACGCTCAGGAAAGCAGCTTTGCTGTAAAAGGTTATTTTATTTTTTTCATGGAGCACACATTTTTCCTATATCAATTTTATAATAGCAATAAGCTTCCTTTTCATTTTGACATTTTGGCTTAAAATACCTACTTTTTATGGTCGCCATTTCATTGAAAAGTATTAAAGTATTTCCAACTAAAAATTTTCTACCAAAACTAATATGAGGAATGAAATATTTTGCAGGGACACAAAAGAGCAATGAAGGAATACCTGACACAAATGAACAATCAGCTGGACGAGTTGGTGGTTAGAGTTAGAGGCTACTTGAGCAAAAATGACCGGAAAAAGTTCATAACTGTCTTGACCATTGATGTGCACGCCAGAGACATCATCGAGGGTTTTGTTAGGGACAGGTAAACCACTAGGAATAAAATAACGTTAATCTTATTACGATGTTAGAATCCTTTTGAAGTTTTATGGAAAGTTATTTAGGTAGTGAAGTGATTACAGTGTTTTGCTACAAATCAAGATTTAAGATAGAAGGTTGTTGGTTTGATTCGTATAAGGGCTGAATCTGGACCTAGATGTCATTTGTAATTTAACTATCACATTCTATCAAAGGATCAATATTAGATATTAACAAGATCAGGTTATAAATTGGTCCTGCACAAAGATATTAACAAGTTTCAATGTGTATGCATACTTTATGGTTATTAAAAAGAGGGAAGGTTAAGCTAAAAAAAAATCTATTTAGTTATAAAGTGATAACGGACAGAAAAATACCTTGAAATTGTCTTCAGCTTTTCCTTAGGGACGAAAAATTTAAAAGTCTATGTTTAATCCATGGTTCAGCTCTGATGTGTCTTAACAGAATTTAACTCTGATTCAAACTGAAATCTGTTACATTTTTCAAATTATGAAAACTGGAGTCTCCTATTGAATTTGATCACCAATTATCATAATTTGTTGTCACCAAATCATAATAGAAGCTTATGTTATAAGTACTTTTCATTTACTATAAGTTGTTTTACTTGTTATCAGTGTTATGGATGCTTCCGAGTTTGAATGGGAGAGCCAGCTGAGATTCTACTGGGTGAAGAATGTTGACAACCTCATTGTCAAGCAATGCTCAGGTGAATGTTGCAGATACTAATTTTATTTAGCAACTCATTATATGTTATACATTCTAAAACATTTATGTAATGATTATATGCAGATTGAACTTAGTTTTGTTCTTCCAAATCTGATTCAAAATGCAGTATTGTAATAAGTAATCGAGTTTAAGCCATATAGAAATAATTTGTTTTTTGTAATAACCTTAACTTTTAGACATTGGTCCTTGGACCTAATAATGCAACAGTCAATAATGTTTTCGATTATATGGTAATGGTCTCTGTTTTCTCACTTTTCTGGGCACCTGATGTGACATTCTCAACCTGTTCTGTAGATCGTTTTAGTTACTTGTGCTACAGTCGTCTCAATAGGATTATGTACAAACAAACCATTACATGGGTTAAAGTGAGTCTGGCATTAGCTCTTTAGAAAGTAGACCACCGACCCTGCAGTTATTGATCATTGGCTTTGAAATAACTTGTCCTGGCTAAAGAAGCAACTTACCTGAATCAGAAACAAAGCTATAATCCCATTCATTCATGCAACACTCTTTGGCTTATTATTGGCTTACTTTGTGTACACCTATGAATGTTTTCTAGGCCAATTCGAGTACGGATATGAGTACATGGGGTTGAATGGCAGACTAGTCATCACTCCACTGACTGATAGAATCTACCTGACCATCACACAGGCACTGTCCATGCAACTGGGGGGTGCTCCAGCTGGTAGGTTCTGTTGATATTATTTTAATTGTTTCTGAAATGTAAGGGTGTTACAATCTTTTGTCCATTTGTACAATATTAAGGCCCATGTGCATGGTTGTAAGTTACACACTAGTACCTTTATACTCAACCGGATACTTAGATTACACAATTGTGTGTATTTGAGGTAAAAAAAGACAAAAAAAACTCTTAAATGAACAATAAAATATGTTGTCTTGCCTCCGTTGTATCCGTTTGTTGTTGTACCAGGTCCTTGCAGCAATGGTGACACTTTTTAAATCATTTTGTTAGTGGATATATTATAAAAGTGAACAAAAGCAATGTTTACAATAGATATAGTGCCATTTACCTGTACTATTACATGATGCTCACAGATAATTTCTCATCGAGTCAGTGTGTTGTATATCCTATCGGTATTCAAATGACCAAAAATTAGCTTTGAGCAATTATAATGAACTTATTTACACATCAGTGTGCTGTAAATACATTCACTCCAGCTAGTACACAGTAAACAAAAATATATAGAAATGGTTCTGTCAAAATATACACCTAAATTACTAATATGACGATTCACATTAAGGAAGAAGTTATGGATACACATCTAACTTATCAATTAAAAGGTATTCTTTGTACAAAGCTCTAGGCCAGTGTGTTTACATCTGATTCCTATTTGTGAAGACTCCCCAGTGACAGGTATCCCTGGTCCTTTTATGTACCATCAACTGCCAGAATTCCCTTTCTGTGTTAAGTTATTATGCATCCATTCCTTCACCCATGCATTCCTAAGCCAACACTTTAACTCTATGAATTTTAAAACAAGTTGGAAACTAAGGAGTATTTGATGTTTATTGTCACAGGCCCTGCGGGCACTGGTAAGACAGAGACTACAAAGGACCTAGCCAAGGCTATGGGTCTGTTGTGTATGGTGACTAACTGTGGGGAAGGCATGGACTACCTGGCGTTTGGCAAGATACTCAGCGGTCTGTGTCAGTGTGGAGCGTGGGGCTGCTTTGATGAGTTCAACCGCATTGACATCTCAGTGCTGTCCGTCATCTCTACTCAGCTGCAGACAATACGCTCAGCACTGCTGCTGCGGGTCAAGAAGTTTGTGGTGAGTTAGCAGGGAACTGTGGTTCTTTTAAGTGTGATGGAATCATTTTGTAACATGATGTAATTATGACCAAAAACTAGGAATTTTGAATCTCAAAACCGAAATCGAAACATAACGATTTGAATCCCAAATCTTGAAACCTAAACATGAATTTTTTACTTGCTTGGATATAGTTAAAGAAAAATACAGATTAAAAACTGGAAAAATGATCCTAATACATAACACAAATATGTGACTAATACACTTTATACCTAAAATACCTATTTTTAAAAAAAACAAACCCTGACAACACATTCCCTGTTATAAACAATAATAATGAAATGTTTGCGGTTTTGGGGTTCGGTTTTTTTAAAATCATTATTATCATTTGTGTAATTAGAAGACTACTGTATACATTGAACAGTTTGAAGAGCAGAAGTTAAGACACCTGTTTAATTCCAGATTCAGTGATTTAATTTGACCTATGTTTACTAGGCACACAGTAAGCAAGATTAACAAAATGCCTGATTTTAGGTGCAACTCACAAATAAATAACCCATAGCATAAATTTCTACCTGAGTCACCAACCGTTTATTTTATATAATCATAAACCTCTCCCACCATCTCTACCATTGTCAGGTGGATTGATGAGTTGTTCAATGCTCACCGGACTTGACCAAGACAGGATTCGAACCCTCACTTTACGGTGCTGTCTTCTGGTCAAGGAGACAAGCTTCCGACCACTAAGTCGTTGATCAGACCTAACTTTAACTGTTCAGGGTCTACTGTACTAATCATGTCAATCAAAAGCACAATTTGATAGATAGTTGTAAGTGGAAGTTTAGTTATCTTACTCTTGAGTCCGTAATATCAGCTCAAAGAGTTAAAATTTCTTTTTGGTCTAAAGTTTGAAGGTCAACAAATTGCCCTGGACAACAAAGTGGGTATCTTCATTACTATGAACCCTGGGTACGCTGGTCGCACTGAGCTGCCTGAGTCTATCAAGGCATTGTTCCGTCCCGTCGTCTGCATTGTACCTGACCTTGAACTCATCTGTCTCATCATGCTCTTCTCTGAGGGCTTCCTTCAAGCTAAGGTATGTTGGTGATATGTATTTATATTTAGTATGCTTCAGAGGAAAAAAACTCTTGAGGTATGCTGAGCAAGCATCCTTAACAATAATATATACAATAGGACAGCTAACTCTGCTTCTGGTACGCTTGTGTTTTTTGTTGATGAAGGGATTGTAACTCTCTGTTTCAGTTTTGGAAACATATTCAATTCGGTTTTTTACATAATAAGTCCTATTTGTTTGTTTGAAGAGAATAATATCCTTAAATTGGGGTTTGTCACAATGTAAAGTTAAATTATAATAAACGTAACAAAAATTTAACTTGTTAAAATAAAAGTAACAACAATAATAACTAATTTAATTTATGTTATGTAAATATTTTTTTAAGTAAGCATAAAATTACAATATTGAATATTAATTTGGTGTGAAAAAATATATACCTACTAATGTATCAATTCGCTTAAGAGTCATGTTAAGTATTTGCACTATCTGTATTCTTGAGTCATCCAGAATTATGAACAGATTTTAAGAAGGATTGTGGCTCTTGCTTTTCGTTGTACCGTTAAAAATGTTCGATATAATCATAATGTACCATATAATAAGGCTACTTTCATACAGAGTAAATCTACTGTGCAAAAATTAAGATAAGTGCAAGCGACATGTCGAATAGTAAATTTTTATTTTTCAAAGCTGCAAATAATGCTATGATTTATTTTACTGTAGGTATTAGCTAAGAAGATGACAGTGCTGTACAAGCTGGCCAGAGAACAGTTGTCCAAGCAGAACCATTATGACTTTGGGCTGCGAGCTCTCAAGTCAGTACTGGTGATGGCTGGGGAACTCAAGAGAGGAGCTCCTGACCTACCTGAGAACATTGTACTCATGAGAGCTCTTAGGTATGTAATAGGGATGGACGAGATTGGATTTTTAATTTTTAGTTCGAGGCGAGACAAGACGAGATTTTTTATTTCTCATAAAATTTCGAGACGAGATCGAGACGGGATTTCCCTTCTCATACGCAACGGGAAATGCACGTTCAAAATTTTTACCTGATTTTGTAACATTGTTAGATGACTGTTTAAATACAAAAATAATGATAATAGGCAAGAATATTTACAATCTTTTATTAAAAAACATCATTTTTTATTAATCACGCCTAACTTATTAAAAATGCCTACGATTAGGAAACATAGTGATATCAGTTAGGATAGAGTTCAACTTATCCTAAAATAAAATAAATCATAAAATAAAAGCAATATTAATTTTTATAAAATAGTTACTTGTTTTGACTTTTTATAGTAATAAAACATTCCTCACACTGCTTAGACTTAACAAAACTTCTCAAATGTTATTAAAGTAATATTATTAAAATAATTAAAGTAGTATTTACATTTAAAGAATTTATTAAATAAGAACGCCTTCGCAAAGGAAACGCAACTACAACACGCTTCTGTATTGCGCGTATTGCATTGACTTTCTGCAGGCGTTTTTAATTTTTTTTTTTTTTTTTTTTTTTTTTTTTTTTATTCTCGTCTTGATAAAAATCTCGGCCAAAAAGAAATCTCGTCTCGTGTAACGAGATTTAAAATTTCCCAAAATTTCGAGACTTGACCATCCCTAGTATGTAATGTGGCTTCACTTGTCTTTGGCTGATCAACAAATTAGTTTACGTTCATTTTCTTAGACTTAAAATAGCTTAGTTGGCATTTTCTGAGTACTTTTGGTCAGACAAATCCTAACTTGTGTCAACAATGGTTAACCACCGCATTTGTGTTCAATGTCGGTAAATAGCTGTGGGATATATTAGCTTGGATTTCTCTAGCAGGTAAGCGGATGAGACTGACTTCCTTCTGTCTCAACGACATAGTGAGAACTGACCGCCGCAACGGCCGAGTGAGAACTGACTTCTTACGTACTCCCCGAAGTGGGAGCGCCGACTGACCTGTCCTGACCACAGGGCAAGTTTGGGGCTCTTTGTTGAGGAAGCAGCCTCTCTGTGCCTGTTTCCGCTGTACTGCTTTGTGCTCGTTTGACTAGTTTTCTTCCTCTGTACTCTTTATTCCGCTCCACTTGTGTCAAGGAAAACTTTGTGGTGGAGGACCTCACAACATACCATTTGACTTATATAACTTATTTTATGTTACTACAGAGACATGAATCTGCCCAAATTTGTGTTTGATGATGTGCCGCTGTTTCTGGGGCTCATCAAGGATCTGTTCCCGGGTCTTGAATGTCCCAGAGTCTCCTACCCGGAGTTTAACACAGCTGTAGAGAAGGCTCTAGTTGAATCTGGCTACATACTCATACCCAATCAGGTACATTTGGAGTTAAATACCTTATGTATCAAGTTAATGCTGAAACCAAGGCTAAAACTTAATAACATTTTTTGGGTCTAATTTCAAACATGAGTTAGTTTATAGAGGAATAAAATAAAAATAGCTGGAAAATGCAAATCCTGATTATTTTTTAATAGTCAACTGCTTGTATGATGCAAAAAGTGACAACCTTTCGTTCTGTTTGGCGACACAAAAAATGTAATACTCTTAAAAACTACATCTGAACCTTCTACCTCTGAAATCAACACCAATCTTATTCAATATTCTAAACTTCTCCCACGGTTGTGTAGACATCATCGTATCCCGCAGTCACGGAAACTTCATCATCATCTTCCGTGATAGCAGCAAAATGTTGAATATCTTCCACGGTCTTGTATACATAAACATCGTCCACCGCAATCTTGGTGAAAGCGTGAATTTTCTATTCTGAAACCTTTGCAGGCGCATTTTGCAATCACGATAGTAATAGCTCAGCTTGTCTCGGCCTATTTGATATAAAATTTTCTTTCTACTGTACTCTGAAGACCAGACTATAAAGCACCAGCTTTAAACTGTTTCTAAAAGCAGAGGTAACCTTAGCTATGCACTCGATAAAACATAAGTTATTATAGCCTTGGAAATAAATATTTTCTATGCTATCATGGAAATTTATAAATGTAGGCCTATTTTGTGTTGTGCAGGTGGACAAAGTGGTCCAGTTATATGAGACTATGATGACTCGCCACTCTACTATGATAGTTGGCCCAACTGGTGGTGGCAAGACTGTAGTTATACAAGCTCTAGCTCAGGCTCAGACCACCCTGGGTCTGCCTACTAAACTCTTCACTCTCAACCCTAAGGTAAATCAACCCTCAGCCTATGTTTGCCTTTTATGTCTGCAAAATTATACAGAGGCTTCTACATTCTGGATACTTTTTTATACCTACTGTGGTCTTATTTTCATTCAGTGTATTATGATTATTACAGTAATATTATTTTTTGGTTAAATTTTTGTTTTTGGTTTTTTTGTTACACTCATTATTTTAACAAACTGCAACACTCCTATTAGACTTATTTGTACAGCAGTACTTGCTTATATGATTAATATTTCTTTAATTCAAACACGTTTTTAATTATTTGCTTGTTAGAAATACCATATAAAATCAGTGTCGAAATAAAGTGTTGACACTCAAATAGAGTTCTTTCAATTCTTTTGACACAATAAACTAATTAAGTATGACAACTAGGGTTTTATTTAATTGACTATGTGCTAAGAAAAACACCACATTGTGTTTTACCTTGACTGGGCGATGTGTGGTGTGCAGTTTTACCTATTTGATCTCTAAACTACTTAACCACCCTAAATTTCAGCAACACACACATTCTTTCTGTGAACTTTAGTTGATTTTTTACAGTGAACTTATATACAACGTGAACATATAGGATAAGTACTGTCATGTCTTCAGTTAATTTTTTTTCTAGGTATGGACATTATTTACACATGTGAAATTGAACAACAATACAATATAATCATTGTCATCCCTTAGGTCCTGTCAACCTACAAATCAAGGTCTCCTGGTGAAAAATTTCAGAGATATAATAAACCTTTAAGTTTACTGAATATATAAAATGCTTCCAGTCATAGTTGTGCATCTACAATGAAAAGTGTGACTCATCCATTTTAAATCCCTTTATCACCAAACTTATATAATTAAAATTTTGAATAGTACTAATTTTTACTAATATTTTAGTGTTTGAACCATTCAAGTTCCTCTGCATGGTAAATATTTCCTCTTCTGTAAACAAACACCTAATTACCTCTGAAGCGTTTTGAACTGCACTTAACTTTGAGTGCTTGTTCAGGCATGTTCGGTGATCGAGCTGTATGGAGTGTTGGACCCTGACTCCCGAGACTGGACGGACGGTCTACTGTCTAACATCTACAGAGATATTAACAAACCCACTGACAAGCCTGAGCAGAGGTACATCGTGTTTGACGGCGACGTTGACGCTCTCTGGATAGAGAACATGAACTCTGTCATGGACGACAACAAACTGTTGACCCTGGCCAACGGGGAGAGAATAAGACTGCTGGAGCATTGCGCTCTTCTGTTTGAGGTAATCTATGTGATTAAGAGTATGTTTTGTTGAGTTCTGCAATTTGTAGTTGTTAAAATTAGCATAAATCACAGTACTTTCACTTAGGAAATCAGGTTGCTATTTTTTCTACGCATATCTGGTCTAGAGATAAATTTGCTGTACAGTAACCTACACAAGAAAATGGCATGAATACAAGAGAAAACACATATCTCGACCGATTCCAGATCTTAGCAATCATAGGTGTTTATGTGTCTACAGATCATGCGGATCCTTCGCTCAATAACTTGTTCTAGTTATGCCTACTTCTCTTCTTTTGAACTAACCAATTCTGCAATTCTGGCCTAAATTCAATATATTCCCAACTGTATCCTGTGCTGGTTTTACAGGTAGGTGACCTACAGTATGCGTCACCCGCCACCGTGTCTCGGGCTGGCATGGTTTATGTGGACCCTAAGAATCTGGGCTACGAGCCGTACTGGCAGCGGTGGCTCAGCCAGCTCAACCGCTCTGAGGAGGACAAGGAGACATTAGCCAGGTACAAAATACATTCTGTCCAAGATTTTATTTTTGAAAAACCTCTTTCTGAAAAGGCAGAAAGTATAACATTGTAACTACTTCTAAATAGTGGTTGACTGGTTAAATGTGTATGTCAGTTTTAAAACTGATATGTTCAACAAAGAATTAGCCAGGCAGAGTAATTTGAGGGTTGAAAGTTCAAGACTAATAAGGGTGCCCAGAGGAGGTGACCTGTGCTACTGGGATTTTTGGTGGGGGAATCTTTGTTACATATTGCCATAGATTCAAGAAGATTTTCATAAGTATTATCCCTAAAAAGTGTTTTTGTAAAATTCCTTCGTTTTATTTCATTTTTCAACACAATTTTGGATACTCGTAATTAAAATTTGTTGGTTAGAACAGTACGTGGTACTTAAATAATAAGTATTTAAAATGCTATATCGATTAGTAACAACGTTAGGTGAATAAGCAAGGCTGTATTAACTATTTTCTCCAATAAGTTATTGCTTATTAATAAGTTGTGATTTTAGATGTGGAATATTTGATATAATTTAGAAGGTCTGTGTGTTAGATTCTTTGAGACGTACGTACCTCCGTGCCTTGCCCTGATTCTGGAGGGGATGAGTGGAATGCAGCAGCTGGCACCCTTGAGAACCGTCATCCCTCAGACTGCTCTTAATATGGTAACCAACCTTTCATTTATATTTTAAAAGCTTTACTTTTAGTTTTGATTCCAACTGTAATTCATAAACATACCTTTTCTAAATTGCAATTCGAGATGTTATACAAAAGTTTGTTGTTTCACAAGAAATAGACATTTTACAGAAGAGAAGGATAAAGGAGGATAATTAACGGAGGGATTGAAGGAATATTAATAACCTGATTATTTATATTTTGTTCCTCCTAATATCTATTACTTTAAAAAATAAATTTTTAAAACAATTCAAGTTTTGCATTTCTCAATTTATTTGTGTCCTAAGATCAAATTAGCAGTGCCACAAGCTCCAAAATAATTATTTCTGTGGAATTGAGGGAAAAAGTTGTGCCCAAAAGTTATTGTCACATTATTTTAAGTATTCTTTAGACCTAATACTAAATTAATTATGCCGGTTTCACTATTGGTATGTAATATGTTAATGACCTTTCTTTACCTCCTTGAGGGAGGGTATGCCTGTTCTGGTGTTTATAGCACTTAATTGAACTTTATCTCCACAACGTTAGCCTGTGCCCAGATTCCGCCAATCAGCTGGACCGAAGCTTAGAAAAAATGTAACTTTGACAAAATCCCTAGAAAAACAACCACTAATTTGCTATATCATAATAAATTTTTAACACCAATTGATGTCTACATGATAATTTTGTGGTATACTTTTTTCCAATTATATGTCACTTGTGTTTTCATGCCGTTCGTCGCAGATCACACAGATGTGCTTCATGCTGGACGCCCTGCTAGGAGACTCGGAGGCTTGTGGGGCTGATGAGCTGGAGTGTGTGTTCATACAAGTGTTGTACAACTCACTGGGGGCAGCCATAGTGGCTGACGATCGCAAAGAGTTTGACAGTCTCATCAAGAAAACCGCTGGCTTCATGACTGTGGAGGATAGCGATACTAAATTTGCTGGATATCGTGAGTTTTAGCTGAAGAAATTTGTAAAATTTGTAGAATGTAGTCATCAAATTTGAAATTATTGGTTTTATTGGCTTATTGGTGTTGTTTCATACTAGGGATGGGTTGCTTTTTAAAGTCCAATGTAGGTTTACTGGGTTAGGGGAAAAAACAAAACCGAGAATAAGTGGAAAATGTTGGTTTTGGTTTATTGGTTGCTTTGCGATAATTTCATTGTGATTTCCGTATGGAATAATGATGCCTTTTCAATCACAGGGACGCTCCAAATTTGCCTGTAATCACAGTTGACAATGACGATGTCCTCTTGATCTTAGGAGAAGTTGAAAACTTTGTCGCGATAGTGAGAGATGAGGTTAAAAAATTAGTGCCTCGATCACAGATAGTCCTGATTCACAGGTTCAAATACTATTTTTATTTTTTTCTACTACCTAAAATATATCAGGAGTCCTATTTCGTGATTAGAGAAATCAAAATTTTTAATCTGTTTTGATCACAGTTAAAAATCAAACAAGTGGTTCAGTGATATCTTGGTGTGTTGCAGGATTCATACCAGTGAAGGAACAGACCATGTACGAGTATTACTTAGACAGAGTGAAACAGGCCTGGGTTCTGTGGAGGCTGTTAGTGGAACCCTATATCCACGACAAACACAAGAGGTTCAGTGATGTCTTGGTTTGTTGCAGGATTCATACCAGTAAAGGAACAGACCATGTACGAGTATTACTTAGACAGAGTGAAACAGGTTTGGGTTCCGTGGAGGCTGTTAGTGGAACCCTATATCCACGACAAACACAAGAGGTTCAGTGATGTCTTGGTTTGTTGCAGGATTCATACCAGTAAAGGAACAGACCATGTACGAGTATTACTTAGACAGAGTGAAACAGGTTTGGGTTCCGTGGAGGCTGTTAGTGGAACCCTATATCCACGACAAACACAAGAGGTTCAGTGATATCTTGGTGCCTACAGAAGACTCAACTAGGATAACCTGGTTGCTGTCACTCATGAATGAGGTGTTTGATGAAGTGGCATTTATTTACTTTTTGTTTTCAAACATAGTTCAATATTTATATAATACAGTAATGACATTCACAACAGGATACTTTGAATCAAATTAGGAAATTGACCCAATATTTTGGTTTGATGATTTCACTATTTATTTGAGATCTTAACCATATGAAATATTAAAATCGAATACTTTCCCTCCTTTTTTATAAGATTAAATTAATTCTGGACATTTTTTGGACAGTATTCGTCAGATTTAATGACAAAGTGGCAGTAAAATAATTTGAAAGCAGAAATATGTCATCCTATTAGTTAATATTGTCCTATTTCCAGGGCATTTTCTTTGTAACTGTGGGACTTAGACTGCATATCTCTATAACTGATAGAGATATTTTACAAAAATGCAGGGAACTGTTTAAACAATCTAAATTTTTAGCACTTTTTTGTCAAATACTGCCACATTATTTGGCCTACATCTGATCAGACTCTATCTTAATGATAGAAGCTCGGCAAGTGGCAGAAAGCGGGTGTCTACAACAGGTGACAGGGTAACTCTCATACCACTCACCGGCCATTGCCAACTTCATTGCATTGTTATATAGTCTTGCCAAGATTGCTTCCATTATTAACTCTCCTGTCAAGAGTGAATGGCGAAGTATTCAACGGCAAGGTATTCTCGGATTATCCTCTTTTTCAAGGATAGCATTTCGGCCAACTACAAGCTGTTGGCATTATTCGTACTATGGATTATCCTCTTCATCAAGGATGGCATTTCGGCCAACTAGAAGCGGTTGGCATTATTTACACACATCAGTAAATCACTCATATTAAAACCAATGCCTTGACTTCATACCTTGACAAATTCTCTGAAAAAATGTGTTAAACTATTACCGTATGCGTGTAGAAAACAAATAAAACCTTCACAATTCTCTCCTGGTAGAAGAATCAGTAGTGGCTGGATCAGAACGCAGACAGACGACTTAGGGTTGGCAATGGCAGAGTGTGTAGTGCAAGAGTTGGTCTGCCACTTAGCATCAATGCTATATTGTTACCATATTATTTATCTTTCTTTAGGCACAATTTCTGCTGCTCACCTTATATATTTGTGTAATGAATTAGATTAAAAGAAATGGGTGGAAACCTAAAAATGTAGAAAATTGTTCTTGCATGTTGGAACAATGAAATTGTTTTGTTGCAAACTTGACTCAGATGTATAATTTTATTTCATGTCTTTCCAAGTTTTACTTCAGGGAAAGAGTGTTCAAGAAGGTAATGAATAAATGCTACTTACCATCTTGTTGTATCACATTTTGATGTTAGTTTTTAGTTTTTCGTACTGAAATTTTTCAAGTTTAAAAATGAATGATTGTTATTTTTTTTATTTAGTAACCCAAATGAGATTGAGAGTAAAATATGGAAAATTTGGTTGTATTTGTGAGAACTTTTAGCTATAGTTTTGTTAGAAACGCTTTTTTTTAATTTGAAATCATGTCATATTTTGATTGTAAAGATTTCTTTGTTGTCTCCCAGGTTAAGAGGCCAGTGGTGTTGGTCGGGGAGACGGGCACTTCTAAAACAGCCACAATGATGGAGTTTTTGCGACATCTAAACGCTGAACAATATGTAACTATATTTTGTAGTTCTGTTTTAACTATTGATAGCAAAACTTTTCACAGTTTAAACTATATGTAAGTAACTGCTCACTATATTTGTATTGTGTTTCTACAAATCGATTGCAACATGATTGAAGTTACAAAGTTTTAGCAAGATAGTTTCTATTTGTGCTTACATGCCAAAATGTGCTTCAACATTTAATTCATATAGAACCAAATAACTTAAAAATGCAATGCAGCTGCTCAACAAAGGCATCTACCATGAGGAAGACAATTTTCTCAGGACCCATTTTACTTCTTAACTGTATTAGGAACAAAAAAAATGAGACCTATGTCCAAATCATGCCACGTTTTATCAAGGATCCACTCCTAATCTGGCTAACTACAAATTTTATGTTTCTATTTCTTTCCAGATGCAAGTAAATGTAAACTTTTCTTCTCGCACAACTTCACTGGACGTTCAACGCAACCTGGAAGCGTCAGTGGAGAAGAGGACGAAAGACGTATATGGTCCACCTATTGGCAAGAAGCTCATCTGTTTCATTGACGACCTTAACATGCCACAGGTGTCGTAGTTTTGTCTAACTCATCAAATCATCTCCTTTAAAATAACCTATGTAATATATATTTAGAAAAAAATAGCAAAGAATATTTTTGGATTGTACAATAGTAAATATATAACAAATTTTGTGTATCCTATCACAGAAATAGATAATTCTGTGTCCAGTTTCCACCACTAGCATTCATTTTTTATGTGTATTAATTAGCTTACTTACTGTTTATGCATTAACAAATTAAGATATTATGAAATTACATTTCATCAATTATATTTAATGTGAGTGTCATAGAGAACTCTTCTTAGGGACTCCGTGTGAATGTTACAGGTTGACAGTTATGGAACTCAGCAACCTATAGCTCTGTTGAAACTTCTCTTTGAAAAAGGCGGCTTTTATGACCGGGGCAAAGACCTGAACTGGAAACAACTAAAAGATATTTGTAAGTAAAACAGAACCTCAAACATAGACGTCATTGGTGTGTCAATGAATATAGTGTTTTATGTTACTTCTTGGACACCAATCAAATCTTAATTTTAGCAGAATATATACTATTTCTTGTATTGTTATCCTGCAGTAGCAATATCGGATGATTTAATAATATGGTATAGTACTAAAAAGCTTGCAATTATACCAGTTGTTCCAAACTAAATTGTAAATTGGCAGAGTTTGGGCATTGAGTTTCTGTGAGCCAGTCATAGATTGTGTTAGTGTTTAAATACTATTTTCTACCTACTTTTTTGTTGTTAAAGTAGTTGACCTGACATAAAGATGCTATAGCTTACAATGAGTCGTCCTATCAGTCTGACTGGACAACCATTTGCCGAATAAATTAAAACAATTGGCAGTAAATTTTTTTAAAGTTAAAATGAAAGAAATTCTACTGGATAAGGTTTATTATTCCGTCCCAGACTTTTTAGTAGACACATCCTTGGGTTAGTCATTGTACATTTTTGTTGTTGTAATTTTCTATGGTTTATGTATAAATGTTTTTATTCCATTGTATTTTATTATAAAGATTTATGTAATTGACAAGACACCAGTTACTGGTATAAGCACCTAATGTAATGTTAATTTGTGTCAATAAACTGATTTGATTTGACTTGGTAAAAAAGTCTGCACATTCAACAGAAATCAGTTATTTACATCAGCGCAATCAGTCGGTGGCTTATTTCAACTACATCCATTTTGATTTAAAGACCGGCGACAACTTTATGATAGAAGTCCTAGTTCTATCACTACTCAAAGATTTGGGTTAGCATAAAACTTACAATAGGCAGATATTATTATGATATCAGCTTTATAAATTCATTTTATGTTTGGTGTAATGGTAATGTAGGTAGAAGTGAATATATTTGTTGTTACAATACGATTAGGCCTATCATTCTGCTGGTAAACATTAGTAGAAATCTTAGCACTGTCAACACCAAAACCTCCAAAGATTCAAATGACCAATATACAGTATGACAATGTGATTGCAGGTTTCTTTGCTGCTATGGGGAAGGCAGGAGGAGGTCGCAACCAGGTTGACCCTCGCTTCATGTCTATGTTCTCTGTGTATAACATGACGTTTCCATCAGACAATACAGTAAGTTTTTGTATGATAACATATTATATTATAAGAAATGTATTGCAAATTGTTAGCTGAGAGTGGATATACATTTTGGATTGTAGTAGTTGTAGCAACTTGAGGCAGGTCGTTCTACATGGAGAATAGTTCAGCCATAAATGTTTTCCTAAAATATATCTCAACTCTAAACAAGCCACTGTATTTTGAACAACCAATTTTTTATTGTCACATCGAATTGCTCTGTAACATTTGGTTTTTCTTACACTGAGTAAAAAAATATTTATATTCAACTTCACAATACATTTAAAAGTAGCCAAAAGTGATTTAAAGGAAAACTACTTTACGTATATGATCTAGATATATATCAAGTATTGGCCTCCTACTTGGTCCAGGTTCATGATACGAGTCGATATTTTGCAGGTGAAGCACATTTATCAAAGTATCCTGACTGGCCATACACAAGAGTTCTCTCCTGACATTCAGAGTATCATCCCAAACATCGTCAAAGCTACACTGGATTTATACAAGGTAAAGTAGTTACAGTAGTTATAATCATTAATTAAAACTTCATGCCAACATTATTGTTTTACAAAAAGATTCAGTAAGGGTCATTTTTAACACATAGAAGATAACGAATCTGCATGAGGAATGTTTTTTTAACTTGCCATTTAAACAGTTTATAGTCTTTATTCTTTATATTGTATGTTGTAAATACAAATCAATTTAACTTTACAAGTTTTTGAAGACGTATTTATAAAACACTAGAAACAAACATGAACATTTTTTTATATGGACACAGGTTGAGTGAATTTGAAGAAAACCCCTCATTAGCAGGGATAAGCTTATGGAGTAAACTCCCAAGCTACATATTAAGAACAAGCCAGATTATTTAAAATTTTAGCAATTTTTTTAATAACTTAAAATTGAAAATCCAGTGTATTGTGTGAAAGAATTTATTGTACCTAATTTTAAAAGAAGTGTTGTGAAACATTTTGTATTGGCACTAAGTCACTGACAAGATGAATGAATATATTTTGATTTTACCTTATAGCAATCAGAATGTGATTGCACATGGAACTTAAAAGTTGTACTGTTATTCTATCGCAGATCATAATCGTCCAGCTGCCTCCGACCCCATCCAAGTTCCACTACATATTCAACCTGCGAGATCTGTCCCGCATTGTGGCTGGAGTCTGTCTCACATCACCCAACATCTTCACAGAGCCGGAGCACATTGTGCGGGTCTGGAGGAATGAGTTTACCAGGGTCATCTGTGACCGGCTGATCAACAAAGAGGTATAACTGCAGAGTCATTGAAATAAACTATCGTATACCTTTTTGTGGAGAGATGTGCTGGTATTCAGGACAGACAGTTTGCCTAACCTTAGAAACCTAGCTTGTTTATCAATTAGGTAGACTTACAGCTTAAAGTAGCTTCAAAGTCTTCAGGTTACAATGTTATTGTGTTGCTAAGTCAAATGGTTATTGGCAGAATTAGGACCCACTTGAACTGTCTAACCACTTGAACAAATGAGCCCCCTTTGAAGTAGGTATGTAGTTTTTGACATTTTAATACTGCTAATATTCCAATTGAACGCATGAAATATGCTGTTTTATTGTATCCAAGTCTTATTACTGTGTTTTTTAGCAGATATGTGAAATATCTCCAAATTTATCTTGGACATTAGCTTAGACTTTAGACCCTTTGATATTGGGCTATAAGTTTTACCTAGTGTTTTCTTTTTCTTTTGAAGGATCAAGAGCTGATGAACAAACACATAGAAGAGACTGTAGTGAACTATTTTGAAGACTACACCGAGTATGTGATGAGGAACCCGCTATTGTTTGGTGACTATCGCAATGCAATGCAAGAGGGAGAACACCGTGACTATGAAGATCTGCTAGATTATGATGCTGTCTTCCATCTTTTCCACGAAGTAAGAAGAAGATATCTCTTATCACCTCTAATTTGTTCAAATAATGCTTAATATTTTTAGGTAAACATATCTGAATTGTTGACAATTAATGCATTTATGCTAAAAAGACATCAAATTACTGTCACAGATTGATCATGCACTTTTTCTCAGTGTAAAAGCTGAATAATGACGAATTGAGAAATATTGGACACCTCAACCAACTGTGCTCTCCACAGTAGTATATTGACTCTCAAGTCAAAATTGAAACATCCTTTAGACATTGCTCATCTTCAGTTAAATTCAGAACACTCCAAAGATTACACTTACACAAATTTAAAATATTCTTAAATTACTTTTCGATGTTGTCTTAGAACTTTTGGTATTAGTAAATTTTGTTTTGTACTTAGGTGGTGGAAGAGTACAACGAGAAGTACACGAAGATGAATCTGGTGTTGTTTGATGACGCATTGGAGCACCTGACACGGCTACACAGGGTGATGAGGATGCACAGAGGTCATGCCATGGTGGTGGGAGTGGGTGGTTGTGGCAAGAATAGTCTCACTAGACTGGCAGCCTTCACAGCAGGTGAGGCAAATTGTTACTATATTATTCCAACAGTGTGAAAAGATCAAGATGTTGCCACAATCGAGATGATAATTATGAACATCTTGCCTTGATTAGGTTGATTGAGTTTGTTTTCAGTTTTGATAACTGGAGTGGAATGAGAGTTCGTTTTCAGTTTCAATAACTGGGAGTGATTGATTACATTATGTTTGAGTTGACTCTTTTAAATCATCGAAAATTATGACTGTATGACTGTTATTATTTTTTAAAACACGCCTGTAATACTTTGCAATCGCTCAAATTCGAGCAACAGGTGCACTTGTCTGTTATAATAGGTATTGTATTGTAATTGACTTTGTTTATATAAGCCGCAGTTATTATTCTTAAGTATTGTATGCATCTTATTGTTATTTTTTCACCCAGTATATCCAATAATATAAATATTTGAGATAATATGAAATAATATTAATTCTTTGCACATTAATATTTTACCTACAACAGTTTTTTAACACGTTCAGTGCGAGGGGCGGGAATTCTCGCCCCGCGACACCGGCAATCTCCCTCCTTGAAATACTTACTGTTACTTTGGGTGACGTAGCTCAGGAATGAAATTCAGCACTCGCTTACAAAACCCAACTTTATTAATTACTTAAAACAAAACAAAGACATAAGACATAAGATATTTATTGCTGTTGATCATTTTTACATGAGATGGGCATGGTCAATATAAATATATACAGTCAATAACATCAAATAATATCAATAATATCGATAATAATCATCAATAATATCTAAATATATTTAAATTAAAACTAAAGTTGCCACTCCAGCCTAGTACCCAAATAACAGCTTCATAAACATTAAATTAATAAAATTGGTAAACTTCATCCAAACAAACAAAAGTTAATTCTTATCATTAATTTGAAAACTTAAAATACTGTATATTATCTATGTTAGTGGCCATAAACTCATTAATAGTAAAGAATGGATTGTCTAGAAGCCATTGATACAACTTAATTTTGAAGCCTTTAAGAGGAGTGGTGTGAGCATTGTCGGGAAGCTTATTAAAAAATTTAACACAATTTACCATGTAAGAATTTCCAAACTTTGTTAACCTATGTTGAGGGATTTCAAGTTTGTTTTTATTCCTGGTATTGTGATTGTGTACCTCACGTCTAATAAAAAAAGAATTTAGATTTGTTTTTGTGAATATTAATACATGATAAATATATAAGTTAATAATTGTAGGAATCTTCAATTTTTTGAAAAGACATCTACTATGATCTCCAGGCCTGGCTTGACAAATGGTTCTAATTAATTTTTTTTGAAGAATCAGGGCATCTGAGAAATTTGCAGAGTGTCCCCAAAGTATGAGACCATAAGCAATTATGAGACTGAAAGAGTCCGAAATAGGCAGTCCTCAGATAGTCAGTAGAGATTATGGAGCTCAGTTTCCAAAACAAACAATTGACCCTTGAGAGTTTTTTACACAAATTTACAACATGGTCATTCCATGTGAGCTTTGAGTCTATGTGAATTCCTAGCAGTTTTACAGATTGATTTAGATCGATGATTGATTTTGATTGATAGTTTTGATTTTGTGAAAGACTGAGCAAAATATTCTGAGTTTTAGTCTCATTACACAGCAGTTTGTTAGCTGAGAACCATTCTTGTGCTTGGTTTTGAGCTGAGGTTATTCTGGCCTCCAAGAGGTCAAGGTTTTTACTACAAGTAAAAAACGTGGAATCATCTGCATAGATAATAGAATTTAAACCTACATTTTTGGGAAGATCATTTATTATTACAATAAAGAGAAATGGTCTGAGAACTGAGCCCTGCGGCACTCCTAAGGAGACATCACACAATGATGAGTGAGCACGAATAATATTTACATATTGCTTACGGTTCATAAAGTATGATTCAATTAATTTCAAGGAGTCGCCAGAAACACCATAAAAGTTAAGTTTAGTAAGGCTTAGGGATGGACGAGATTGGATTTTTAGTTCGAGACGAGACGAGATGAGATTTTTTATTTCTCATAAAATTTTGAGACGAGATCGAGACGGGATTTCCCTTCTCATACACAACGGGAAATGCACGTTCAAAATTTTTACCTGATTTTGTAACATTGTGAGATGACTGTTTAAATACAAAAATAATTATAATAGGCAAGAATATTTACAATCTTTTATTAAAAAACATCAGCATAACATTTTTTTATTAATCACGCCTAACTTATTAAAAATGCCTACGATTAGAAAACATAGTGATATCAGTTAGGATAGAGTTCAACTTATCCTAAAATAAAATAAATCATAAAATAAAAGCAATATTAATTTTTATAAAATAGTTACTTGTTTTGACTTTTTATAGTAGGTCGATTTGATAGGTCGAGCTGATAGGTCAGCTTCTTGATTCTTGATTCTAGTACAGTAATAAAACATTCCTCACACTGCTTACACTTAAAAAAACTTCTCAAATGTTATTAAAGTAATATTATTAAAATAATTAAAGTAATATTTACGTTTAAAGAATTAATTAAATAAGAACGCCTTCGCAAAAGAAACGCAACTACAACACGCTCTTGTATTGCGGGTATTGCATTGACTTTCTGCAGGCGTTTTTATTTATTTATTTTTTTTTTTAATTCTCGTCTCGATAAAAATCTCGTCTCGTGTAACGAGATTTAAAATTTCCCGAAATTTTGAGACTTGACCATCCCTAGAAGGCTATTGATAGGCGGTATGATGTGAATGATTACTATGCAGACTTAGTTGACAGCACAATAATTCCAAATTTGACTAATAAAGATTCCTTTGGGGATAGCCCCAAGCAGTCCAATGCTGTTATTGCTGAAGTCTAGATTTAAGTTTCACACTATATCTGAGGAACAGTTAGATAAAATAATTAATTCAGTAAAGAACAAGTGGTCATCTGGATACGATGACATCCCAACAAAAGTCATTTAGGCTTCAAAAAGAGCAATTCTTAAGCCTTTACTGCATGTTATAAATGCTTCTTTGATATCTGGAGTATTTCCCACAGAATTAAAATCTCAAAAATTATTCCAATATTTAAAAAGGGCGACAAGAAGGATCCTGCCAACTACAGACCTATTTCAATCCTACCATCATTATCAAAGTTTTTTGAAAAGTGTATGTTGATGCAACTAACTGATTATTTTGAAAAAAAAAATAGCTTATTAGATTCGGAACAGCATGGTTTTAGACAAAATAAATCAACTATTACTGCAGTCATAGCTTTTGTTGAACATATTGTGGATAAATTAGACAAAGGTGACTATACTGTTTCTGCATTTCTAGATCTGACTAAAGCGTTTGATAGTTTATCTCATTCTATTTTACTAGAAAAACTAACTTCTAATGGAATAATTGGCAAAGATTTAGCTTTATTAAAATCATACCTAATAGGTCGAAGGCAATATGTGGAAACTAAACACCTCAATGGCAATAAATTATTTAAAATAAAGTCAAAAACTAGATTAATTAAATATTCCGTTCCGCAGGGATCAGTCCTGGGACCATTCCTATTCCTTGTGTATTTAGGAAAGTTACCAGAATGTCTTTCAAATCTAACATTAAATAATAAATTTTGTATTTTTGCAGATGATATTAATCTAACGATAGCTAGTAGCAATAGAAGTAATGTTTTTGATCAATTATCCCTAGCAACAAGCAATGTTAACGAAAGACTAAGTAACTTGAACCCTTTAACTAATAAAAATAAAACAACAATAATTAAATTCTCTTGTAAAAATGGTAATTCAAGGAATGACACAGAACCAACAGACTGCCTTAATACTGTTGACAGTGTTGACCTTGCTGAAAAGTCAAAGTTCCTTGGTATTTTACTGGATAGAAAACTGTCTTGGTCAGATCATGTAAATGAGGTCTGTTCAAAAGTTAGTTCAGGAGTCTTTGCTCTGAAGAGATTGTCCTCTTTTTGTGACATCAAAACATTGCAATCAATGTATTTTTCAATGGTTCATATTGGGTATGGTCTTGAAGTATTTTTTTTAAATTTAAACAAAAACCATCATACATTGGAATACAATTTTTTAATCAATTACCAATAAAAATCAAAAATGAAACAGATGACAACAGATTTAAAAACGCTCTAAAATTACATTTGACACAAAATGCTCTCTATAAATTCAAAGATTTCTGGGCTAAGCAATAACAGCATTGACTTAAAATGTTTGAGGCCTATTGCTGTTTCACTGAACTATATTTTTGTTTTCACTGAAGTATACTTTCGTTTTATACCTACTTGAGAGATGACTGTATTATTTTGTTGTTTTGTTCTTGTGTATTGTATTTGTCTTTTATTTGTGTTTATATTTTATGTAATGATGAATTTGACACCATTCTTGTATATACAATTTTATATACTAATGAATAAAGATGTTTTGAATTGAATTGAATTGAATGTAGGTTTAAATGAATTTAAATTGTTATTTTTAATATAACTTGGTATGTATTTCAAAAATTTTGATCCATTATAGGTTGTTTTCTTTTCAAAAAATTGTAATCGATGCTGATCAGTCTGGATTTGATTCCCACTTCTTGTATTGTAAGAGTGTGTTTGATTGTTTAAAGTTACTTTTTCAGGATTGGATTTTACGTAGATGATTGAATCATAAATGTCGTCCTTCACCAATGCCAAACACCTGCTTCAATGTGAGCTCAGCCATTGCCGGGGAATATTGTAATCGTTGCCAGCCTGTAGCTTAGAATGCGAGCTTTATTCTGGTGTAGGTTGGTACTAAAATTTCCCGTAAAATCTCGTCTGGCAATGCTTTTGTCCCGGTTTTGGGGATTTTCTCTCTTCGAGCCACATTACAAATTCATTAGCTTCGAATGCAGGCAGTGCTGCTACTTTTGGGTGTTTCAGTGAACTACGTCCACTCTTGCGGTAACACAACACAATCACCGCTGCTCTTTTTTTATTCGTCAGACTGAAATATTTGAATGCCAATTGCGTTTTTCGCCGATTCGGTT